ATGACTTGCTTCTAACATAGAATTGCTGGATAAAATACACGATGCCCAATTAAATTTGAATTTCAGATAAGCAACAAATAAATCTTAGTATAAGTCCAAAATATTGCATGGGATATACTTATACTAAAAGTTTATTCAGTGTTTATCCAGAATTCAAAATGAACTGGACATCTTGTTGTTTTTGTTTGTTTGTTGCTAAAACCAGCAACCCTATTCTAATGAACAGAAGGAACGTGGCATAGTAATGGCTTGTGACTTCTGAAACTAGGTCCTAACAGGCATTGTAGCTCCCACCTTGCTCCCTCTTAGGCCACCCACTCTGGGAGAAGCCAGACGCCGCGGTGTGGGGACACTCAGGCAGCCCTGGGGACGGATCCACTGACGCTTCCTGCCAACAGCCAGCACCAACTCATGAGCCGCGTGAGCGAACCATCTTGGGAGCGGACCCTCCAGCCCCAGGTGAGCCTTAGACGATGCGGCCCCAGCCGGTGTCTTCCTCACAGCCTCACCAGAGACCCTGAGCCACAGCTCCTTTGCTCCTGAATTCCTGACCCAGAGACACTGTGGGATAATAAATGATTGTCGTTTCAAGCTGCTATGTTTTAGAGCCTCAGGCTCACCCGGCTGGCACCGTGGTTCCCACAGAATGTTCCCCACCTCTGTGGGCTCCGAGCTTTCATCACTAGACCCCATTCTACCACCTTATTTCAGACCGATCAAGTGCCCAGGGGCAAGTTTCTATGAAAGCAGGAAGTCTGTATGTTAAAAGAAGATGAAGGTTTGAGGGAAAAGGAACTAATGCTACTTTCCAGAGGTCCTGTGAGCCCCTTTTCCTGCCTCGGAAGGAGACACTCAGGCTCTGGGGCCCAATTCTGCTGACGCCTGCCTGCCTCGTTTGGGGAAGTTATTTAATCTCCCAAAGCCCTAGTTTGATCTGTAAATACAGGAGTAGTAATACCTATTTACAGAATACAGAATTTTTATGATGATTAGAAATAGTAGAAAATAACATTTATTAGGAGGGTAGGATGTGCTAAACGCCACTGCACTTCATGTTTAGTCCTCATAACAAGCCTTTGAGATGGGTACTGCCCTTCTCCCCATTCTACACATTGGGAAACTAAGGCACACAAAATTTACATGATTGCCCACAGCTAATCAGTACATGGTGCCTGGCATGTAGTACGCATCTTTTTAAAAGTTGCTGTTAGGACATCATTTAATCCTCCAAACCATTGTTTTTCCAGGTTAGAAAACAGGGTCTCCGTGGGGATAGGCAACTCCCGCGGCCGACTCTGAATTCTGCCCTCTTCCCTCCCCCCGCCGCCCGCTGGGAGTCGTGGAGTCAGCAGCGCATCCCGTGCCCTCCTGCCCCCACCCCAGGTAGGGTGGCCCTTCCCCTGATGTTATCCCCTGCAGCCTTCCCCAGCTGGTGCTCCCGGCTCGAGGGAGTTAATTGCTGCTTGATTCACATCTGGCCCACGCGCCAGTTTTAAGGGACTGGCACATCAGCTCAAATCTTAAACACTGGAGATGCCACATAAAACATGCAGGTCTCTGCCTTCTCGGTCAGCTGAGACACTGGCTGGCCCTCCTGGATGGCAAGCCACCTGGACCTGAAGGGCAGGGTCCTCCGTCTGCCGGTGAGAGCAGAGCCGAATGAACCCCCAGTGTCCTGCACACTTGATTTCCTGCCAGGAGGCACTGAATGAAGGCCACCAATAACCTCCTGAGCTATCCAAGTCATAGCCATGGCCCCGGAGGTGACAGGGAGCCAGTCATCTCAGCTGTGGGTCTCCGTCTCCAGCTTGACCTTATGAACACCTCTCTCATGGGATGGTTTCCTGCTCCCGTCTCCATGGATGACTGGACAGCATGTTGGCTGCAGAGCCTGGGCCAGAGCAGCCTATGAGAAAGCCGGCGGAAAATGGATTTTTTCAAAACCCCGGGTGGGTGTGCCGTCATGTACCTGCCCCTTTGAAGGAAACTGCCCGTACACACCTGAGCCCACTGGTGGGCCCCACTGGCAGGAGGAGACACGGGCAGGGTTGCCTGAGACAGTGAGAATGGAGAACCTAGGGGCACTACACCCCTTTCCCTGGAGTCTGACTTAGTGAGAGTCGCGCACACACGCACCCACACACATGCACCCACAGAAATGGATGTGGCAATCACTCTGGCTACACCCAAAGTGGCTTGCCAAACCCACAGTTCCTTTTTTCTTTTTCCACCAAGGAAGAGACATAATGTAAGCTATTCCCCTGTGAGAAAGTGGAGAAGGTAAAACAGCTTATTCCAGACCAGTACTTGGAAGTTCCAGCGTGGGGCAATTTAAGAGGGAAGGGGCCACTCTTACAAAGCTGGAGAGAAAGTAAATTGGCACAGCCCTCCCTCAGGGAAAGTTGGCAATAACTAGCAAGATTTTAAGTGCATATAACCTTTGCCCGGGCGCCCCCACTTCCGGGAATCTGGTTTCCAGTAGTTCTCCTGGAAGAGCACGCAGATACGCAGAGCAGGAACCTCCCAGCAGCGTTGTCCCTGATGTGAGCAACTGAGAGCAGCCCATGTGTCTGCCTCTAAGTAAACACCGAGGTGTTTATGCTGTGGGAAACCAGGGGGCTGCTAGGAAGAGCAAGGCAGATCTAAGGGATGCACGTGGACGTGAAAAAAAGTAAGCTGTAGGATAAGATTTAACTTACGAACAACTTATATGTAACTAATGTAACCAGTGTGAAATTGGCAAGCAATGCCAATTATGCACTGGACACAAAGTGCAAGAGCGAATGATGTAAATAGTATTAGCAGTTCTGCGCACCATTCCGCTTGTTGATCCTGGGCCCCAAGGAGAGACTCAAGCATCGTCAGTCTGGTGCTTCTCTCACGTGTCTCCCAGCTCTGTGAGCTTCTCTGGGCTCTGAGTGTAGTTTCAGCATTAAATAAAATAGGTACTCCTGGGCTAGCCCCATGGCATAGTGGTTAAATTTGCACACTCCGCTTTGGCAGCCCAGGGTTCACAGGTTCGGATCCCAGGCATGCACCTACACACTGCTCATCAAGCCACACTGTGGCAGTGTCCCACATAAGAAATGGAGGAGGATTGGCACAGATATTAGCTCAGAGCCAATCTTCCTCACCAAAAAAAAAAAAAAAAAAAGGTACTCCCAAGGGGCTAGCCTGGTGGCATAGTGGTTAATTTTGGCGCTCCACTTTGGCAGCCCAGGGTTCACGGTTCAGAGCCCGGGTGCAGACCTACACACCACTCATGAAGCCAGGCTGTGGCAGCATCTCACATGCAAAATAGAGGGAGATTGGCATGGATGTTAGCTCAGGGACAATCTTCTTCCCCCCCAAAAAATAGGTACTCCTTACACCACACAGCCCGTGAATGCAAGCCAGCTACTTACTGTGGTGCTCAAGGAAAGAAACAGCAGCCTGTTACAGCTGTGCTGAGAGATACAATGTCAGTCTCCACAGAGAACCTTCCAAAGGGTAATTCTTCCCCCCTTTTCTTCCTCTTCCTGAACAGTTGTCATAAAGCCGTTAGGTGGCACAGAGCAAGGCAGGGGGCGAAAGAGGAGCAGGTGGCTCAAAGCAGAGTATCGAAGCCCACACAGAATGAGGAGGATGTCCACAAAGTGACTGTGTGTGTGTGTTGGGACTTGGTGTGGAGTGTCAGAGTCCCAGCTCTTGAGGAAAGTGACCATGCAGGGGAACAGGCCAGCACAAGAGACAGAGCCTGAAGGGGGTGAAGAGGATGTCTGACCTAGGGAGCAGCCTGGAGCAGATGGTAGAGCTGCCCAAAGTGAGGGGGCTACCTATGGAGTGGGGGTCTTGGAGGCGTCAGGACCCAAGCAAGGGAAAAGGATGCCCACACGTGGCAGGGAAGTAGAAACCAGAGATTAGTTACAAGAGGATGGATCAAATAAGAAAACAGAGTAAGTATAAAGGGAGCCAGGGTTTCCTCTTTCAGAGGAGGGAGTCACAAATATGGGAAGAAACGAGAATGAACCTTATGGTTTGTCATTGGAATTGAAGGTATCAGTCTGAACACATGGTTAAAGATGTGGAAATATAGGGGTGTGTGTGTGTGTGTGTGTGTGTGTGTGTGTGTGTACACACATGTATATTCCCCAGCTCCACTGAGAGGGCCTGGGAGCAGCAACAGCCCGGTGGCAATGAGGATACTCAGCATCCAGATGTTGGTTTCTAAGTGCCATTCTACAATAAAAGGACCCAGGGTTCAGTGGAGAAATGCTGATTCCTAGGCTGGGGCAGGGAAATTATCTGATGAGTTGTAACGTCTTATGCCAGAAAGCAAGGAGATGCTCAGAGAATAATGAAGACATGTCAAAAGGACACAAAACCCACCTGAAGAGGTTCCCATTGGCCAAATATAAGAAATTTGGGCATCAAAATAATGACAGTAATGGATTATGAGCCATTGAATAAAATTGAAAATTATGAGGCCATGCTGATATAAATCAATGAATAAAGTGAAGGTTTGATGAGGAACAGGATAATTACATAGTTTCAGAGTACTTCCCTACAAAATATTTATTAATCACAAAGAGAAATTAGTAACTTTACAGTGAAGAAGACGGGCAGACACACCTTCAAGTGATCCAAGTAAACATTACGAGTAATGGGACAGACTGAAATCATGTGTCACCTGGTAGGAAGCCATGAGAACACAGAGTTGCTTCTATAATGTCCCTGCCAAAGCTGCACAGCCTGAATCCAGCCACAAGGAAACACCAGACAAACCCAAATGAGGGACAGTCTACACAGTAACTGGCCTCTCATCTTCAAAAGTGTCAAGGACATGAAGTCAAGGATGGGTAGGAACTTTTCCAGACAGAGGAGACTAAAGAGACATGACAGCCAAATGCAACATGTGAACTGGATACTCCTAAGGACACGACTGAGACAAGTCGCAAAACGTGAAGGTGGCCTATATTAGTTTTCGATTGCTGTGTAACAAATTACCACAAACTTACTGGTTTGAAACAACACGCATTTATTAGCTCCCAGTTCTACATCAGAAGTTGAGGCTCAGCTGGGTCCTATGCTCAGGGTATCACAAGGCCAGTATCAAGGTGTTGGCCAGGTCAGGTTCTTGCCCAAAGACTTTGGAAAGCATCTGCTTCCAAGCTCATTCAATTGTTGGCGAAATCCAGTTCTTGGTGGCTGTAGGTCTGAGATCTTGTTTCCTTGCTGGCTGTCAGCCAGGGGCCAAAATTCCTTCTCACCTACCCGCACCCCACCCTCTCATCTTCCAGGCAGCAACAGCACTTTGATCCCTTCTCATGCTTCAAATCTCTCTGATGCCTTCTTCCCCCAGCCAGAGAAAACAAGCTCTGCTTTTCAAGGGACCCGTGTGATCAGATTAGACCCACCCGAATACTTTCCCATCTTCAAGGAGGTTCCTATCTTGAAGCACATAACCCAACACAGTCATGGGAGTGACTCTCATCATAGTAGGTCCAGGGATCAGGGCCGGGCATTTGGGGAGAGGGAGCCTTTTAGAAATGCTGCTTATCACATGGCCTGAAGATGAGATAGAAGTAACTATCAGTGCTGACACCCTGATTTTGATGGTTCTGTTGTGGTTGTGGAGCAGAATGTACTTGTTTGCAAGAAGTCCACACTAAAATATTGGATGATGGGGCATCGGATCAGCAATTTACTCTCGTGTGATTCGGTACTAGTAAATACTTCTTTGTCCCCTTCTTCTTGAAACATTTCTATATATGCGTGTGCAGACAGATAAAAAAAGATAGCTATGGGTACATGTGTTTGTATATACAAAGAAAAATGTCTGGAAAAATCTAGATAGATGCAAAAGTTGACTGTGATTACCTCTGGGAGGTGGAATTGTTTGATGGGGAAAGAGGTACACTTTTATTTATGGGCTGTATTGTTTAAATTTATTTGTGAGTAGGTATTTTCATAAGATTAAAAAAATAGGAAAAAGATCTTTGAAAAAGACAGCGGGAGCCTGACTTTGGTTTCTTGGCAGAGTGAGGGAGCGGGCAGAGAGTGCACAGGCTGCAGATTAAATAATGAGGCAATAGGACATGTTATCTCAGTTGCAGCTATGTGCTTCTTCACAGAGCTACAAGAAATCAAATTTCCAAGAAAATCTGTACTGAGATTTTGGTGATGGGAACAAAGGTAAGGTTCTGTTGGCCATGAAGGCGTGCCAGACGACTGCACTGCCCAGCTTTCCAGCTTCTCGGCACCATGCGCTCTTCGGTGTTGAAAAGATTAGTGTTTCTCTATTTCTTTAGTTAATGACTACACCTCCTTAGCTTCTTGTCTAGTGTCTCAAGCACCTGAAGAACCTGTCTGCCCGATGGCACCCCAAGTCACAGATATTAAAGACAGGGGACTGCAAGCACAATTCCTGTGATGGGTTGAATGGTGTCTCCCCAAAATTATGTGAAATCCCAACCCCCAGTACCTCAAAATGTGACTTTATCTGGAGAGAGGGTCTTTACGGAGGTAATCAAGTTAAAGTGAGGTCACTGGGATGGGCCCCAATCCAATATGACTAGTGGCCTTCTAAGGAGCGATCAGAAGCCAGACACACACAGACACAGGGAGAAGACAGCCATCCACAAGCCCTATTCCTACAGCTTTTGTCTACATTTGAAATGTTTTCAAAACAAAGTTAAAAACTTAAATAAAAATAAAGCTAGAAAGAAAGAGAGTTAAGCTACTGGGAAGCCCACTGCAGACCCCAGGCAGCAGAGGCCTGGAAAGACCTGCAGCGTCTGGCTGGAGTCCAGGGCTCTCTAGAAAAGGCTGGGATTTAAATCCAAGTGTTAAATAGCTTTATTTTTTCCATGATTTTTCCCCCGAATATTTAATGTCCTTGCAATAGTAAAGGATTCTGGGAGTTGAGTCTAGAAAAAATCACAAATGCAGTTCCTGGTCTGACAGGTGAGTGCAGAAAGCTTTGTGCTGATTCTGGTGACCCTCATGATTGCTTCCACAGTCTGCCTGAAGGAAGAGCTCTTGTGGTTTGGGGGAATATGGTTCTCCTTTCTCAATCCAGCCACAAAGGCTCACCTGATGCAGTGGGAAGATTCCAGATCAGGCTTCAACGTCCTCACCTCCAATGATCGGCTCCAATGGCATCCGTGATTCTGGTAAAACCCTGCTCCCTGGAAGAGAAAACAAAGCAGTTCAGCAAATAGTGAAGGCCAGGCCCTGCTCTTACTGAAAGCCCACGTCCACCTAGTCTACCTGCCCCATCAACGTACCTGCCCCCTCTCTCCCAAACACGTGCGCTCTACAGTGTCTTCACCCAGGAACCCAGAGATATTTCCACCCAGGTCTTCAGATTAGCAAGGGAGTTGATTTTAAGTACTGTCAGCTCTGTCATCAAGCCAATGTTTCTGAATTAATTAGAATGCCGCCAGAACTCCTCAGGCCTGTGAACACCATTGCCGTAGAAGTTAATCTGGAAACCCTTGGCACTGTTTGTCCTTCATCAAAGGAGCAAGAGTAATTTTCCCCTGCATTTGGAGTGTACCCCTCAAATCCTTTTTGAATGAAGAGTAAATACAGACAGATGAATGGCATCCCCTTGATTCGAGTCATTCTGGATCAATACCACGTTAACTTCTGGTTCAAGCCACGTGTGGTCCCACTCACTTCAAAAGGGCCTCCAGCTCCCGCTTGACTCTGCCCACCACGGGCGGCCCCTGGAAGGTGAGGGCCGTGTACAGCTGCACCAGGGAGGCCCCTGCCCGGATCTTCTCCAGCGCGTCCTGCCCACTGCTCACACCACCAACCCCAATTATGGGGACTCTGCCTGCAGAGAAGCACATGGCGACCCCATGAAGAAGCCTTCAGCCCTCAGGCCCCCCTGCCGAATACAGTTCAGGGAACACCGATTCTGATCACAACCCCAGAGCCCAGCCCACACACAAATGTGAAGACACAGACACCGAATCCTTGCCTTGGGTGAGTGCGTACATCTCCCGGATGGTTTGCGTTGATAAATCCCGGAGGGGCTTCCCACTCAGCCCTCCCGTTTCAGAGCGCAGGGCACCCTGGAGGCTGGCAGGGCGACTCACTGTGGTGTTCGTGACAATCAATCCATCGACACCCAACTGCCACATGAGACAGAGAAAGAACCTGCTAGTCATGGCACTGATGGACTTGGAGGAGCTTCCCCAGGGGCCTGGGACAGCAGCCAGGCCAGGAGCCCACGCCTGTAGCCCCCAGAAGCAAGAGCTGTACTAGACCTCACTATGCTTCTTGAACAAGTATCAGAATGCGCCCCAACATGACAACAGCAGCCACCATATACCAACCACCCATAACGTTCCACTAGGACAGGGTTAAATCCGTAGAACAACCCACTTTAGCCTGTCTTGTCCCAGGCTTCCACATAGTAAGTGGTGGAACCAGGATTTGAACCCAGGACTGCCAGGCTCAGCCTGTGTTTCCAGTGCTCTCCTACAACTCTGAGACCTGGTGTTAGACTGGAGAGAGAGAGCTAGAATACTCCAGTCTGACCAAGACTGGCCAAGGATGCAAGCACAAGCCTTACAGCCCTTGCTGGATGAAGAGAGGAAAGAGAGGAGGGAAGAGGCATGAGAAAAAGACTCACTCAAAGATTTATTCAAACATTCGCTTTTTATTATGAAGAATTGCATCATGATAGTCACCAGACCAGCCCTCAATACCACAGAAAGGAAAGCACAGGTCTGCCGCTCCGGGCTAGCCCAGCTGGCCTAAAGGCCTCCACGAGCAATGAGGGCTATCCCCCAGGCCCGGGCCCCAGCTCGCACCTCTCTCACCACACTGGCGATGTCCTCCTTGTCCTGGGCTGTAAGGTCAGGCGCAATCTTCACCAGCACGGCCGGCTTGTGCGCTCCCTTCAAGGCATCCCTCTCCTGCAGCACCTGGAGCAACATGTGGCCAGAGATGGGGACCCCAAGACCACAGCCCAGTGGTGCAACCATGACCTGCGGCCACAGACCAGGGTGTTTTTACACCAGCGATCAAACTAAAGCATGAGCAATTTCTCCTTTTCAGGAAACACAGCTCTCAGTTCTGCAATGACCCCTTCAAGACAGATCTGATTCCATTCTCTTGAACTAAGGGATCCCCAAGATTAAATCCCTAATGTCACTGGCATCAGCTAATATATTAAGGTTTATTTAGACTTTTATTCCTAAGAGATAACAAGGAAATACTGTCACGAGTATTGTTTGATGAAAAGTCATTCAATTCGCTCATTCATTCAATGTGCTAGCTGCTAAGGACAGAGACATGGTCCCTGCTGTCACGGACATTATCGTTTAACAGCAGGGACAGATAACGGGGCAACTAATGACTATTGAGCATAAGCACTGTTATGATAGGGAGTGAGAAGTATAGCGAGGCATCCTAACTGACCCAGATGTAAGGACAGCTCCTCAATAGTGACACTGAAGCTTTGTTGCCTTGGACAATGGACAGGAGTCAGTCAGACAAGCAGGTGGAGCAGAGCCTGGAGATGTAATTGCCCACCTTGGTCAGCAGGCAGCGCAGCTCAGCCCTTCCCTGAAGGCTCCGCAGCCCAGCAGTGTTGGGACTGGACACGTTCACCACCAGGTAGTCAGCCAAGGGACCCAAGACCCGAACCCCCTCTGCGTAGTCCAAGGCAGCGTCCGCCGAGGTCTTATTCTTCCCCAGGTTTATTCCTAGTGGCAGCCCATCTGTAAATAGCACTGGTCAATATTTTGTCCCCACTCACCATTTCCTGTACAATATTTTGAAGCTGTCTATGACTAAACAGCCCATAAACATCGTTATGGGCCTTCCACCTCCAAATCTGAACCTTCCGCAGCAGGTGACAAACCCAGTGAGCTACTGCATGGTGCTGCCTGCCGACTAGAAAACGCTCACCGTCTCCGTCCGTGTAGCAATGTGTGCGCAACTATTAGAGGCTTTACTGCATCGTGCCCTTTTTCATTTTTAATATTTAATGGAAAATGGAGAAGTTCAGAGTACAAATACTAGTGATAAAAAAGGTAGGGATCCACACTCCCCTGCCACCCCAGAGACAGGAATGCTCCATTGTGCCAGATGTCATGTCTCTTGCCCCCAGGTGGGTCTGAAGACATCCCCGCCCCATGTGATCTTTCTTTCCTTATTTTAAATTTCTTTCTGTTGAATCACATAACATATGTATGTATACGCACATACATATACCAACACTGCACGCAATTTACCAGCTCGTCTGTTTGGGGGGGCAGGGAGAGTCCTGAGGCCCCTGATATCCCCACTGAAAAATAACCCTAAGAGCCTCTCCTCCCTGTGGATCCTGGGCCAGGGCAGCTGTTTCCACAGGCTGGATGTTTGATGATTAATTAAACATTTCTCTTAATAGAAAAAAAAGGTAGGGCTCATAAATGTAAAACAAGTGAGAAGAGACAGAAAGGAACAGGCCTGTCGGAAGGGACAACTGTTTACTCAGAGGCTGCTTGCTGGACTTGAGTCAGGTGACTGGTGTGCAGTTGCTAAGAAAAAGCAAAATTAAAGTATATGTATCAAATACTGGAAAATACTTTCAATTATCATGTCTACAATGTAGAGGTATAATTATTTTATAATTTATCATTTCAGTTCTCTGAGAAGGGACTCCCCCATGTAAGTTGGGTGACCACACACCCCAGGGCTCCCAGGACAGTCCTGATTGCTCCTGCAGCCGGGGCTGCATGATTAATGCCCGCCCTTCATTCTCAAAAGTGTCTCAATCTATACAGTAAGTAATACTTCACCTCAACTGAAAAATCCCTCAGGTTATCACTTGACTTGCATTTGGGACTTTCAGAAAAATACATTTCAGAAACAGGCTCTGTGTGAAAGCAAGGAGCTGTCTGTACTTGACTTCTCCTAAAATACCATCCTGCCTGCAAAGGTCAACAGTACATCAGTGGTAAAGGCTGCTTTTCCACCTGATGGTTGGGAAAAGATCTGGAATACCAATTTAGCTCACAAAACATGTGCCAGGTCAGGGAGGACCAAAGAATAGCATCTAGTCCTGCTAACCACCTTCTCATACCCTAAATGTAGTCACCCTTTTTTCATCAGCCTGAAATGAGATTTGTATAGCTAGTTTCATGCATGGGGGAAGGGGTTAGAACCCAATTAGACAAAAGTGATTCAGCAAGATCACCAAGCTTCCCAAGTCTAGCATCCATCGAGCCAAGCCATTCGTAAGTTCTACTTCTTTTTCACACAGGTAAACTGGCTTGAGAGACACATGCTTTCATGTAGCTGGTGGAGCTCTCACGAACAGTCATCTGCCCCAAATGATAAGATTTTGGAGTTAGACAGAAATTGCTGAATTACTCTGTCCCTAAAGGGCCCACAGCTCTCGTCGATTCACGTTCCTTGGCCTGGTGCTAGCAGTAAGCTGTCATCAAGGTTCTGGCTGCTGGTGCACACCACGTGCAGAGCTCGGCTACAGGACTGCTTCACCCCAATGACTGTTAGCGACAGAGCAGGGGTGAGGGGATGGGCAAGGGAGAAGAGGGGAGAGAGCTGGTATGAAGAGCACTGGGGACAATTAAAGGAAGAAAAGCAGGGCAAGAAGGCACGAGAGTCTACGGACAGCTAATCTAAGGGCATACAATGGAGAAAAGAAAGTCTTTTCAACAAATGGTGCTGGGAAAACTGGACAGCCACATGTAAAAGAATGAAAATTGACCATTCTTTTTCACTGTTCACCAAAATAAACTCAAAATGGATCAAAGACCTAAAGCTGAGACCTGAAACCATAAGGCTTCTAGAAGAAAATGTAGGCAGTACACTCTTTGACATCAGTATTAAAAGGATCTTTTCGGACACCATGTCTTCCCAGACAAGGGAAACAATGGAAAGAATAAACAAATGGGACTTCATCAGGCTAAAGAGCTTCTTCAAGGCAAAAGAAAACAGTATTGAAACAAAAAAAAAAACCACTAACTGGGAAAAAATATTTGCAAGTAATACATCTGACAAAGGCTTAATATCCATAATATATAAAGAACTCACACAACTCAACAACCAAAAAACAACCCGATCAAAAAATGGGCAGGAGACATAAACAGACATTTCTCCAAAGAAGATATACAGATGGCCAATAGGCACATGAAAAGATGTTCATCATCGCTGATCATCAGGGAAATGCAAATCAAAACTACGCTAAGATATCACCTTACACCCATTAGAATGACAAAAATAACTAAAACAAATAGTAACAAATGTTGGAGAGGTGGTGGAGAAAAAGGAACCCTCATACACTGCTGGTGGGAATGCAAACTGGTGCAGCCACTATGGAAAACAGTATGGAGATTCCTCAAAAAATTAAAAATAGAACTACCATATGATCTAGCTATTCCACTACTGGGTATCTATCCAGAGAGCTTGAAGTCAGAATTCCAAAAGTCCTATGCACCCCAATGTTTATTGCAGCATTATTTACAATAGCCAAGACATGGAAGCAATCTAAGTGCCCATCAACAGATGATTGGATAAAGAAGATGTGGTATATATATACAATGGAATACTACTCAGCCTTAAAAAAGAACAAAATTGTCCCATTTGCAACAACATGGATGGACTTTGAGGGAATTATGTTAAGTGAAATAAGTCCGATAGAGAACGACAATCTCTGTATGACTCCACTCATATGAGGAATTTAAACCTGTGGACTAAGAGAACAGATTAGTGGCTACCAGGGGAAAGGGGGGGGTGGGCACAAAGGGTGAAGTGGTGCACCTACAACACGACTGACAGACAATAATATACAACTGAAATTTCACAAGATTGTAACCTATCATTAACTCAATAAAAAATTTTTTAAAAAAAGAAGGCAGGAGAGTATCCCAAACCATGACAGTCACGTTCTGACCTTCCAAGTTCCCCCGTTGGGAGGGTCTGTAGTACAGTAGGGTCTGGTTCTACCAAAGCCCAGGATTTCTAAACAAGGTCACCTCCTACTCCCAAATCAGACTGCTGACTGTCTTGGCCCTTTCAATGTCGCTTCCCGAAATGAATCTGATATCCAGGGGTTTTTCTCATCTCGCCACCAGGACAACTAATGAAACTAAAACTTCCTGGAAGGAGTTCCAGAGGGACCCAAAGAAGCAAATGGCCTCAGCCTCACACAATCCCAGAGGGCACCTGGGAAGGTACGGTGAGGACACAGCACCGTGACTATTACGTGCATCCTGAGGGACAGCAAAGCAGGGAGCCCCAGAGAATAAACATCAGCATCTCTGAAGGCGGCCTTCAAAAATGTGTGGTGTTTCCAAACAAGTTGTGAAGGATATTTTCCCAAATGCCAGGAGTAGGTATCTCTTCGGGGGAGGAATATGAGCCTCTTAATTTTCTTCTTTATGCTTCTCTGTATTTACTAACAGTTCTGTAATTAACATGCATTATTTATATAATGGACAAAAGGACAACAGAGCGGGACGTAGGGAGATGGCGCTCAAACCAGGCTCACACCTTAACTACCTACGTGATCACAGAGGAGCCACTCTGCTCACTTCCGAGCTGCCCTAGTTGTGATATAACAAAAGTTACGTAACGAGGCAGAAACTAAGTGTGTCTTTGCTAAATTGTGAAATTCAGTTAAAACCTGGGATGCTGTGGAGGAGCCAGGAAGCTTCCTCTAGGAGATGAGCCCTGAGTTCCAGAGTGTTTTTTCCTATTGCTCAGTCATGTTCATTTCACTAGGAATGTCCCTGACGTTCCTCCCACATTTCCTTCCAACAAATGAGAAGGGCCGTCTCACGCACTCCCACTTTACCTTCTGTGAGCCTGGCCTGCTTCTGCTGTCTGGCCCGTAACCTGTGTTCCACCACTGAGAGTCCGTGACTGTTAAATCCGTATCTGCAGCACACAAACGGATGAGGAGGGAACAAGGTTAGAGCCCTCAGCCAGAGGCAAAGACCCTGGAGAGATGGCTCCATGGCCACTCCCACCGTATACTTAAGTCTTTCAAAAACAGAAAAGAAAAAAATCAGAGTCAGTTCTTAGACTTCCAAGGTCTAAACAGCTCTGGAACTCCTAGAGAGCTTACCAGAACACCATCAAACACTAACAGAAAGATTAAAATCTGCAAACAAGCCGCTCAGCCAACTGGCACTGGAAATAGCGCAGACTCGGCTGCGTAGCTGCCCCAGACGTGGGGGGCCAGCCCGACTCCTCCCACCCGGTGGAGCCCTCACCACTCTGACAACCCCTCCCCATCCCACCTGTGCTCCACGAACACCTCCTGGAACCCATCCTGCTACTCCATTGCCCCATCCTTCTGCCTCTTAAAACTGTCCCCTCTTCCTGACCAGATCAAATGCTCCCTCTCCTCTCTGCATAAAGCTCCCAGCAACAAATGATCCCTCACCCTGTGCCATCCAGGGGGTGCTTTCTCTTGGCTCGGGATGTATATGCATGCTTAAGTTCCCTTACTGGGTTATAATCTTCTTGAGGACAAGGAGCATGTCTTACTTCTCCATCACCCTGTGCCACTGGACTCTCCACAAAGGCAAGGACCTCATCTTTGCTCGTCTCCGTCTCCCCAGACCCACTCTGCGTTGTTGACCTCCCTTCCTCTTTGCCAGTGGAACCCAGCTCCCCTGAGATGGGTGAAAATACCAATGACTCCTTCCCCAGCCTGGCTGGCAAGTGAAGCATGAACATGGGACCAGGTGTGGTCACTGAGACACCAGGTGATGCCCACCAGGGAACTTCCAGGACAATTCCCCCCATATCTAGGCTTCCTTTCCCCTCTCTGCTCTTGGTTGTCCACGTGCGAGGACGTAATGCTTGCAGCTGGCGTAGCCGTCTTACAAACAAGGGAAGGCCCAGAGAAGCCAGACCAGAGTCCTCAATTGCCCTGCTGCTCAACCAGCCCTGGAACTGCCTACTACACCTGTTATGAGAAGAAAATAACAACAAACGCCACTTTGTTACTTGCAGCTGAAAACACCTAATGGATGCAGTGGCACATGTAATTGTTGACTTAAATAAACTCTTCCGTTCATTCAGCAAGCGTTTGAGCACCCACTATGTGCCACACAGAGCAAGGAGGCTGAGCACAGGCCCTCCTCTCTCAGCCACTTCTCATCTACGGGATTCTGCCGAGTACCATCATCCTGGTACCTGCAGCCAAATCGTAAACAAATGTATTGTCCCTGGACATTCTGAAGATATCCATCCCAGCCTGCACTGCGGCAGGAAGATCAATAACTTCATCTCTAATGCTGGAAAATTTCCCTGAAACAAGCACAATAAAGCAGGAAGCACAGCCAAATAAACTTCCCACCATCAGTCCCCCAGAAGGTTATTAATGGTCCCAGAGATGCCTATCAAATCCCCCCAAGGAAGCTCTCAAATTCTGTTACCAAATGGGAGGACCTTCTTCCCTTTTGGGTTTGCTGTAGTGAAAACTGCCCAGGGATTACAAAGAGAAGGGCTTTACACAATCTAGAAGCCTCTCTCTTACTAAAAGCAGCTGCATATTTGATTATTAAATTCTCCAGTTTACCAAAGCCTAGGTCTGTGCTGTCCAATATAAGAGCCGCAGCCACACGTGCTACTGAGCACTTGAACGTGAGCAGTCCACACTGAGAGGAGCTGAGGTCACACATACACTGGATTTGGAAGACTTGGTACAAGTAAAAGACAGTAACTGGCCACACAATCATTTTATGTTAATTATGTTAAAATGATGATATTTAGAACATATTATTTATAGTTAAATAATATAATTGTTACAAATAATTAACTGGAATATATTATTAAAATTAACTTCACCTATTTCCTTTTACCACTTTATTGGGGCTACTAGAATATTTTAAATTACACATGGGGCTCGCATTATGTTTCTACTGGACAGCACTGGCAAAGGCAGTGGAGCAACAATGTGGAGAAAGCACAAACTCTAAAGTCAAATAAGCCTAAATGCGTTCCAAGCTCTCCTGCTCATGATGTCATGCCTGTAGCTAAGTTACGTAGCTTTCCAAGCCTCACTTTGTATACGTGTTAAACTGAAACCATAAAACCTGCTTTTATGCCTCCACATAGTAGATGCTCAATGGTTCTGGAACATTCCAAATGACAGAAAAATGTCCACACTGTATGACAGAAAAAAACATCCTGAGTGCCCTGCTGGGAAGCAGGCATCCCTGTCACCTCCGGGCCACTCACCTACCTGTTAATGATGGCTTGGTCCTGGGGGAGGCGGAAGACTCTGGGTCTGGGGTTTCCTTCCTGAGGTTTTGGGGTAACACTGCCTACCTCCACAAAACCAAAGCCCATCTTGTAAAGTCCATCCACAGCTTCCCCATGCTTGTCAAATCCTGCAGCAATTCCTACTGGATTTCGGAATTTATGGCCCAGGACTCTCACTTCCTGGGGAGAGAGACACAAAGTCAGAGGTACACAAGGCTACACCGGTGTTTGTCCAAGCGTGGTCCCCAGCACACCTACATCATAACCACCTGGGGAGCTTGCTAAGCATCAGATTCCAGGGCTCGTCCTCAGACCAAGGAATCAGAATCTTTGGGGGAGGGTGAGACAGAATGTAGTTCTGAGGGAACCATTTTTTTTTTTGAGGAAGGTTAGTCCTGAGCTAACATCTGCTGCCAATCTTCCTCTCTTTGCTGAGGAAGATTTGCCCTGAGCTAACATCCATGCCCATCTTCCTCTACTTTATATGTGGGACACCTGTCACAGCATGGCTGGACAAGGCCGCTGAAGTCGAGTGTGCAAACTTAACCACTACACTACACTTGGGCTGGCCCCCAAGGGAATCTATTTTTAACAGTGCTTTCCAGGTGATTCTGATGCCTGCTGGAGTTTGAGAACCATTAGGCTTTACCATCACCAAGACTGAGGAGAAAAATAGTGTTTCCGCAATGGGTTGAGCAGGAGATGGACACTGTCTTTTCCAACTATGGTTAAGATTTGTACCTTCTTATCCAATACCCTTGCTGGGGAGAGTGACTCCCTAGGGTCAGCCCCTGGACAGCGCTCTTCTGAAACAGGGTGTCAAGCAACAAAATTCTTTCATCAGCTTAGTAAGTCAGCCTCAACTGTGTCCCTCCTCAGCCAGGCTGATAGAAGCCCCAGCAATGTCCCAGACTCCCGTGGGGTGTGAAAGGGAGGCAAGTACTCGGCTGGGCAGAAGTGATTGCTGGGCTCCAGAACCAGGATGTGGCTGGAGACGAGCTCTTCCCTGTCAGACGTGGGGTGGATTCCAGGCTGTTCTCTAAAATGAGAGTGACCAAGGCCTAATTACTGTCAGGTCTAGCCTAGCCTGCCTCCTGAGTAATTCGGGATTCCTGCCCTGATGGAGCTAACAAATCTAGTAGCAACACAAATGCTTTAAAAGCCATGAAAGAAATCAAGAGCTATCATAAAGCCAGCAGTTGCCAGTGGAATCCATCACTGCTGGCTGATGTGGTGGGAAAACCTTGGCAGGACTAGCAAAGGTCTCCAAGGGTGGGCGCCATCTGGTCCTGGAAGCAGGAGGTGGAAAGGCTGAAACAACACATGGAGGTGCAGGGGTGCACGCAGCACCTCGGGGACTATAAGGCAGGACGTGTGCTAGACCAGGGCACCTTCCTCGAGGACCGTGGCTCTCAACCCTGGTGCGTGACAGATCCCCTGGGGAGCATTTAGTCCTCATGCCCAGAACTTATGGTCTGGCATGAGGCCAGAGCATCTGTATCTTCCAGAAGCACCCCCAGGTGATTCTAACACACCACCAGGACTGAGAACCACAGAATTAGGGAAATGATGGAGAGCCCAGACAAGGAAGTTAAGTTGGGGTGAGATGATCAAGAGTCCCGCTGTCAGTTAAGGAGGCTGGACTACATCCTAATTAATGAGGTGCTGAAGGTGGGGACCCACACAGCAGTGTTCAGAACGACAGGTCAGAGGCCACAGTTGCTCTCACTATCGGCTGTGTTTACGTGGACAGAGCTCTGTACCTCCCCCGCCATAACCTACTTCCTTCCAAATCCACCCATCTCTGCAGCCCACTCCTTACTCACTCCTGTTACCCTGGGTTCCAGGATTTCCACACAAGCAGCTTTGCATGAGGACGGCAGAGAGAAAAGAACGCTCTTTCTGATTCTACAGTGCCTTTCAGTGTCTAGGCATGGTAAGTCGGGTAAAATTACACATCAGCTCAAAACTGCAGGCTGGGAAGTGAAAAGGATTCTAAAACAAAAAGGGAAACTGTCGAGAAGGGCGCCTTGATGGACAATAGTGACGTGTCCCCAGAGAGGTCTGAGTGCTTCTCGTTGGTGTTTTCTTCGTGTTCACATCATTCTAATGTCCCCCATTTGGTAAGAAGTCTCAGATGGAAACTGTCAGGGCTACACAAGGCTGTAGATTCTGGGATGACATGGATCCTTCTATCTTGTGTGCTGCAGGGACCCTGACACACAGAACAGTCAGGGGCGAGTGGTGGGCCCACGTGTTGAATCTAGGGCTGAAGGAGGCTGGGACAAGTGTTTGTATGCCTTCCTCAAAGGGCTTGGCTGGATGTGCCTCTGTCACACTAGATGTTTAATGACTCTGGCATGCTTCCCTATTTAGCAGAGCTATCTGAGACTGCAGCAAGGTAGGATAGGGGCTAAGGGGATGGATGCTGAGCCAGACTCTAGGGGTTTGAATCCTGGCTCAGCCACTTCCTAGCTGTGTGCCTTTGAGTAAGTCACCTGACTACTCTGTACCTCAGTGTCCTGATGGGGATGGGGATGACAGTTCCTTGGGGGTGCAGTGGGGCTAACCTGGGATTCTGGCTTTCAAAAGGATCAGCCCAAGCTGAGTAAATTAGGGGACTTTGACCTTGACCCTCTATCTATCGCACAAGGTGTTCCAAGAGCACCTACCAGCATGTCAGAGTCTTCAAACGAGGCACGAGGAAGGAGCCCCAGGGAGGTGAAGCGAACAGCCAGCCTGTGGGCTGACTCAGGGTCCAGCAGCCTCTGCAGAGCCGGCATCAAGTGTTCAGCGTAGAAATGCTCATCCCCCGTGGCCATCAGGTAAGAGGCGAAGAGAAGTCCTCCACCCCCCAGGATGACCACAGCATCCTGGGCCCGCTTCTGGGAAAAAGAGCACCCTCTGAGCCCTTTACACCCAGACACACACAGAGGACATAATGACATGTGACATGAAGCGATGTCCCTAGCCTTCTGCTAACACTGGTCTCCTTCTTTTCCAGTCTTGCTCACCCACGGGCCTCCCCAGTCAGAAGCTGTATCTACACTTCTGCTGACACACACTCCTCTGGCCCTGAAGGACTCCAGGCCTGAGCTTTCAAGAGGGGCAGCAGTGCCCCCTAGGGGACATGTGGTGGCCACGTCGGGGGAATGCTAATAGATATAGTGGGGAGGACTCAGTAATGTCAGACATCCTGCATTGCTTTGAGGCGATCTGACACATGGACCTACTGTTTGACATTCAGTAGGTAAAAATATCTGTTCATATTATCTGAGCCTGGAGCCAAACTATATTTCACCACATAAACAAAAACTATCTCCTGCACAGTTTTCATATACATTGACTTCTCCAGGAATGTGATTACCTTGAAAACTGAGGGAGGACTACACTGTCCCACACAGAACATCACCAGGACTTGTCCACCATTTCAGAAAAGCCCATCAAGAATGGGCCGATGCTTTGCTTGGGATGTTTGACAATAAAACATACCTGTGGCGCTGGGATTTCTAAGTAGAGGCTTAAACACCTATCTCACGCTCTAGGTGACTCATGCCCCAACATTCACATATTGAAATATATATTACTTTTTTACAAATTCCTTTCATTTCTCCTTTATATTCCAGTTAGGACATTATGTTGACTTTTAAAAATTATACATAGATTACATTATACATAAATGCCATTTCAGAATAATAAAGGGGGTTGCAAAATATTTGTTTTTTAAGGAACATCAGGTCTTAGTGGATCAAGCTCAAACATGGCTCATAATGCTTTTCTCTAATTGTCCCTGCCAGATACTGAGTCACTCATTCATTCATTCAATTACTCATCAAATAGTATTGAGCACTCAAAGGGGGCTGAACAGACGGAGTCCCAGCTGTCATGAAGAACACAGCTGCATGAGGAGATAGAAATCAATGATCATGCACATACACAACTGTGACAATGCTCTGAAGAAAAAATGTATAGGATAACGGAAGAACTCAACCTAATCTTGGAGGGAAAGGCTTCCTGGAGGAGGTGACTTAAAGCTGATATTCAAAGGATAAATAGCAGTTAACTAAGAGGAAGTGGCGGGAGGAAGAAGTGTAAAGGCTCTCTCAGTGGCAGAGGAGAATGAGTTGCACCGACGAAACAGAAGGAGAAAGGTTCATTTGGAACCACTGGTGAGGAAAAGTATGGCTTAAAAAAAAAGCTGAGGAGACGGGCAGCGGTATCGGCCAGAAAAAAGATTTGCGTTTTGTTCCGAAACAAGGAAGTGACATGATCAGATTTGCCTAGAAGGATCACTCGTAGCTGGCGATGCAGATCAAGTACTCATTGTCTCGCTTCTAGTCTCCTCCAGGAGATTGTAGCAACGCCCCTTATGTCAATCAACAATTATCTGAGCACCGTTACTTAGACGCCCACCCTAAAATTTCATCTAGAAGGGTTGGGACCATGTCTTACTGTAATTTCACCCCACGTTGGATAATGCACACAATGCCAGGCCGCCATGTGTTCACTAGGCGCCCCTGTGCAAGGTTCAATAAGTTTGGCCCACGTGCGCCGACACAGATCAGCATCTACCAGGTTTACACGTGCCGTTTACACACAGTGACCAAGTACACGTGTAAGTGCACACGCCATGAGCATTTGCAGGTGCCCCCAAGGACATACAAACGTGCCAAAGTGGCGCACGCTCTGGGAGCCTCCTCCCGCCCACTCCTCCTCCAAGACAGCCCTCCCTATCCCCTCGCCCCGCTCCCGTCCGGGCTCTTCCTCGCCACCTCAGAGCCCCACTTCTGGACTCACTTTCAGCTGTCTCCAGGCCATGCTCCTTCCGCCACTGGGCCCGCCTCTGTCTCGTTTCCATTGGAGGAAATGGCGGTAAACCCTCCCCCCTCTAATCCACGCCCCTGGAGCTGCCAATTCACCAATCGCCGGGCAGGAGGGCGGGGCAGGCCTCTGGGCGGTGGGGAACCCTGGCTCCGCCCCGGGGGGGAGGGGCTGGTGAGACGCTCACGCGCAGACGCAATGGCGCCGGCCCCGCCTCTTCCACCTGCCTCTGCGCGTCCGCGGTGCACTTCGCAGAGGTGCGGGGGCGCTCACGATGGGGTACTGTGTCGGCTGCGTTTGCGGTCCTGCAGCCTGAACAAAAGACGAATTACATATTGATTCTTCAATTCTAAGCAACACTCTCACCAATTTTTTTGATCATTTAAGTTAAGCGTTTTATTGATCTGCTTGTGCTCTAGATAAAGCAGGTATTAAGAGGGGATATCAGGTTCAGTAAAAGGGTTGAAAAGAATTACAGCACTGTGTAAGTATACCCGAGTTGACTTTCAGAGAGGATTCCGTCACGTCAGGTTTCACTTTAAAATTCCTGAAACGTGTGTACGTATGCTTATGAGCATGTTAGGAAATTAAGACTTTGTAATTGAAAGTATCCTGCACCCAAACGATCCCCTTGGTGGACTCCTTTGCTGAGAAACCTTCTAAATTGCAAACTTTTTTCCCTGGGATTTGAAACATTTCCGTTTTCTAGTTTCAGTTCCCGCTACTGTCCCCCCAAGTACTCCCCCACACACACACTCACAGACCCAGTGTTTAACTTCTTTCTCTTCATAAATACCTTTTACTTTCTCACTTATGTGCGTTTACTCACATTGACTCCTTTGCCAAGATGCCACTTTCGTCTGTCTAATATGGCCATCCTTACACGTTCAATTCAAGCGCTGAAAATAATTTCTTCCTCATCTGAACCTTCATAGATTTAATCTGTACTTCCCTAGTGGCACTTTATTAATTACACTTATTATGCCTTTAATAACTACAATTTTTATGTCTTTTCTTCCCTAATTAGAACTAAACTTTTTTAAAGTAGAGACCATGCCGTATTAATCTTTCTTTTGATTACTGCAGTGTTTTTCAGACAGGGGTGTATTCTTAGGGTCTACACTTCAGAGAATTTTTTATTTTGGTGTCCACTTCCATAATGATTTTTAAAAATAATGTAAGCATCATTTGGACCATTTGGATAACAACTGAACCCTGAAACTTGCCGAGTGATTGCAGAGCCCATGCTTACTTGTATTTATGGTCACATAAAAAAGAAAGAGAACTGGCTGAAATACATCAATGATGGATGTGCTACAGGTGAAGGCCAAATGACATGCTGTATTAACAAAGGTTTTTCACCGAGTTAAATTTTAAAAAGTGCTGAGAGAGTTGATTCTCTTATACAGCGGGAAGTAGCATGCATGACAAATTCAAAAGAACCTTTGCGGTTGCAGGCCAGAACCTTGTGTATCTGACAAGTGGCTATTTAGTTCAGCCAAATTTGAATTTCATTGGTTTTTGGTTTTGTTTATATTTAATTTGTATTCAATATTTCATCAAATATTTATTCTTTGGCTTTTATGATTATATAAGAGATTTAGGATAGAGTTTATGCCTAGTTTCATGTGTGAATGTGTTTAAGAAAGAGAATACAATAATTTCAATCCATCCTAGGGGTCTGCAAGAATGGTTTTCTATTTTTAAAAAAAAACATACATTTCTCAATTTTTAGGAACACTGACTTCGATATTCATCAGCCTCTACTCCCTTACAGCTTAGACTTAGCAAATAAAGATCTATTAGAAAGCTAAAGGCATATCCGGTTGTGTAGACACAGATGGTGGTGCCCCAGCTCTAAATGCCCATTGCTTTGTTGATCTTTGCTATTTGTTTTCAGCTTATAGAAACCCCACCTGGATCCTTAAAACAAAACCAAACAAAGCCTTTGTCTCCTTGACAAATTATTCGCAATTCCTAAAGGAATAATACTAATAAGTAAGACAAACCCCCCAGGAATATATTTAAAGGACCAGGCAGCTGCTGAGCCCCTACACTTTTCATGCTCACAGTTGACAGAGAAAATGTTCTTCCAAAGAAGAACGTGGCTTTGGTTATACATTAGAACAAGCATCATTCTAGGAAGTGAGCTAAAGAGCCCAGAGCAACATGGGAAAATAACCTGTTATCAGCTTAACAAGTTTCCCTGCAGCTTTGAGGAAGCAGAAAATTACTGTCGTGCTCAAAGAGGACACCTTGCCTCCACATGGAACCAGGAGGGTCAAGATCTCATCCATGGCCTTTTGGAACAAGGGAAGAAGTGGTGGATTGGACAAAATTTAATGCCACTGGGAAAAAATAAAGAAAAACACAGCCCAGGTAAGGCTCTGAGGTTTGGTGTTTATGAAGGAAACTTTCTGCCTTTGTATACAGAACATCAGTCACTTTACTTCATTCCCATCATTCCTCTGGAATATTTCCATCTTGTGCTGCAGCCCCTGGTTTGTCTGTGTAGCAAAGATGATGAGATTTTTCTCAGAGCCTATCAAAAATTAATTTACCTAATATTTCACTAAGTATTAATGCTAGATTCTGAAGTGGAAAACCTCTTATGGTCACTTTTTCCTTGGTAAATCTCTCTTCATCATTCTCGGCTCCAAGTTTCCTAACACAGAAACTAGGAGAGCAATTATTTGCCTGTTGTCTTTATTACATAGATATTTTCAAAATTATGCACCATAGTCTTGTGGTCTTAGAGAAAAATCCAGGGCATTATTATATCATCGTCATCTTCATTGAAGTCTAGGTAAATGAATAATGAGTCTTGTGATAAAGAACACACAATATGAAAAAATAATCTATAATATGTGGGGGAAATCCTAAGTTTTCATCTATTAGAAGCTAGCAACATTTGATTTTCATAGTTACTTTAAAAAAAGATTTGACTTTTGAGTAAGAGGCTCATCTGGGTCTGGTCTCCCTTCAGCAGGTGCCGCAGCCCACCAGAACCCAGAGCCCTCCAGGTGCACCTACGTGTCCAGAAACTCCCATTTGATCTCATCCAAAGTGGATGTATGCTCACGGAGGCATTATTTCATCTGCCAGGCTGGTAGGTGATGAAGTTACATGCTACCAAAGACCCAGCTTTTAGAAACTGATTCTAAATAAGGAGAGCACATGAGAGTAGTCAAGAGTCTATGAGTGACAGACCATAGGACAGACATAGGGATTTTGATTTTCATGATATTGATCAGAGGGAGAAACTGTTCCTTTGCAGTGACTTCCTTACTCATCCCACTCTGGTAGTTGGAAAGAGTTGTGCCTTCATGTTCCCTTCATTTCTTGACTTGGGCGGAATGTGGGAGAACGTGTATTGGTAAGCTCCATTTTCCACATATACACCCCTAAACCATTCAGCCCTTGGGCTTTAGAGGGAGGAATAAGAACCAAAGGAAGAAGAGAGAATATAGTGTAGGAAAATGAGGCGAGGAAGGGGGAGGAGGTTGTTATCAATTAGAGGTTTGCTTCCTCCGAAGTAGGGGATCAGGATTAAGGGGGGGTGTGCAGTTGGGTGTTGGGGTCTTTTTTTAAATTAAGCAATGACTTTCATGGTGGTGACTATATAAAGCATTTATTGTTAGCTCAGTGGATTCTCGGAGACTTACAATGTCTCAGACGGTCTAGCCAAAAATTTTGTTTGACTTTTTAAAAAATCACAAATGCATTCTTATTAAAATATGAAGCATCTAGGGGCTGGCCCCGTGGCCGAGTGGTTAAGTTCGCGCGCTCCGCTGCAGGCAGCCCAGTGCTTCGTGAGTTCGAATCCTGGGCGCGGACATGGCACTGTTCATCAAACCACGCTGAGGCAGCGTCCCACATGCCACAACTGGAAGGACCCACAACTAAGAATATACAGCTGTGTACTGGGGGGCTTTGGGGAGAAAACGGAAAAAAATAAAATCTTTAAAAAAAAAATATGAAGCATCTATATGTGCTTCATAAAACAGAATACCTTATGATATTTCTCTATTACAAGAAAAAAAAAAAAAGATTACCTTCCTCAAATACTGGGTATTGAAAGGAACCAGTATTTCAAGGTAATGGCTTTCTAGCTTCAAAACTCTCAGTCTTCACCGTTTCCAGCTCTTTGTGATCTGTTGGTCCTCTCTCGCCTCGTAGCGGGCTGTTGTTGATGAGGCCAAGGTTGTGAGCCTAAACTCTGCACAGCCAAGTGGTCCTGTGTTTCGTTCTCACAAACTGTGTATGTAACACTGGCCAGCCATCTTACAATTGTGAACTGTTTTTCATCATAACGAGAAGTTATTTAGCCCAACCCATATCCAGGACTGGAAAAGCAATCCATTGTACAGTTTAAATGATGATGATTACCTATCCATTTTAACTCCTCAGGACTTGAGTTTTTAGACATTCTCAACTACTCTTGGTTTTGGAGTGAAAATTCGTTTCCTGATATTATCATTCATGTACAGTCATGGGCCGCATAACAATGTTTCGGTCAATGACAGACCACGTCTACCATGGTGGTCCCTTAAGATTAGTGCTGTATAGCCTAGGTGTGTGGTAGGCTATACCATCTAGGTTTGTGCAAGTACACTCTATGATGTTCACACAACAATGAAATCACCTCACAATGCATTTCTCAGAATGTATCCCAGTCATTAAGCAACACATGACTGTACTTGCAAGAGATTACTGCTATGGAATATAAAATGTTTGTGCAGCAGATAATCTAGACAAAAAGAATTCTATTCAATTAATCTAACCCAATTTTGCAAATTCTGAGCCTGTATGTCCATAATGAGAGGAAGTATGTTACTGCAGGTAGAACCTGGGCTCATAGTCAGACTTCCTGAGTTCATATCTTGATTCCATGACTTTCCAGTGGTGGCACCTGGGCAAGAAACTTACCCTCTATGCAGCCCAGTTTCCCTCAAAGGATCATTATGAGGATTAAGTAAGATGATATAGGTAAAGTATTAGAACACAGCCTGGCATACGATCGTAATTGTTACTGTTAACATTATATTATTGTGCAATTTCTATTTTTTGTCCTAAGTTTATTTTCTGCTTCTAGATAGCTTCACATTCATGTCAAAGGTGAAAATACTTTTGGAGATCCGATATTGCTAGCTACCTTTAAAACTAAAGTGCTGGCACAATGTAATTGCTTAGAAGTATTCAGAAATAACTTTTGTTGTCATAGTGTTTACAAATTTTATTATCAACTTAAGAAATATCTCTTCCAAAATAACATGTTGATGGGAAAAGTATTTGTAAATTTTTTCCTTAGGATTCAAAAGAGGCGTCTATTGCCTCATATTATCGTACAGTATTACTGAGGGTGCAGATTAACTTTATCATACTGGAATAAACTCATGATTTTCCTTCATGTATCATTAAAAAATAAACAAAAACACGTAAAGATTAAGCTCACATATAAAAGTATTCCTTTCTAAGAGAGTTTTATTTTCAGAGCATTGGAATAAGAAGTAACAGTTTGTGTTCAAAGTGCTGTTGTAATAGTGTTGACGTTCAGCTTGTGTGTACCAAGACAGCCATACTGCTTGTGAAAGCCTGGAAATACTTCCATGCCATTGGTAAAGTAAAATGATATTATAGATGCATTACTTCAAACTAACTATCATAGGACAACACAACCACTGAGAAATGGAGTTCTGTCCTGGCAACACCTGAAAAATATCTGGAACGTTATCTGCCGTTTGGGCTGAGGTCACATCCTTTGAAACACTCTTGTGCTTTAACAGAATCGTCACTTTGTCATTATCCTTGAGTTATATACAGTTACAATTGGTCATCCATAGAAAGAAAAATAAACCTTGACCTAATGCTCCAGCTTATAAGAAATTAACTCAAAATAGACCATGGACTTAAATGTAAACTTTAAACCTGCAGAAAAGGAGGGGGGAGAAAACACGAGAAGATCTTTAGGACTCAGGACTAGGCAGAGTTTTTAGTCTTGACATCAAAAGCACGATCTCTGAAAGGGAAAATTGATACGTTAGACTTCATCAAAATTTTAAAAGGTTTTGCTCTGAGAAGGACCCTATTAAGAAGGTGAAAGATAAACCACAGACTGGGAGAAAATATTTGCAAACCACACATCAGACAGAGGACTTGTTTCCGGACTATATAAAGAAATTTCAAAATTCAACGGTGAAAAACAGACAACACAATTTGAAAATGAGCAAAAGACATGAAGAGGCAGGTCACTGAAGAAGATATACAGAGGGCAAATGAGCCCATGCAAAGATGTTCAACAGCTTTAGCCATTAGGGAAATGCAAATGAAAACCACAATGAGGGCCATGCTCGTGGCCCACTGATTAAGTTCGCATGCTCCACTTTCGTGGCGGGTGGTTCACCAGTTCAGATCCTGGGTGCGGACCTACACACCACTCTTCAAGCCACACTGTGGCAGCACGCCACATAGAAGAACTAGAATGACTTCCAACTAGGATATGCAGCTATGTTCTGGCACTTTGGGGAGAAAAGAGAAAAAAAAAGAGGAAGGTTGGCAACAGATGTTAGCTCAGGGTCAGTCTTCTTCATCAAGAAAAAAAAAGAAAACCACAATGAGATATCACCACACACCTATAAGAATGGCTTAAAAAAAAAAAAGAGTAGTGACAACACCAAATTCTTGTGAGGATGCAGAGAAACTGGATCATTCCTACATTGTTGGGGTGAATACAAAATGGCACAGCCACTCTGGAGAGCTGTTTGGCAGTTTCTTAAAATCCTAGATATACAACCCAGCAACTGTACTCCTGGGCATTTATTGCAAAGAAATGAAAACCTGTGTTTTCACAAAAACGTGTACATGAATGCTTATAGCAGCCTTTTAATCTCTATGTACTGCAATGGGGTTATCTCTATATTTTTTTAGTGGAAAAAAAAAGCAAGCTGCAGAACAACGTATATAGTATGCTACACTAATCTAAGAAAGGGGGTAATAGGAACATATATGCATATATATGTATATATATATAAACATAATAGAAAAACAAACAAAAACTAATGAAAATAATTACCTGTGGGGGAAGAATAGAGGAGAAAGGACAAAGATGGAATTTAGTCCTCTCTGAATGTACCTTGTTTTATAATTTTGACATTGGAACTCTATAAATGTTTTACATAGTTAGAAAACGAACTTAAATTAAAAAACACCCCTAAAAATAAGGAAAAAGAGATAGCAGGAGAGGAATTCGATCTAGCAAGTTTAGACAACTTTTTAAAGGAATTCTGCTCAAGAGTAGGAATGAGCTGGAGCAATAGTTCATGAGGGAACGTAAACTGGTGGATTTTTTTTCTTAAGATGGGAAAAAGTCTGCTGGAGGGATGTTCTGGATCCGAGCTGGTGCCGGATTACAGGGACTCACTTTGGGTAGGAGCACGGAGAGCTGGAAGTAACGGGAGAGAAGGTGGTGTCCGTGGGTACAGATATTGGTAGGTGGCGGCTGTGGTGGGAGGAGTCTGTGAAAGAACTCTTTTAATTGCTTCCGTTTTCTCCCTGAGATGGAAAGCAAGGTTATCACCTGACGTGAGAATGCGGATCAGGGAGACTCCTAGTTGTCGGAGGAAGGGGGAGAGTCTTGTAAGAGAGCTGAAGTGTGAACAGACGAGGGGATGCAGCCTGATTGCCAGGCGGCGAGAAGGCAGGCCACTCGAGGCTGCTAATCCTGAATCTAACCTGAGATGTGGTCAGTGAGGTTGCATGATTTTCTCTAGCCATGTCCACCAGCACGTGTGAGAAACAACAACGTACACAAGGAGGCATGTTCAAGAATGTTACTGACCGCCTTCTGAACTCTTTTATCCCTACCAATAAAAATTATAGAATACCAAGGAGAGTATTATGCTTAGAATGTAATTTCCTTATTTTTTTAAAGATTGGCACCTGAGCTAACATCTGTTGCCAATCTTCTTTTTTTTTTTCTTCTTCCCAAAGCCCCCCAGTACATAGTTGTGTATTCTAGTTGTAGGTCCTTTTGGGTCTGCTATGTGGGACACGAGCTCAGTGTAGCTTTTTTTTTTTTTTTTTTTTGAGGAAGATTACCCCTGAGCTAGCATCTGCCACCAATCCTCCTCTTTTTGCTGAGGAAGACTGGCCCTGAGCTAACATCTGCTTCCTCTATTTTATGTGGGACGCCTGCCACAGCATGGCTTGACAAGTGGTGCCATGTCCACACCCAGGATCTGAACCAGTGAACCCCCGACTGCTGAAGCGGAGTGAGTGAACTTAACTGCTGCACTGCCTGGCATCCCCTCAGCATGGTTTGATGAATGGTGCTAGGTCCGTGCCCAGGATCTGAACTGGGGAAACCCTGGGCCACCAAAGCAGAGCACAGGAGCTTAACCACTTGGCCACAGGGTCGACTCCTAGAATGCACTTTCTTAAAATGAACTTAATTCTTTGTCTTCTCAGTGTTGACCCCATCAGTGGACCTAATTTTGAGATGTTGGAGAGTATAAGGTGACATGACTGTGCTCAGAGCAAAAGAGCTACTTCAGGATTCCTACGTTATTGTTCTAAATTAAAAAAAAAAAAAAAACTGGATAGTAATCTTTAGTTTGTGGTTTCTTGATGATCACATATGCACTTGTAATGATTATTTTATAGACTTAATCTAGAGCTATCTCCTGTAAATTAACTTTTGCATTCGCCTCCAAATAGATGACTTTTCAGACCAAGATGCCAGTTATGAAAGAAACGGAAATAATTCTCATCTACCTTGGAGACCCAAAAAGACAACAGAAGAAGTGGCAATAATGAGAGACAAAATGACCTCAGGTACTGTGTGGCGGAATCAATTCCCACCTTAAAGGGTGCACAGACTGAATTAATGCTGAAATGTGTCATCATAACACTCACCCAATAAATATTCCTTGCCTTCTATTTTGTCTGACCTTAATATTTCAGTCTTTGCTTTCAGTTTATATATACTTATTTTCTTGATATGTCTTTGGCCATCTTCTTTTCACGTACGCCCAAATAAAAGACAAGGTTTTCTTCCCAAGAAAAAGAGAGACTTCTTAAAGAAGACTCTGGAGCTTCTTTTTAAAAAAAAGTCTTCTTAAAAAGTCCTTGCAAAGTCTTTCAGATTGTGGCTTTCTCTCTCATTTTTTTTTAATTTGAAAAATAAATACTATTTGGGGAAGATGCATTAGCCTGAAATGACCTCAATCAATATAATTGATGGATGACTACTATAGAGATCATCTGACAGAATGAGTGAAAAAAGAGACAAATTTAAAGTGGATCTAGTGATTATTGTTAGTGGTGTGACCTCACAACTTCAAGTTTTAGATGTCCTTGTCAACAAGCCTTTAAGTATCCCTTAAAAGAGCAATTTAGAAAGTGGTGGTTGTAGAGACATGAATATATATCTAAAGAACAAATGTAAAAATCAGCTTTTCTGGCTGCTTTGTAAATGGTACTTTTAAGTTGGAGAAAAAGTGTTTAGTGGTTGTGTTCGATGGAATAAAAGATGACATATTCTGGAAAACTGTTAAAAAACTCCAAAAATTGTTCTGACTAAAATGAAAGCAATAGTGTTGAAGACACTGTGAAAAGCTTGAATAAAGCCATATCATGAAACGTGAGTTTCATGAGAGCAATGCTTCTAAATTAATATACTACTTTATATAACGTGATTTTAAATATGCCTTTCTACAACTAAATTACTAAATTAAATAAGTGGACGTTTGACTGTTTCACCTATATTCTTCAAGTTTATGTAGTTATTTGCCCCAAAATAACTTTTTAAAAACCTCATTGAGAAAAGAGGAGATCGCCTTATTTGGGGGTTGCCTTACATTTATGTATGTATGGTCCTTTAAAAATTTCGTGACACTTTGTTGTAAGTGTGTCCCTATTAAATTTCACATAATTAGATCTAATTATTTTACCCACTCTGAGAATTTTCTTATAGTGGAGTTTATCACATTTAATTTTAATAACATATCATTTCTTGCCTTGTTCTATGCTTTCTGGTTCCTTGCTACTTTCTTCTGTCTTTTGTTGAAATTTTGCTCTTCAATATTCTTTTAATTGTTTACCTTCAAGAAGTTGTTGTTTTTAAAAACACATTCTTACACCTACGTTTTTCTAATTGTCTGGCTCAGGAATGAAACAGTCTCTTTTGAAACCCGTGTATAGGAGTATGCAGCATGTGAGCTTTCCCTTCCTCACCATCACTCCCTCGGTTTTGTTAGTATATTCTGTGGGGGTTTTTTCTGATTATTGTTATATTAAATTATTTTTTATATTATACAACTTCTCTTAAGAAGACTTAAAAAACTTTTATCAAAGCCACATTTCCAACAACTTAGAACTTATATCTATTTTAACTGGTTTCATATTTATCACCAGTCATTTTGTACCCTAACTTTACGTTTCTTGAGTTCTTAATTTTGTCTCATCTCTATTCCAATCATTTTTTCAAGAAAGATATATTGTTGGAAATATTTTAGGAACTGGTGAATAGTCAAGAGGTCTTTCTTGTCCCTTCCCAATAAGCCATATTCTAGCAGGGTGTACAAGTTAAAACAAAAGCCAAAATGGTAGTTTAAACTAAACAACAGTTCATTTCTCTTTCACATAACAGTCTCAGCAAGCAGTCCAGGGCTGACAGGACAGCTCCCCACTTTACCGGCCCAAGCCATCATCAACTTGGAACTTCCATCTCATGGGTCTATGAAAGCTCCCCCAACACCCAGTTCAAATTCCAGCAAGCGGGATAGGGAGAAGGGAAAATGAGGGGCCTGATCCTTTTTTTTAAGAGCATAGATGAAATCGCACCGTTTACTTCTTCTCAGATCCCATTGGCCAGGACCTGGTCACATGGCCACACCGTGGCATGCAAGGAAGGCTGGGAAATGTAGTCCTTAGCTGGGTGACTAGGTTCCCATAGAAGAAAAGGAGGGTGTAGTGGGGAATAACCAACAGTCTGAAATGAAAGGGATTTAGTTCCTTCATCACAGTCTTCCCCTCAAAACCCTGTAGACATCATTCTCTAGTCTTTTGGCATTTAATGCTACAGTGGAAAAGACTAAGGTTAGCCTTTTTTTTTTTAATAGTAGCTTTTTCCCCCCATCAGATTGCTTGTAGAATTTTTTAATCCTTGTAATACAGAAATTTTCTTAGCATGTATCTAGGTTACTTTTTACTGATTTTTCCTTGAATGTGATGTTGTACATGCACATCTTTCTTGACACAGGCAAGTTTTATTCTATTCTACCTATTTATCAGCTCTATTTCATTTGTTCTGGTTTTGTCCTTGAGAAATACCAGTTATCTATGGGCTGTATTGTAGGTTTATGTCCTCCATATCTTTCCTGTCATTCTTTTAAATGAAAAGAATGGTCTTGTATTTATCACTCCTGTTGCATTCTAGGAGAACTCCTCACATTTATCCTCCATATCATTTATTTGATTTCCTCCAATCATTGATTTGATTTTTCCACATCAGTTCTATTCTGTATTACCTCCATTGTGGATTTTAATTTTTCTGTAGCATTTTAGTTTCCTTGAAATCCTCTAATATCATTTATTTCTCTTTTAATCGAGCTCATTCTTGTGCATTTTAGCTTCAGTTGGTTTATCTTTAAGATTTTCTGTTCCTATTAAGGATGTTAAATAGCTTTCTGAAATATTTTTCTGGATTTTTCTGCTGATAATTTTCAGAGGTGTACTTTCTTCTGAGTCCTCTGGATTCAGTTCCCAGGTTCTAGAGTGCTATTCATAGGCTCCCTCTTGTTGTTTTTTCCTTACCTTTTAAGGCAAGGTCTGTCCAAATGTTTTTCAGTAGACCAAGAAATTGGATCACCCTTAGTTTAGTAGACTATTGGCTTTTCTAGTGGTCATAGCCCCTTTTCAGAGCTACAGTTGAAGTGCAGGTTCAGTTTCCTGTTCCCAGCAAGCTGTTGACCTAATGACCCTACTCTGAGATGACTTTTTTCCGCAACTCTACAGACATGGCTTTAATTTTCAGGTCATTAAATATTATTATACCCATTCTACAGATGAGACGACTAAGAAGTTAAGTCTCTTTCTCAAGGCTTCATAGTGACTGTACAAAGTGGTAACCTTCAGTAACCTCTGAAGCCCAGGCCTTTTGACTCAAGATCCCCTTTTTTTTCTACCCTCCATCCTGTTTGCCCAGATAGAAAGACATAGCGTCTGATCAGAAGGACATCTCAGAACTCTGTCCTCTCCCAGCAGTAGTAGCTGCAATGATTTTGCTGCTAAATATACTTACCAGTTCAGTGAACAACAGAGGGGACACTGCAAGAAAAGATAGAGAGGGCAAAGTAAGCTTGCTATAGCCAGGTAAATTTTAATGGGTCTGGAGTTCATGCCTTGAAAGAAGTCAACCTAAGTTAATAGCAACTAGGCACGTTAACACACTGATGTTGCCTTCAGATTATGGTTTTCTTACTAGAAAATGTGGAAAGAGAATGAAAGCAATAATGGTGATCTGGTCGAATGTTGTAAATGATCACTTTCCAAAAGTCTATCAGAAGTGTGCTCCAATTTATTAATAAAGAGCTCCTCCTTTTGGCAAAATTATGAAGCATATATTTCTGTTTATATGTCTGCCACTTTATGATTGATTTGATTTAATATTTCTTTTTATACAGAGGGTCTTTGAAGAGTAAGCAAATGGATCAGACATTAGTGATTTGTAATGCTTCAACCCCAGAATTCTAGCTTGTCTACAGATTTATCAACAGTGGGAAATGATCACTTTGATTTCCTATGTAAAACAATTTGCATTCTTTTTAGCAAGACATCCTCAATAAGACATCCTCAAATAAAATAGAAAGAAATATTTCTATCCTAGGCTTTGATTTGAACTTAATCTGATTTCTTTTTTCTATGGTAGCCACTCATCATTCAACCACATGTCACCAACCTGCTCATCCTAATCATGTAAGTACTTACCTTCACAATACACATCTTGGAATATTATTCTTTTTGTCCTTCCTGGTGGGTCCTGCCAGGACTCTCCTCTGTGTCACAGAGTGCTCTGGATATAGTTTTCTAATAATGAAAGGAAAGTACTTAAGTGCAGGAAAGAATCAGGTTTAATGGGTGCTTTATTAAAGAAAATTTTAAAGCCTGTCTTTGGTTTTCATGTTAGTATAATTATCATTTGTTGGTTGGTTGGTTGCTTATTCCCTGTTTCAATCCAAAAAGGACTTGTGGTATCTTACAAAAATATATGCAATGCAGTAAAATTTATTTTTAAAAAAAAAGGGAAAAGAAAGAAATGAGTGAAAAGAAAATAAAGGTAGAAACTCTGCTTAATCTATAAAATTTTACCTTCAAGAAATTTCTCAGCCTTCTTGCCTTTGTGTCCTACATAGAAACCTTTCAGTGGATGTCTAAATAGAGATTTGCATTTATTTGATCCACTGCAAAAAATAAGTGTTTCCAGCAGTATAAAAGAGAACAGCGATGAAGTGAAAATGTGTACACTCAGCGCTCTGTATCCGCGGGTTCTGCGTCCCCAGATTCAACCAACTGTGATGGAAAGGCCTGCGATGGTTGCATCTGTACTGAACATGCAGACTTTTTACTTGTCATTTTCCCCTAAACAATACAGTATAACAGCTTTTTACATAGCATTTATGCTGTATTAGGTATTATAAGTAATCTAGAGATGAGTTAAAGTATACGGGAGGATGCACATAGGTTATATGCAAATACTACACCATTTTATATAAGAGACTTGAGCACCCCCAGATTTTGGTATCCGCAGGGGTCCTGGAACCAATCCCCTGAGGATACAGAGGGATGGCTGTATTTTTTAAGTGACGTTGTGCAAAATACCCACCAACATTGCTTAAAAGATTACCAGAAAGAAAGAAAGCAAAGGTGGTTGGCTGTAGGAATTCTCAGAGGCTTCATATGCCCCAAACCTACCCACTTCTCATCATCTTCACCATTATCCCACCCCAGGCCAAGCCACCATCATCTCCCATCTAAACTTTTCATCTGCCTCCTCCTGAGCTCCCTGCTTCCCCTCTTGGCCCTTTTCTGTCAGTTCTCAACACAGCAGTCAGAAGGATCCTTCACAACACAAGTCAGATCATGCTACTGCTCCTCAAAGCCCCCAGTGTCTTCCCATGTCATTCAGAGTAAAATCATACTCTTCCCAATTGCATGACATATAACATGCTCTCCCCACACCCATCTCTCATTCCCACCCCACCCCCAGGATCTTTTTGATCTCCCCAGTGCCACCTTTTGGTCACCCAGCCGCTTTGTTCTTCCTGAAACAAGCCCAGCAGGCTGTGGCCTCAGGGCCTTTGCACTTCTCAAATGCCCTCCTCCAATATATTGGCAGAGCCTTCTCTCTCCCTTCATTCAACTCTCAGCAAAAATGCCCTCTCCTGACATCTGAGCACCTTTCTCTTCAATATGCTTACCCTTATTTTATCTTCATGGCATTTATTCAGTATATGATCTAATTTGTCTCTCTGTCTCCACCACTAAAATGGAGGCTCCATGAGGCAAGAACTTGGCTCATTTTCTTCATGGCTGTATCCCCAGTTCCCCAGAACATTGCCCAGCACATGGTAGAAGCTTAATTATCATCTGTTGAATGGTTGACAGTGAATAACTAATGTACTTGTGAATCCTCAAGAGGGTGATATATTATACCGCTTTCTCAAAATGGTTTGAGATCTTTTTGAGAGAAATGCCTCCTAATGTCTCACAGGACATGGGAGTCCAGAGCAATTTTGGAAACACTGTCCAAATTATTCATTATTTGGTAAAATCAGATTCAGCCTTTTCCTCTGCATATTTTATCTGTTAGTCCAAGCTCTTGTGCCATCCCATCAGCTCGTTTCCTTCAAGACTCCCCGAAGTCACACAGCAGGGAACATCAGTCACGTCTGTACCTACCAGCCAGCCTGGCCCTGGGAAACCGGAGCTCGCCAGGCCTGCATCTGGAACGCACGCTGAAGACGCTCTGGTAGAAATAACTTCAAGCCCCACAGAGCGCTCGCCGGCAGATGTCGTCACCTCTCGTCAACAAGCATCATTTCAGAAAGCATCTGAGCAGGTAAACACGGAAAATTGAAGTCACAACAGGGTACCTTTGTGACACTGAAAAAGCACTTTGATTCTTTCCTTCTGTTTTGGTGATGTTTGAGAATAGAGATGCTAGGAAGGGGCCACCCTTTACCTCGCAGCAGAAGTGCACCTAAGCAGGCCTGATGGACAAGCATATATTCCAACTAAAAGCAAAACCAGAACAAGCCCATGAAAATATTCCACAGTGGGCTTTATGCCCATTTCCACACTTAATGTCTTATTATTATTTAATGCTATTATATTTAGTGCTTTGGATGGGGAGGAAGCTTTGCTCATCTGCCACACTTTATCAGCAGCAGCAAACCCTTCTAGACAATTCCTCCTACTCACCAACTCAACTCTTTCACCTTTCTTCCATTTTTCCCACAAACATAAATAAAAAGGCAAAGCCACTTTGACAGTGTAGACCAAATAAAATTATCCTGCTCCTCCCCATTTTTTTTTAACACAAGCCCTACCTATGTGCAATCTCGCCTTTCCCTGTGAGAGAGAGTCCTGTTGACCCTGGGTCTGCTTTCAGTGATAATGGAAACTAGATGGTCACTGTAGTCTCAGTCAGCATTTTGTTCTCCTAGGAAAGAAAAACTGACCTACAGAAGCTGGAACAAAGGGTGTTTTGTTTTCCTTGAATGAAGAGAAGTCTAAAGTGTAGAGTATCCAAAAGAGGCTTCAGATAAATTATTGGAAACATTGAGAGAATGTAGTGATGTTGCTGAATACCAGATCAGTATACTAAAGCTAACTGTATTTTTACATATGGGCAACAATCAGTAGGAAATTGGATTTTAAAAAAAGATACTACAGTGAGTACCTAGGAGTACATCTAATCAAAGATATACAGAACCTCTATGGAGACAAGAATAAAGCTTTATTAAGAGACATTAGAAAAAGGCTAAGTGAGTGGTGAGATTTCCTGTGATCCAGCCCACGGTACACATTCTGCTCTAAAAGATCAAACAAGGCACCCTCAGGGACCTTCCTGGCTGCAGCTGGAATGGCTTTAATAAGAGCCTGACTGCCATCGGCAAACATGCAGGTGGATGGCAACTGTGTCTCGCTTACATCTTCATTCCTATGCATTTATACTTCAATCCCAAAGTATAAAACCAAACTTGGGTGGTCCTCAATTCTAAGGTCACTCGACACCTGATCCAACCTCCTACAAACCCTGCGAGTCCGGAATAACCCTATTCAATTGTATGGTCCATGAGGTCGGGATCATAACCGACCTTAACTGCTCAAACCCCTGAGCCTGACAGTAGGCATTGGATAAGGGTTTACTGAATGCATGATTGAATTAAGCAATAAGTGGGCTGTCCTCCAGAAATCAGACCAGGTGGTTGGCATAAACAGATTTTCTCAGGGTGGGGCTTCAGTTCAAAAGAAGTAGCCTCTCCAGGTTTGGACCCACACCCAGTGTTCGGGGGTTTGTTTTCTCAGAGAGGTTTTCTGCCTCCCACCGCCTGCTGTGTGGTATTTCAAGTACTTCCCTCTTGAACGTGAACTCTTGAACGGAATGAACACAGAGGGAAACCTGAGAGGACAAACATACTTCTGAATAGAAAAACTTGCTTCTGTTGTTTTGATTTCAAGATTTCCCTCACTTTTGATCATGGCCGGGAGACTTAAACTTACTCTTATAAATCATATTTCCAGACTCCCTGGTCCTTGGATCAATCATTGGATAACCTTGTTATCCATTTTCTCCACTATATGGAAGAAGTGAAAATAAATTCTGTCCATTTGCGGAAAAGCTTCTGACGGCAATCACTGTTTTAGAGAGCCTGTGATTCATAGAGCTTGTACCCTTATCGAAGGTCAACTCTTGTTAAAACAATGTCTCAAACTACTAAAGTGCAATAATTTTATGTAAATAATTTTGACAAAATTCTTTGTCCCCAATAGGTCATAGATGAGATAGCAGGGAACTTTAGCAAAGCAGTTCACGGTTCACCAGCTCACAGCGCACTACAGAAAGCTTGTGAGGTGATGCGGACACTGAAAGCCTTTATGCCCGGATCTTCTGAGTCAGCTCAGGTAAGCAGAGGCTGATTGGGAGGGAGCAAGCCACGACAAAGGGGGAAGAGAGAAAGCGAGAAGATATAATAAAAAAGAAAATGGATAATCTGGAGATTGTGCCCTGTGCAGAATTTAGCATTATGAAACTATTTTGTGGAGACTCAATTTAAATATCAGCAAGCATATTTGTACCTTTAAAAACCTGAAGATTGTGAAAAAATTCATCAGTAGCGACATTCTCAGATACACTGTGTTTGTTTGCTCTTGTTCAGTTACCACGTTACTGCCTTCCTGATACATTTGTTACACGAGATGGTGGGAGACAAAAATAGATCCACTCCCTGCCGCAGATACAGGATACAACCTTGAAACAGGATCAGAAATCAGTACCCCCGTGATATTGGCGTTTATTGCAACCACACTTGCCAATGTTATGTTCGTTTGTAGTTATTCATTGCCTCTTTCTGTTCCCCACACATAAGTAAATTAAGATGGTGGGATTAGTCAGAATTTTAATTTTCTTTTTTCCGTTTCCTATATTTTCAGATATTCTGCAATAAGCATATAAATGCCTTCTGTATTGGGTTTTTTGAACTTTTTAATTACAGAAATAATACATGCTTGTTATTTAAAAGTCAGAACAAAAGCATTTAAAGTAAAAAGCAAGGGCCTCCACCATCTTCTTCCTGCCTGCTAATTCTGTTTTCTGGATATAATCTCTGTTACAAGTTTATTGTTAGTTTGCTGTGCATAACCTTCCAAACTTTTTCCCCGCTTACACAAGTTTGTTGTTTTGATTTTGTTTTGTTTTGTTTTTAACAAAAGTGGAGTTAAAGTATACAAATTTTTCTGCCCCTTAATTTTTTCACTTGACACTGTGTCATGGGTGTCTTCTCATGTCAGTACACATAAATGAACTCATTATTCTTAATGCTCATTTGGATTTTTTTTATTTGTTTACCCTTGCAAATAGTATAGCCACAAACATCTTTGAGAACTTAGGCAAATATTTCTGTGGGATACAGTGCTGGAAATAGAGTTGATGTGCTTTAAAATTTTCCATAGATGACGAAATTGCCCTCCTAAAAGCCATTGTTTTACATTCCCACAAACCGTTTCCCCACACTCTCATTTTTACCAATTTCAAAGGCAAGAAGGAAAAGCATTTTATTGATTACTAAGGAGTTTGAACATCATTTTGTACACTCGTTGGCCATTTTTATATCTCCTCTGAATTGCTTCTTCATGTCCTTCATCCATTTTCCCCGTTGGGTTGACTGTCTTCTCCTTATTTGTTTGTAAGAGAGCTTAATTTACTGTCGGTGTTAACCTTTTGTTGCATACGTTGCAAATATTTTGTGCCCCCATCTGGTTTTTAACTTTGTTTATTGTATCTTTTATTTGCAGAAGTTTTTTAATAAATGTATCTTTGAAAATAAATAACAGTTCAAAACAAAAATACTTGTACCTACAGTGAATATTCAGTAAATATCTGTCAGTTTGCTTAACCTTCTTTTTTTGACTTGTTTTACTTGAAAACAACCTACAGAAAGGAGGATTGGTGTTTTCTGTTTCATCTAGAATTTCTCCTTGATCTCTATTTTAAGTCTGTCTTGAATGCTTTTGGGGCCCTAGATACAAAGGGATAATCGACTCAGTGTTTCAGTCAGCATTGCTCTTTGCCTTGACATTCCTTTTGTTAGCTTAGCTTTGTTAATTAGATATTTGATCTACTTATCACTCAAAAGGGTTATGTCAGTTTCTTAGAATAACCTGAAATACGAATCCTCCCCATAGGTAATATGTAATAATATATTTTCCTTCCCTGCCAAGTTGTAGTATTGCTTTTTTATAAGAATGTATTTGAAATGTGTAAGGAACGCTGAATTCCTTCAAAGAAGAACACAAATCAAGTTAAAACAATCGTAAACAGTTCGGGGGTGTATGTTCGCTTCCTAGAACTCCCAGGTCAGCGTGATCGATTCCCTGGTTTACCTGAAAGGGCACTTACTGAAGAGTCCGTTTCAGAACAGCAGCAGTCTGGGCTTCCACGTCCCCGTGACCGTCTGCCTCTTCCACTCCCCCAACGATGTAGTGCAGGCTGGTGAAGCAGGGCAGCAAAGATCCAAGCCTGACGTTGAGCAGGTAGGTAAAGTATCCGCCAGTGGCCAACTCTGTTTAGAAACTTTTTAATCTTGACAGATCCAGGTATCACACAGCCTCTCCCTAAATCTCTAAAGAGAATTCAGCCCAGTAAGCACCACTGAAAAGACCACTCTGTCAGGTCTGCTCCGGGGTCTTCCTCTCTATTCCACCAGTGAGCCAAGACTACCTAGTGCTGTAAGCCAGTGCAGAGAACTTAGTAAAGTGCTTGGCACATGGTACACACTCAATCAGTTCAATTTGCTATTCATGTGAAAAGATGTTCAACATCATTGTCGTTAGGGAAATGCAAATCAAACCACAATGAGATAGCACTTCCCATCCAAAAAGACAGACAATAACAAATGTTGACAAGGAGGCAGAGAAATTAGAACCTTCGTGCATTGTTGGCTTGTAAAATGACTCAGCCACTTTGGCAAACAGTTTGACAGTTCCTCAAAATGTTGAAATGGAATTACCCTGTGACCCAGCAATTCCAGTCCTTGGAATATACAAACATATGTCCACACTAGAACTTATGTACTCAGGTCATAGCAGCATTATTCAAATAGCCAAATAGCCAAAAAGTGGAAATAAGTGAAATGTCCATGATCTGAGGAATGGATAAATAAAACATGGTATATCCATATGATAGAATATTATTCGGCAACGAAAGAGAGTGAAGTACTGGTGCAACCTGGATGAACCTTGGAAACGTTATGCTAAATGAAAGAAGCCAGTCACAAAGGACTGTATATTGTGATTCCATTTATATGAAATGTCCAGAAGAAGCAAATCTATGGATACTGAATGTAGATCAGTGGTTTCCTAGGACTAGGGGGATGAGGACAGGAGAATGGACAGTGACCGCTACTGGGTGCTGGGTTTATTTTAGGGGAGGTGAAAATGATCTAAAATTAGATCATGTGATAGTTGCACTGTGAATATACTGAAAAACATGGAATTGTTTACTCTGGGTGGATTGTATGTGTGAATTTCATTTCAATAAAGCTGTTTAAAAGAAAAACCTATCATAAACAAGTCTAGGGCAGCTTATATCATAGGGCAAAGAAATATTTCCTTCGGTGGCCCCCTTAGTTGATATGAAGGATGGTGAGTCTTTAGGCAGATGGCAAGTACTTTCTGTGGGTCCTCTCCAGTGAATGTCACCCTTCATTACATCACTGTCAAAATCCTTGCTCCCTGGGGCCGGCCCCATGGCCGAGTGGTTAAGTTCATGGGCTCCGCTTTAGCAGCCCAGGGTTTGGATCCTGGGTGGGGACATGGCACTGCTCAGTAGGCCACGTTGAGGCGGCATCCCACATGCCACAACTAGAAGGATCTACAACTAAAATATACAACTATGTTCCGGGGGGATATGGGGAGAAAAAAGCAGGAAAAAAAAAAAAGAAGAAGATTAGCAACAGTTGTTAGCTCAGGTGCCAATCTTTGAAAAAAAAAAATCCTTGCTCCCCTTCCAACCCTCTCAAAATCATTATTTCACTAACACAATACACTGAGGTTACGTGTTGTTTCCCTCTAAATGCAGGTAGAAAATGTGCTGAAAACATCCTTGCTGGCCCTTGGTAGGATGCAGGAAGAATTTCTACAGCAGAATAACTTTTCTGAGTCTTCAGTGACTTTGACCTCTTCGATTGCTACTCTGATGCTGAGCAGGTAACAGAGGAGGAAGGAAGGGGGAGAGTTTCGTTTTAGGTTTTTGACCTTTAGAGAACACACAGAAATTTATTCCCATTTAACTTCTTTTTCATTAGCCAAAACATATCAACTTTGCCTCTGAGCTCTTACACGCTGGGTTACCCAGCACCTGTGAGGTTAGGCTTTCCATCAGCTTCAGCCTTGGAGGAGCTCTTGAATGAACACCCAGAAGTTAATGTCCAGGTGAGTGTGAAATTGATTCTGATCAGAATGAAAATGGGATTTGAGAGCTGTAGGCATTTGGGTGAAAGGAATGCACCATGAAATGTAAGCCGACCGGTCAAATGAGATAATGTCGTGTGCCACTAATTCCTCTTACACTGGCAGGAATGGAGTCCTCTTAAAAATGATCCAGTGTAGGGGCTGGCCCCATGGCCGAGTGGTTAAGTTCGTGCACTCCGCTGCAGGCAGCCCAGGGTTTCATTGGTTTGAATCCTGGGCGTGGACATGGCACTGCTCACCAACCCACGCTGAGGCAGCGTCCCACATGCCACAGCTAGAAGGACCCACAATGAAGGATGCACAACTATGTACTGGGGGGGCTTTGGGGAGAAAAGGGAAAAAAATAAAATCTTTATAAAAAAAATGATCCAGTGTAGAAGTTGGGAGCAGTAAACAGACTTCTGGATTTAACTAAGTTTCTCTGTTATGATTTGAATTGATCTCAGCTCTTCACTATTTATACAAAGCTTGGGATTTCTGAATAATTATTGACTTAAAATACCAACCTAGTCATAGCAGTATATTGTTTTTCTTTCAGCAATTACCTATAAACAGAAGTAGAGTTTTTGCCTTACCCTGGAGGGCAGAATACTTACTTCCTAGTAAAATAGAATCCTGCAGGTATAAAAATGTAAAAATTAAGAATTCTGAGGGTTACAAGTAAATGACTCATCTTTACTTAATTCTTTCTCATATGATGTTATAATGAGAAATATTTCATTTGAGATCCTGGCAAAGGGACAATCCCAACATTTACTTTAATTTATGATATCTGATACCTTATTACATATCGGGGTGTTATTTATAAATATTTCAGCAATTTATGAGACTGGAGTTTTCTTGTCTCTAGGTAACAGGACTAGCTTTCAATCCCTTCAAGGATTTTGATGACAAGAACATTGTTGGAAGCGTCGGAAGTGTGTTACTAAGCTCTAATCATAAATTGCTCCAAGTCCGTGATTTAGTGGAAGATATTGAGGTATGGCTTGACTATTAGGGAATAAATAGAAGAGAATAGGAGTTCCTGGAGAAAAGGCTGGAAGGATACAATGCCTTGAAGGATATCATTTTAGATTTATTACCGTGCCTTGTTTTGTTATTCACATCTTTACTTAGGAACTTTCACAAAGAGATCTGCCTTAGCCTTAGGAGAAGGTGTTGTAGGTCTTAGACTATATACTCTTCCTTAACCCCTTGCACTGCGTTACCTACTAACATTCAAAGAGGGAGACCTAGGAAGTTTCGTTCCATTATTATTATAAAGGAGGCTGAAAGGCATCAATGGATGGGCCATCTTAAACTTGAAGATTGATTAACTGTGTCTTATTCTAGATCACACTCTGGAGAAACGTTAGCACGGAAACCCATCCCAGCAGCCTCAACACTAGCACAGAGCATTTTCTTATCACCGTGAACGTCACTTCCCTGGAGAAGTCCCTGATAGTGTGCATAGAGCCTGAACATCCCCTTTCAATGACACTCTACCTGGGGTTCCAGTATCAGCCTAACCACACTCACTTCCACCTGAGCATCACCCTTCCGAAGGACCAGGTGTGGCAAAAAGGTAAAACCCCAACCAGATGTCAGAAACTTACTGTGAAGTGCATTTTTGTCTTTCTTTTTTTTAACTTTTTGTTTTGAGGTAATTGTAGATTCACATGCTATTGTAAAAAATAAAACTGAGAGATCTCATAGGCCTTTCACCCAGTTTCTCCTAATGGTAGCATCTTGCATGACTACAGTGCTATATCACAATTGGGAAATGGCATTGAAACAATGCACTGACCTTACTCAGATTTCACCAGTTTTATAGGCACTCATTTCTGCGTGTGTGAGTGTGTATTTAATTCTATGTAATTTTATCACATGTATAGACACCTGTGAGCATGAAGTGCATTTTCAAAAAAGATAGATTATGGGATGGATAGAGGGATATATATGTGATAAAGCAAATTTAGTAAAATGTTAATTGTAGAATCTGGTTAGCGATTATATGAGTGTTCACTGTAAAATTCTCTCAACTTTCTATATGGTTGAAAATTTTCATAATGAAATGTTGAGACTCCCTGCAGAGGTAAATTTCCAGCATGATGGATCATAAATATTTCAAACTTTATATTCCATAGATGAGTATATATGCAATGTGTCATTTATATGTCAGCTTTTCTTCTAATCTTAGATATGAGTAAGGCCCAGAGATATTGCAGTAAATCTTGGTATAAGACCAGAATGACTACATTGTAGTTTAGAAAAGTTAAGAATTTCTGAGACATGTATAAGTAGTTAGGAATTTCTAAGATATGTAAATAGTACCTAGATATACTTGACCAAAAAACATATCCTCTGGATATAAGCTTTAAATGTTGTACTGAAAAATCTTAATAAAGAACTCCCTCTTTTGCATTAAAAACAAAAATGTTGGGGAAAATAATCACGATGGGCAAAGCATGTCATAGTCCCCCTTCCCCGCTTTGTGACAGTCTTCCCGTGTTGAACGAGCTTCCTCTGGCTCTTGCACCGGCCTCACCAACACAGGAAAGACTGCTTTTTAAGTGATTCTTCCCATTGGATGAGGCACCTGAGACAGCAGCTCTCCCTCCGGGCTGCCAGCTGCACAGTTCTGTCTGCATTACCAACAGGCTCCTTCCTGGTTCAGAACGCGCAGTCTGTTCTTCCTGCTGATCTTGGCAATAAGATCATGTCATTTGGAGCTGGAAGGGGTCTTAGGGGTCCTTTGGTCCAGACTCCTTGTTTGAAAGACAAGAAAACTAGAGAGATTGGGTGACATGCCATAGCTGTTAGCAGCCACCTGGGGACAGACCTGAAATTGGCCTCCGGTGTGCAGTCCTGGACTCCTTCCCTGGAACCACTCTGTTCCTATCCTTGCTTAGTCCTTGCGTTTCTTTTGTTGCCTAGATCTTCTGGGTATTAACTTTGATTTGTAATTATTTCATTTTACTAAAACTTGTAATACATTCTAATTCATTAGACCTAAATTTTTGTTTATCAAAAGAATATGAATTTTACCGGAACAAGAGTAATGCAGAGCCCTTGATCGTATCACTGATCAGTTTTAAAAAATCCTTTGTGACTCTAGGTTTATTACTTCCTTGTTTGTAAAATAAAATAACAATAATAATAATAATAATAAACTCTTCAGAAGAATGGTTCTGCTGGTATTTTTCACCCATTTGAGATACAGCTAAGCCCTGTGCTGTGTTCTCAGATGAAGAGTATACCTGGGTGCTGACCCCAGAGAGTCTGCAGTATGGGATCGGCTCCTACTACATAACAGGCGTGTTGAAGGAAAGCAAGGAGAGCGCTCAGCAGCCGCCCACCCTGTTCTCAGTGGTAACTGCCGTCACTCAGTGCTATTTCTGGGACAGCCGCAACAGCACGTGGAAGAGCGATGGATGCCAGGTAGGAAGCTGCGTCCTGCCCCTGCCTCTCATCTTCCTCGGCTGGCATTAAACACGGTGCACCTGTTATCTCAGCTGGGGCAGCCCAGAGGGAAAACTCACCAGAAGGGGAATAAATCCACCTGGGAAAAAGGAGGAGGGTTGTGTGTAGTGGTCCAGGAAAGAGTTTGTTTTTTCTATTTGTAATTCCTTTCTCAAACATTAGTCTAAGGTAAATTGGACAGTTCTAGGTAAGAAAAGCAGTATGAAAGCTGTTACACTGTACAAGTATTAAGTATGTTGTGGGTAAAGTGAAACGAACTTCCTGCTAAATAAAAGAGAATTTTTGTACTTAAAAATAAGCCAGCAGCTTCTTCTACATTCCAGGCCAGGTGCGGACAGATTGTCACTTTCATAATGATTGCCTAGTTCCAGGTGTCTGCCCACTTTAAGATGGCACTATATGTTTTCACATTGTGATTCTGTGAGATCTTGACTAATTTAAGTCCTGGTTCAGTTGCACAAAGAATGTGGTGGAAGGTTCTGGAAATCATGAGGGCGTTCTTCTTAAAAGATTTGAAAAAGTCTTACCCAGATTGGGAATAGTGGGAGAGAGGATGCTCTGGAAGGCATCTGCACCATTTGCGGCCTCAAGCAGTGATTTCTGGATGATCTGGAGCAGCGCTTCGCAAGCAAATCCTCTAACTGGGAGCCTGTCAAAATGCAGATTCTGTTGCTGTAAATCGGGCAGATCTGAGAGTCTGCCTTTCCAGCAAGCCCCCAGGTGATGTCAGTGCTGCTGGTCAGGGAAGCCACACTTTGGGTAGCAAGGCTTGAGAGCTTCTCTCCTCACACAGTGACACACTGATGGCAAAAGGCATCAGGATATTTCCTGCCTCCATGAAGCTCTGATAGTGCGTGATCGCCATGAAAGGGGCAGAGCTGCAGAAACAGGATGAGAGTTCCTCCAAGGCAGAGTGTAGACTGGACAACCAGAACTTAACCGTGTGCCGTGGAAAGAAGTCCGTCATCAGGATGCTATTTTAGGCTTTTCATTTGCAAAATCAAACATGGAATTGGTACCTTCTGCTTATTCACCTAGTAACTTTTTAAAAAATATTTTTTATGAAGAAATGTTACAACATATGGAAAGTTATAGGAAATAATATAATAAAAATCATTAAACACACCACTCAGCTTTTCACAAAGTTAGTATTTTGCTCCACTTGGTTCAGATTTTTAAAAATAATAAAACAGGAGTGATCGAAGTCCACGGTGTGCCCCTCACTGATCTCATTTCTTCCCTCTCACCAAAGGGTAACCACTGTCCTGAATTTGGTCTGTGTATTCATTCTTTCAGCAAGTATTTATCGAGCATCTTCTACATGGCAGGCTGTGTCTAGGAGCTAGAGATACAGTGATGGACCAGACAGTGTCCTCACGAGCTTACATTCCAGTGAGGGAGGCTGACAGACGTAGATAAATGAGTGGTTTGCATGCTTTTGGTCTTTATGTAAATGGCACCATGCTACCCAGATCCTTCTTTAACTTCTTTTTTTCACTTGACATTTACACGTGTCGATACATCTAGTTCTAACTCATTCATTTTTACTGCTGCATAATATTACATCGGTTTACTTCTACTCATTTATTTACTTGTTCGTTTGTATGTTCTGCTGTTACTGGACCTACAGGTTGTTTCCTATTTTTTGTGGTTATAAACAATGCTGACAGAAACATTCTTCTTCACATCTCCTTGTGCACATGTGCAAAGTTCTCCTAGGATATATATTCAGAACTGAAATTGCACGATTCACAAAGTTTGTGCTTCTTCAGTCTTACCAGATATTGCCAAATTGCTGCCCACATTGGTCACGCCAGTTTTACCCCCAGCAGTGACGAAGCGATCCGGACATTCTTTTCCATCTCTAAATTGCCCTTGTTGGTGTTTTATGTTCGTCCCTTCCTTAGCAGTCTATGTAATTAGTATCAGTGTCTTGATTCTAATTCCAGGTTGGGCCACAGAGCACAATTCTGAGGACACAGTGTCTCTGTAACCACCTGACCTACTTTGGCAGTGACTTCTTCATTGTGCCCCGGACAGTGAATGTTGAAGACACAATCAAGCTGTTCCTTCGCGTGACCAACAACCCTGTTGGAGTGTCGTTGCTGGCCAGCCTGTTAGGATTCTATATGCTCATATTTGTGTGGGCTTGGAGAAAGGACCAAGCAGATATGCAGAAGGTGATGAGACTTTGATTCCAAAAGCTTTGCCGCGATGTCTTGAGTATGTTGAATAAGATAGAAAAAAAACACCTTCATCAAAAGAGGCTGGTAGCACGGTACTAGGTACTATAAAAATTCAAGTGGGACTTTTCTTAAATTTCTCTTCATATCTACTGTCTCACAGCCTAGGAACTTAACTCTTTATCTCCATTTTTTTTCTTTTAGCCAAAGCTGAACTCTCATATGACTCATTTAGGTTAGGAATAAGCCAAAAGAAAACAACTAGAGAACTTAACTATAATCAAATTCAAGTTTATCTCACTTTATACATTGGATATGAAAGTTATGTGTAAGTCAAATTATAATTTAATAACTGCAATAGATAAGAAATCTATAAGAATTGTTTTTTAAACAAACAAAAAAATCCTTTGATGACAGCCTCTTCTTAATTTCTGTTCTATGTATTTCTTCTTCTTATATTTTGTTACACTTGGAAATTCTAGAATACACACAAAGTGTCCGTTTCTTTATTGCTGGGAGTGTAGAGTGCCCATTTTCGTAAATAAAAATATAGGACACCCAGTTAAATTTGAATTTCAAATAAATAGTGAATGCATTTTAATTATGCCCTCAAATTATTCATTGTTTATCTGAAATTCAAGTTTAACTGGTTGTCTTAAGTGTTTATCTGGTAACCCTGCCTGGAAGGAGGGAGGTGGAAAGATTGAGAGGCCCAAGACCTGATCAGTTGATTCTCTGAATATTTCATTTTAGAGGCGTAAGCCCAGGCCTTTCAGCCTCATCCCCCATTTCATCACGTAACTGAGCTCTGCTTGTTTGTTTGTCATCTCACTGCACCTCACCCTTGCTCTCCGTAGAGCTGCCCGATCTGCAGCAGCGCCTCCTCCCGTTTCTTAGCTGGAGGGATCAGGGGCTGTACTAAGTGCAGCTCTGCCACTTTTCTTGGTTCTGCCTTTCCTGCAGGTGAAGGTCACTGTCCTGGCTGATAATGACCCCAGTTATCAATTTCACTACCTTATTGAGGTCTCCACTGGCTATCGAAGAAGGGCCACTACAACCGCCAAGGTGAGGGAAATGAATGTTCTCCATTCGTTGCTTCATGTCTTCTACCACACAAAATACACTCTAATGTGGTATCTGGGTGTCCCATAGTTTGTCACAAGGGATCTCAGCGAGTGGCATTTCCTAGTCCTAGACTGTGAATCTGAAGAGCCCTCTATACTAGTCTAGATCCCAGAGGCTCATCTCAGTACACTTTGCTCTGTCTTCGTCTTTCTCCTGAAGGATAAACCCAGACTCATGTTAGAACTTCCTGTATTTTATCTTTCCTTGTCACGTTTTAGGTGGTTATCACGCTCTATGGGTCCGAGGGACAGAGTGAGCCCCATCACCTTTGTGACTCCCAGAAGGCAGTCTTCGAACGAGGGGGACTGGATGTCTTCCTCCTCAGCGCTCGGTCCTCTCTGGGGGACTTGCACAGCCTTCGGCTCTGGCATGACAATTCGGGGGTCAGCCCTTCTTGGTAAGCACCTGTATCATGCTGGCTTGTTGGATCTTTTCTGTGAGTCTTCAGCATTCTGGGGAAAGACCTGCATGTCATCACAATAAATAACAATAACACTTTGGACCAAATAGTAACAAATGACTATTAGGTTTAATTTAAAACCTGTCTACAAAGAAACTCTGGAAAGAGATATGAATTTTTGTGGATGGTAGAATGAGAGATATTTTATTTTTGCTTTTATTTTCCTTGAATGTTGTCATGATTGTGAACAGCAAATAACAACAATGAAATATTGCCCCAAAATACCATAAGTTAAAGTATCTCTAAACATGAAAAACATCTTTAAAGAGTAAATTGAATAAACAACTATATACTGAATATACTTTGGGCCAAAATTAAGAGCTTAAGGAGAGGGGAACAAATGGAATCGTGGGATGTGTCTAGGGAGTTAGAGAGAGAAATGGTCAGTATGAGTATGTGAAGCAGACGTGGGCTAGGTCCAGATGATTCTGCATCTCCCTTCAGGAGCACTCTGAGAATTAGGAGAGGTGGGTGGAGAGAGTAGATGATAAAATTAATCAAGGATGAAGATTATTGGTTTGTTGGAGTTAGGAAAAAAGAAGACAATGAAATCAAAGATCTAAGGCCAGGTACTCAAATGAACCAGTTGCTGAATAATGCCCACCTGAGAGGATTATGCAGCCTGCCTGAAACTGTTAGCAGGACGAGTCTTTCCCTGCTAGGCTGGATGCACCAAGCGCTGGGCCACGAGAGCATCATAATTCGCCAGCTGCATCCATTCTGTTCAGGTATCTACAAGACAGTGTGTACACTATCATTCCAGTTATATTTAGAAAGGCAAATAATGTATAATAAGCACTTGAAAAGATGCTCCACATCATTAGTCATCAGGAAATGCAAACTAAAACCACAGTGAGAGGGCACTAAACACCCAGCAGAATGACTAAAAGTAAAAAGTCTGACAAAATCAATTTTGGGTGAGGATGGGGAGCAATGTGAGCTCTCAGACACTGTTGGTGGGAGTGAAAATGGTCCAGCCATGTTGGAGAACATTTGGCAGTTTCTTGTAAAATTAAACATACATTTACCATATGACCCAGAAATTCTACTCCTAGATAGTGAAAACGTATGTCCGTTCCAAGACTTATATACATATGTTCCTAACAGCTTTACTAATAGTAGCCCCAAACTTGAAACAACACAAACGTCCACTGGGTGAATGAATAAACAAATGTTAGTACATTTATTCAATGGAATACTACTCACCAACCAAAAGAACAGTCTACCTGTACACACAACGTGGGTGAATCTCAAAAAACATTATGCGGAGCAAAAGAATCCAGACACAAAGGAATACATACTGTACAACTCCACTATATGAAATTCTTTAAAAGGCAAACTAATCTATAGAGACAGAAAACAGATCAGTCATCACCTGGGGCCAGGGGTGAGCCTGAGGGAGGTTGACTAGATAGGGGCACAAGGAAGCTTTTTGGGGTGATATCTTGATGATGGTGGTGCTTACGCAAGTGTATACATTTGTCGAAATGCAGTGAATTGTACATTTTAAATGGGTGCCTTTTATCATATGTAAATTATACCACAATAAAGTTGACTTTTTCAAAAGTTTGTGTACATTGTGGCTGGCCCCGTGGCCAGGAGGTTAAGTTCACACACTCCGCTTCGGTGGCCCAGGGTTTCTCCAGTTCAAATCCTGGGTGCGGACATGGCACTGCTCATCAGGCCATGCTGAGATGGCATCTCACATGTCACAACTAGAACGACCCACTACTAAAATATGCAACTATGTACTGGGGGCTTTGGGGAGAAAAAGGAGGAAAAAAAAGAAGATTGGCAACCGTTGTTAACTCAGGTGTCAATCTTTAAAAAAAAAGTTTGCATACAGGAAAAAAATCTAGAGCCATGTATACTGAATTATTACCAACAGTTATCTCTGGTGCTAAGTACGATTATGAATTTAAAAATTTTATTCAGTATACTTTTACATATTTTCAAAATTTTTAACAACGAATTTGTACAATCACATTAGATTCTTTTTTTTTCACGTATGAAAGGATAAGAGCATAAAAGTTACACTGGAAGCATAAAAAGCCCATGACTAGTTTCTCACCAATCGGAAAATGATTATTTTCTCTTTTTTTATACTTTGCTCTGAAATGAAAGCTTTAACAGTACGAGATGCACTAGCTAAGTTTAAACCAAATGCGACTTAGTCATCTGTGATTTTGTAAACCGCCTCAATAAGAGAGTCCCCAGAAATATTTTAGCTTTAAAGGACTCTCTTCTCCTCACACAGAAAATAACTTTCAGCTAACATTAAACAAGGATTTTCACCTGAGATTTGAATAGTTCCGTGACATTAAACATGGACTCTTGAAGAAGTAGCATCATTATGGCAAAGGAGGAGGTGAGCCAGCTGGTGGCGCGGTGAAATCAAATAGGTTGAACAGGTGTCCTAGAGGACAAGTGCGCTCACAGTTGAATAAGGGAGGAATTAGACAGATGGACGAAATCTCAGGGCCTGTGGCTCTGTGAAGTCAAGATGAAGCCACAGAGCCCAATAGGACAAGAAGTCATTAGGATAAATGTTGAAGACCACTTCCACCTCCCATGTACATGCCCTCAGACCCTGGTTATGCAAGATAGAGGCAGATGGGATACTTAAGGGGGTGGCAGGGCACTGTCACATGTGGAACGAGGAAACTTAAAGCATATATTCCCAGACGGAACTGTTCTGGGTTACAGAAGTCTGCACTGTGGTGTTTAGGACGTGAACTCCCTTGGAGGTTGGGAAGGGAGAAATGGGATCAACTCTCATGTCTTTCTTTAGTTCTTGCCTCACAAAGAAACAGCATCCTTTTACTTGGACACTCACTGACACTGCAAGATTACTTTTTTTTAATTAATTAATTTTTATTAAGATATAATTGACATATATTAGTTTCAGATGTACAGCATAATTATTTGATATTTGTATATATTGTGAAATTATCACAATAAATCTAGTTAGCATCATCACATATAGTTACAGAATTTTTTCTCTTGAGAACTTTTAAGATCTACTCTCTTAGCAACTTTCAAATATGCATTACAGTATTATTAACTATAGTCACCACGCTGTACATTATATCCCATGATTTAGTTATTTTATAACTGGAAGTTTGTACCTTTTTACTCCCTTCACCTGTTTCTCCCAGCCCCCACCCCCCGTCTCTAGCAATCACCGATCTGTTCTCTGCACCCATGAGCTTTTTTTATTATTATTTATTTTAGATACCACATATAATGAGATCATACAGTATTTGTCTTTGGCTGTCTGACTTATTTCACTTAGCGTAATGCCCTCGAGATCCATCTGTGTTGTTGAAAATGGCAAGATTTCATTCTTTTCTTGGCTGAATAATATTCCATCGTGTATATCTACCACATTTTCTTTATCCATTCATCCATCAATGGACATTTAGGTTGTTTCTATGAGATTACTTCCTATTGCAGCTGCTCATTTGCGCCTACCTCCCTAACACCATTGTCTTCATTTTATATAGGTACGTAAACCAGGTAATTGTCAGTGACGTGGCAGGCAAAAGGAAATGGCATTTCCTGTGCAATTGTTGGCTGGCCATGGACCTTGGCGACTGCGAGTGTGACCGGGTCTTCATACCAGTCTCAAAGAAAGAGCTCTTTTCCTTTAGGTATTGTTGGGCAACAGTTGGGTTCTATAGGTCTCACAGGCTCTGTTCATTTTCTTCATTCTTTTTTCTTTCTCTCCCTCAGACTGGATAATTTCAGTTGACTCATCTTCAGGTTTGCTGACTCTTTTTTCTGGCTGCTCAGATCTGCTGTTGATCCTCTCTAGTGAATTTTTCATTTCACTTACTGTATTTTGCAACTACAGACTTTTTAAAAATAATTTCTGTATCTATATTGATATTTCCTATTTGGCAAGACATCATTCTCATTTACTTTCCTCTAGTTCTTTAGACATGGTTTCCTCTAGTTCTTTGAACATCTAGTAAATCCAGTGTCTTGGCTTCCTCAGGGACAATTTATTGACTGGTTTTGTGTGTGTCAGTTGTTGCAGGGGTGGGCATACTTTTTTCCCCATGTCTTGTGATCTTGTGTTGAAAACTGGACATTTTAAATAACAGAATGTGGCAACTCTGGAAATCAGATTCCCTTCCCCAACCCCAGGATTTGTTGTTCTTAGTGTTTGTTGTTGCTGTTTGTTTAATGACTTTTCTGAATTAATTCGGTCAAGTCTGTATTCTGTGTCATGTGTAACAACTGAAGTTTCTGCTCAGTTAGTTCAGTGACCAGCTAGTGACTGGACAGAGATTTCCCTAAATGTCCGGACCCAGTCGGTCTCCCAGTCTTTGCTGAGGGGTTCTGTGTGCACGTTGTGGCATGCCTTCAACACTCAGCAAGGCAACTGACAGCTCTGCCTTAGCCTTTATTTCCTGTTTGCTGAGAGCTTCAAGGTCATCCAGGAGCGAGCGCTTAGGGCCTCCTCAGACATTTCCCGAGTGTGCACACAACCCTGGGCATGCATGTGGCTACTAGATTCCCAGAAATATGTCAGAGTTTTTCAAAACTCCTATGGACTTCTCATTTTCCAGCTTTTTGGTTCTCCTATTGTTCGTGCACCATGTCAGGTAGCTGTGAAGTTAAGCAATTGCCTGTGAATATTTTTGACAGTGCCCTCAGGGAAAAAGCGTTTTGCAGTGGGTGAGCACACCGGTCAAATAGGAACAGCCTCCCAGGTGGTGTTTTCCAGGGAACTACTAGACAGGTCAGATGATCACAGTTCTCTGGGAATGAGGCTTTGAAGGAGCTCCAGCCTTGTTCTGCTCCCTCTAGTGGCTGCCAGGCGGCTGGTTTTCACTGTGATTGAAGGCTGTTGGTGTTCAAGGTTTCCGTGGAGCCAGAGAAAGGGAGTGGGGACTAGGGCAAGTTAAAATGCCGCAAAGCTCACTGTTCTTACCGCTATTCAGTCATTTTTCTTGAACAGACACTCCCAGGTTGCTAAAAACCTTTGGATATTTACTTGAATTCTGAAAAATTTTTGATTCTGACTTTTTAAAAGTACTTTTATCATTGCTTTTATGGAAGAGAGAATTTTAGAGGTCCTTACACCATCCTTTTTGCTGACGCAAATGGATTTAGACAATTTACTACTTATAGCAATAGTAGCAGCCAGAGTAATACTTTGTGTCAGTTCCCGGAATCCCATTTCCCCCAGGGTGACGTGATTCTTGCACACATAGTGGAGATGTGTTACAAAAAAGAACCTAGATGAAGAGCTTCTGATCTGATGTAGGGGCTGCTGGAAAACCTGTTTACCCTCCCCTGTGGATTGAGACCTTATCTTTATTACCCTGGAATGTAAGCACATCTCTCAAAGGGGTAGGAACAAGGCATTTCTATCTTTATTACCCTAGAAGGTCTCTGCAGAGTGGGATGTCTCTATCTTTACAACCTGAAAATGTAAATAAATTTGCTCCAAAGACAGTCACTGTCACTGTCTCTGTCTCTGCGCTCTGTCTTTCCAGGGCTGTCTGCTTATACAAAGAAACCTGAAAAGATAGTCCAGGAGTGAATTTTTTATTAATGCCTAGATGCGAAGTATTCATGGAGAATTGCTTTCCAACACTGCCTTTGTTGTTGTGTCAGTCTTCTGTCAATCTAGCTATTATTCTTTTAAGGTATACTGCCTTTTCTCTTTTTAATATTTTCTCTTTATCCTCGATGTTCTGAATTTTACCATAATTATTCACTGTCGATTTGCTTTTTTATCCTTTTTGATACTCAGAGTATATTTTTTAAAAAGTTTTTTATTGTGGTAGAATACACCTAAAATAAAATGTACTTTTTTTGTTGTTGCAGGGGAAGATTTGCCCTATGCTAACATGTATGCCAACATCTTCCTCCATTTTCTTCCCCTCACAAAGCCCCAGTACATAGTTATGGATAGCTGTAAGTCCTTCTAGTTCTTCTCTGTGAGCTGCCACCACAGCATGGCTACTGACAGACAAGTAGGGTAGTTCCACGCCCAGGAACCGAACCTGGGCCGCTGAAGTGGAGTGCCCTAAACTTTAACCACTAGGCCATCAGGGCTGGCCCCTAAAATGTACTTTTAATATGCAGAATCATGTCTCAATTCTGAAAATTTCTCAGATGTCACTTCTGAAAATATTGTTCCTCTGATATTCCCTTACTGCATGTTGGAGCTTCTCAAACTATCCTCCATGTTTTTAAACTGCTCTTGCATATTTATTTTCTTTTTGCTTGTGGTGTGTTTTTCTGTGGTGTATGCTGGGTGAATTCTTTAGTGCTACATTTCAGTTCACTAATTTTCTCTTCAACCATGTCCTAAGTTTGTTGTTTTGATGACTATATTTTTCAGTTTCAAGAGTTCTAATTTATTTCTGTGTTTTTCATAATTTTTATTCTCTTAAGTGAATATCATTCCTTTACTTGTATCTTTGAGCAACCCAAAATACACATTTTAAAGTCTTTGTCAGACTATCCCATAAAATTAATTTCTTCTGGACTGAATTATTGATTGTGTTGGCTGCCCTTAGATTTCTTCATGTGTTTAGGGATTTTGGGTTGCATGTTCATTTTGAGTGTGTTTACTGTTAAATCTCTCTCTCTTTCCCTCTCCACACTCAAAACTCCACCCTGACTAGTAGTTTTGCTGCTGTTTCCATCCAACCCTTCACATCTCTAGTCTAGAACTAGGACTTGTTGTATGATAGCATTTTGGACCTCCTATTCCTTAATGAAATTAATGAAACTTGAGCCGTTGCAGATCTTGTCATGAGCCAGTGGATCTCTTGGCTCAACTCCTGGTCATAGGCTGTCCTTTTTCACCCAACTCCCTATCTATAAATTTGTAGCCCTGTGGCAGTTTTTTGTTCTGTAGTATCCTTTCATGAGCTCCAGCCTCAACCCTGGCTTCAAGCAGTGAAGTTGGCTTTATTCTCTCTTTTCCCAGCCTATGAAACACTTGTAGCCACAGTTACCTTACAAGAGGCAAACTCCCACTTACGTATTGCCTCTTCCAGACCTGGAGCCCAGCAATCCTATGGCTTCTTTCCCACTCACCACCTAGTTTTCTCATTCCATTCCTCTTCCTCAGAGATGTTTATTTTGTTTTTAAGCCTAGCCAATATTTTTGGTTCTTTCTTTTTATATCTTATTTATAGTACCTTCTGGAGGAGAGAAGATGCTCAAAGTATAAATTTACCAAACTATCTTGATTGGAAGCCTAATGTAGACTTTTGAAGAGTAAAAGATTTATCAAAAGTCTTATAAAGCTAAAGCAACAGTTTATAATTTTAAGTTCTCATACAGTATAAATTACCCTTATCCACAAAAATCTTTTATCCTAAAAGAACAAAAAGAATCATATTATCATGTCATTTGAAAGCTTCTTCAGAGAGGTGTTGAGTAGTGGCTGAGTTGTTGCTATGGAGCTTGTTGCCAGGCAAACCACGTCTTAGTCCAAGGCACTTTCGGAATGGAGTCTCATGTCTCTCCTGTCCTAATTTATCTTTTTAGACACTTGTTCTCCTCCATGATTGTAGAAAAGTTCACCCAGGATTATCTATGGCTCTCAGTTGCAACTCGACATCCCTGGAACCAGTTTACACGAGTCCAGAGGCTCACTTGCTGCATGACCCTGCTTCTTTGCAACATGGTCATCAACGTTATGTTCTGGAAGATAAATGGCACCACTGCCAAGAGAGATGAGCAAGGTATGGATGAGCCCCGACGTGTGGTATTTGTGTTATGTAATCCTTTTATTATACTCCACTCCTTACTTTCAGGGTTAGAAACAGAATTATGGTGCACCTTTGTTTTTCCTTTGCTGCCCTAACATAAGAACACTAACCAATTTTCTCGCTGTTCTCATTCATCAATAAATGAAGCAGCCTTAGGAACACATCAGGATCTTTACTGCCATGATAATCTTCTATCCTTAGATAATCATAGTTCAATTGCTAAACCAATACTTAAACCTGGGAGGAGAATGGCTTTGAGATGATTTTAATTGTTGAGGATGCAGGTTGATGTAAGGCTTTTCTTTCAGTGGGTCCATTTGCTGTGACCTGGTCCGAACTGCTCATCAGCCTCCAAACTGCTGTCATCCTCTTCCCAATCAATCTTGTCATTGGGCAGCTCTTCCCGTTGATTCAACCACAGGAACCTCTGCCTCCCTTTCCTCCCATCCAGGCCTCCTGCCTCTCAGATGCTTCTTTGGAGCCTCTTTCGCTTGCAAAGGTAGTTGAGGTGAGCTTGGTATCAAATTTTACAGGTAAGTGGCATGCTCCCCTCCCCCATGTAGTGGGAAAGACCAATGGAAGGGATCTCCTGGAAGGCTCTTGGGGTCCTGTTAACCTTGATAGCTTTTCCCTAATTCTTGTCCCCTGAGTTGCGATCCATCACACCTCTAGTTTTTTCTCCTGATTTTGAAGTATTCTGAGGGCTGAATGTGAGTACAGAATGTACTTCTCTGGAGTTGTTTTAGTTTTGGCTGTTTGATCAAACTCTCCCTTCTTCTTTCATTCTATATTCTCTCACAAAACTAGTTTTGAAGCTACTGTGAGGTGACTCCTTTCTGAAAAAGTAGAGAGAAAACGGAAAATTAAGGTTCTTTACACTAAGCACATGCCCCTCTGAGTAAAGGAACAGCCGTGCTACCATCTATAATTGCTGCCAGTCCTGGGCTAATGTGAAACACACTGGCTTTTCTCATCTTGCTTCTACATTCAGGAATTAAAGGAAACTGTGGGATTCCTGCTCAGGAGAAACACCTACCTACTCTCAGAGTGTGAACCATCTTTGTGGTGTTCTTACAACATTAACAAGCTGGTGAAACTTTTATCCAGCCTCATTTATTCTCACTTAGAGGCTCAAGGCTGTCATCAGCAGGCAGGATCCTACTGGGCAAATGGTAAGGTTCAGTAGGTTTTAGTGACTAGTCTTTTCTCTGCCTCCCACTCCCTTGCATGTCTCTTACTTTCTTGCTCATTCTTACCTCTCAGCATAACCAACAGACATGATACAACCTTCTGCTTGTTTTAATTTCCTTAAGCTCCCAGTGTAGAGCTGATAGCTTTGATCGCTCTCATGGCTTTCGAGACAATGTATCTGGTGACACAAAGTAAAGGATTAAGGAAAAACCCACAAAAATGTTCTCTGTATCAGACCCCCATATTCCGTCTGCTTGGTTGGAGGCAGTTGAAACTCGTCAGTTTTCTTCTTCTATGGAATGCTGAGATTAAGCAATTTATGGATTCTCGAATATAGTTTGGGCCTCCTGGGCTCTTACCTAGTATAAGTCACATGTACTGCAATTCTGGTGAAAAAGATCAATTAGGTTTTAAAAGTCTCAAGGGCAAAGCTTAGAATTTTACAAATTGTTACAAAGTCACCAGCATGCTCAGAGAAGACAATAATATTGTAGATGTTGAGTCCAGTTTCCATTGACTGGGAAATTTAACCTCATCATCAATTAATGAATTGCTAGTCTCTACCAGTAATTACTATTTATTGAAATCTTTCACTTGTTAAAGTGTCACCCTGGAATATATTTTCAGCGGTCCCTGAAAATGACCGTCATTTCCGCTATTACTTGCTCCGAGTTCTTCAGAGGCTGCAATGTCACTTAAGCACACTGGGTCCCACCCAGCTTGACCAGCCTTGTGACCTCCTGGATGTAGCCAGCCAGCTGCAGAAACTCCAGGAACTCTTGGAAACACATCTCCTTCCCGCAGAGCAAGGGTCATCCAGGTAAGGCACTGCACCGGGCCTCCATTATCACCTGTAAGCTTCCTGAACCTCCCTTCAACTGTTGGCTATGGGATTATTCCTTCAATTTCTCTTCTTAAGGGAGACAACCAGTTTCCCCATCCTGAGCCCAGCGGAAGGGAAGAAGTCCATCTCCACTGGCCTGCCCCGATGGTTGACTTCTATCTGCTGGCTCTTTCTGGGTGTCACGAGCCTGGCCGCAGCCTTTTTTACTGCACTTTATAGCCTGGAACTGAACAAAGACCAAGCCACCAGCTGGGTTATTTCGATGATATTATCAGTGCTTCAGAACATCTTCATCAGCCAGCCAGTAAAGGTACGTGAGAAACGGCCACATGGGCACGGGAGGAACCATTATAGTTTCAGGAAGTTTGGGAAACTGAGCTCCGTGGGTGTCAATCCAAGGTGGCCAATGGCTCTGACAATTTGACAAAAATAAAACCAAAAAAAAAAACAGAAATAGCAGCGTGAAATTTGTTAGGAATATGTGTGGAGTAGTCACAGAAAAAACTAACAAGAACTGATGGACTAGTAGAAGTATTAGCAGAAAAGGATGGGGCAGTTAAGAGGGACAAGTGAAAAAACCAATGGTAGCAAACTACTGTGGAAAAAAAGCAACATAACACTTTTTAAAAACTTAATTAAGGAAAATGTCACACAAAAGTGTAGAAAATAATGAATCCTAAAGTTCTGTTACCCAGTTCAACAATTACCAATTCATGGCCAATCATGTTTCATCTATTTGGGGAAAAAAAATCATATCATTTGTCCATAAATATTTCAGTCTGTGTGTATATATATATATATATTTTTTTTTTTTTTTTTTTGAGGAAGATTAGCCCTGAGCTAACATCCACTGCCAATCCTCCTCTTTTTGCTGAGGAAGATTGGCCTTGAGCTAACATCCATGCCCATCTTCCTCTACTTTATATATATGGGACGCCTGCCACAGCGTGGCTTGACAAGCAATGCGTACGTCCACGCCCGGGATCCAAACCTGCAAACTCCGGCCTGCCAAAGTGGAGCACATGAACTTAACCACTGCGCCAATGGGCCAGCCCCTCAGTCTGTATATTTTTAAAAGATTAAGACTGTTAAAACATAAGTATAAAACCATTATCACATCTAAATTAATCATCTCTTAATATGAATGTACTTAACACTACTGAACTATACACTTTAAAAAGGTTAAAATAGTAAGTTTTTCATGTATATTTTACAATTTTTAAAAAATCCAATTGGTATTAGATTTTCCCAGTTATCTCATGTTTATTTTATAGTTTTGTTCAAATCAAGATCTAAATAAGGTCCATGTGTTACAATTAGCTGCTATGTCTCTTATGTATTTTTAATAGTTAATCTATATGCTCCCCCTTCTTTTCCCTCTTTCTCTCTCTATTCTTGCTATTTTCCTCACAATATATTTGTTGAAGAAACCAAGTTGTTTGTCCTGTAGAGTTTCCAACATTCTGGATTTTGGTGATAGGATTGTCCCTGCTTTAAAACCCCAGAAGGTGGGCCTCGGCTCCCACAAGCAGATATGAGGAGCTCTTGGAATTCTTGATGCCCAGGCCTCACTCCAGACCAGTGAGATCGTCGTCTCCGGAGGTGGGCGCCAAGGTCCAACAGGTTTTAAAGCTCCACGGGTGTTCCGCCCTGTTTGAGACCCACTGGTCCTCGAAGAGGGACCAAGTACAAGGAGTTGGGTAGAGCTTAATTAAAAAGAACTGCTGGAGGAGACAGACCAAAGACTAACAAGAGCTCTGGAGGAGAGTCATTATAGCAGACACACAGACAAAGGCTTTCAGGAGATGGAAAATGCGATTTATGAAAATCAGAAATTGAGTTGAAGGAGAGGTCATTATTGAGACCCAAATTCATGACCAGGAAGATCAAGTAAACCAAAATAATGCAAAACATAAAACATAAATAAAAATATTGAAGACATAATGAAATAGAGACCTAGGCAGTAGATCCAGGGTAACTAACATGCAGTTAATAGGAGTGGTAGTAATTAATCAATCAAAACCTCCACCATTGCAGAGAAATATTAAATTTATCTACTAAAAGGCCTCAGCTAGTTCCAGGCACGAATTTAAAAGGACACACACTGAGACGGAGGATGGCAGTTCTGGGCTGGGGCCCAGGATTCTGCATCCTGACAAGTTCTCAGGCGATGCTGATGCTGCTGCTCCGTGGATCCCCCTTGGAGTAGATTATTATATGAATAATAAATCTAGTTTCTTTGAGAAGTCAATAGCTTTTTAAAAAAAGTTAATGGAGGTGGACTGTTGTAGGCCTTTTGAATAAATGAGACATTTTTAATATGGATAGAATATTATACTAGGAAATTATTGATAATTTCCTTAAGTGTGATAATGATATGAAAATGTTTGGACTTTTTGGTGATATGTACTTGAACAGGCAGCCCTTGCTTTGCCGTGTCTCAGTGCGCATGAATTTCAGTTACCATGGTTTAGTTAAATATTACCGGTTTCCCAGCAACACAGTTCAGATCCCACTTACCGTGGAATATTAACTGTGAGTGACTGCATAAAGTACAAACTACGGCTCGCTCTTCAGCCCACAGATCGCCTCATAAATAACAGGTGGTCAGTCACAAGTCATGTCACTTCTTTTAAAGTCTGTGGGTGATTTGTCACCTGTTACCCAGTTCATGACAGACAGCAAAGTGTGTAGTTGTGTTATTTCCTCGTCTCCCAGTCACAAACTCTGTGATATTTTACCAAAAAATGGATAATTGAGACAGGGAATTGGCCAACAAAGATGAAAATGCAACAAAGAAACAGAAAGTGATGACCCTGGAAGTGAAATTTAAATAGAATGTAGAGTTACAGAAGAAGCCACTGGCTGTGGGGACGTTGACGCTTCCTGAGGTCAAGAGTCTCTAGATATGTAGCCCCGTGAACTTAGTCAAATTTATCAGCATAGATGGAGAAACTGGTTGTGACGAAAAGGATGATACGTCTCAGAGGAAGTGGCGCTGGCAAAAAACTTACTTTAAAGGAACTCGGATATTTCACAGCATTGAAAGCTGTGATAAAGGATAAAATGCTGGAAGCCAATCCACGCTTAGAAAAGAGTATGACAGTTCACCAAAGGCGTAGAGAAGATGCTCTCTCTGTGTCGCGAGCTGTACAGGAAGAGGGAGGTGAGCCCTGTGCACACTGTTCTTGATAAGTTTTTTACAAAGAAATAAAACACTTCAATTCTCAGTGTTTCTAACATTTTAAGTTATAGTGGACTAAATACATCTTAGTTTTACTACTTTTTAAAATTTGCTTATACCTGCATAACTGACAATAAGAGATTTTAATGGTTTGACAAGAATCTTTAAATGTCACAGAACAATCGTAATTTTTCCCACTGGTTATTAAGGTCACTTTGCACAGTTTCAGCCTGTAAGGTCGTTTTTATGATCCCACTGTACCATGCAAAGTGAGGACTACTTTTATTTAGGTGTGAAATGTCATGATGTCTATTATTTTCAAGTGGTTCAGAAAAAAAGCAAAGCAAATATGTGCATTATTAACTTTTGTATCTTCCAATTTTTATGTATGTTTAAAAATTTTAATAATAAAATGTCAGACAAAAATAACTCAAAATGGTTAATATATCAAAATGTAAAGGTTTTGGAAGAAAACGTAGGAGAAAATCTTTGTAACCTTAGGTTAGGCAAGGAGTTCTCATATACAACATCACAAGCACAATCCATAAAAGAAAAAATTGATAAATTGGACTTCATCAAAATTAAACACTTTTGCTCTGTGAAGGATACTCAAGGGACTGAAAAGGCAATCCACACACTGGAAAAAAAATTTGCAAATCACATATCTGACAAAGGACTTGTATTCAGAATATGCAAAGAACCTCGAAACTCAATAGTAAGAAAACGATCCAATTTTGTAAATGGGCAAAAGGTTTGAGAAGACATTTCACCAAAGAAGAGATACAGATGGCAAACAAGCACATGAAAAATACTCATCATTACTCATTAGGGAAATGCAAATTAAAACCACAATGAAATACCACTATGCATCTACTAGCATGACTTACAAAATATTAATAATCCCAAGTGCTGGTGAGGATGCAGAGCACCTGGGAGCTCTCATGCAGTGGTGGGAGAGATGTAAAAATGCTATACCCACTTTAAAGAACCGTTTGCCAGTTTCTTACAGAGTTAAACGTACAGTTACCATATAATTTAGTAATCCCACTCCTAGTATTTACCAAAAGAAATAGAAACCTCTGTCACACAAAATTGTTGTGTGCCTATTTATAGCAGCTTTATTCTTTTTTTTTTTTTTTAAGATTTTATTTTTTCCTTTTTCTCCCCAAAGCCCCCCGGTACATAGTTGTGTATTCTTCGTTGTGGGTTCTTCTAGTTGTGGCATGTGGGACGCTGCCTCAGCGTGGTCTGATGAGCAGTGCCATGTCCGCGCCCAGGATTCGAACCAACGAAACACTGGGCCGCCTGCAGCAGAGCGTGCGAACTTAACCACTCGGCCACGGGGCCAGCCCCATAGCAGCTTTATTCTTAATTGCCAAAAGCAGGAAACAACCCAAATGCCCATCAACTGGTGAAGGGATAAACTGTGGTATGTCGGTATAGTGGAAGACTGTGCAGCAATGAAAAAGAACAAACCACTGATACATGTAACTATATGGATGAATCTCAAATATATTATCGTAAGTGAAAGAAGGAAATCTCAAAAGGAATACTATATGATTCCATTTATATGACATTCTGGAAAAGGCAGAAACTATACTGATGAAGAACACATCAGTGTTTGCCAGAGATTGAGATAGGAGAAAGGGTTGACCAAAAAGGGGCAGCCTGAGGGAATTAATTTTTTTTTGTGCTTTTTGGTGAGGAAGATTGGCCCTGAGCTAACATCTGTTGCTCATCTTCTGCTTTTTTTTTCTCCCCAAAGCCCCAGCACGTGGTTGGATATCCTAGTTGTAGGTCATTCTGGTTCTTCTGTGTGGGATGCTGCCACAGCATGGCCTGATGAGTGGTGTGCAGGTCCGCGCCCAGGATCCGAACCAGTGAACCCCAGGCCGCCAAAGCAGAGCATGCCAACTTAACCACTTGGCCGTGGAGCCAGCACCTGAGAGAATTTTTTGGACGATCAAACTGTTGTATATCCATCACCATAATCAAAATACCTAACTCTGTGCATTTGTCAAACTCATAGAATTATACACCAAAAAGAGTGATTTTTACTGTGTGTAATTAAAATGTAAATATTTTTTAAAAGCAAAAAAACCTTTGTGATCATAATAGCTAAAAAATTTGCAAAAAGTTTATCTCCACTGGTCAAATAAATTAGAACAATAAGATTCCACTTTTGCTTTTAAAAGTGGCAAAGAGGACCGGCCCCATGGCCTAGTGGTTAAGTTTGGTGTGCTCCACTTTGGCAGCCCTGGTTCGGTTCCTGAACGCAGACCTACACCACTCATTGGTGTCCATGCTGTGGCAGCGACCCACAAAATAGAGGAAGATTGGCACAGATATTAGCTCAGGACAAATCTTCCTCAGGAAAAAAAAAAATGGCAAAGAAAAACATGATAATACACAGTGATGCCAGGGAAAATGAACACTCAGTGCTGGGTGAGAAAAATCTGGTAATAAATGGTAAAAGCCTTCAAATTCTGCATCCCTTTGCTAAATAACTTTCAGTTCTCAGAATCTAACCTGAGAAAATTCAAGGTGGCTTATAATAATAATAATAAATTGGCAGCAACTTAAATGTCCAGAATTAGGACATTGCTTAATGTACTATGAGACGGCCATATCCATGTAAGGGAATACGGAGTACCATTAAAAACGTTGTAGAAAACATAATGATATGGTAAACTAGCCCTGTATATGAAGTACGATAAAAATCATTAAAGGATATATTCCAAATTTCAAGGGATTTTTTTAATCTCTAATTTTTCCCCTTTTTTAACTTTTATAATCATATATTCAGTTCAAAAAAGTTGGGGGGAAAGTATAAAAAAGGAACAGAAGAGATAGAAACCAACATATTAGCTTAGCTATTGGGATCGCTTCAGTGGAGAATTCAGTTGGACCCATGGTCAGATGTACTTTCTACTACTTTTCCCCAAGTCTAGTCCTTGGGACAATCCTCTAGAGGGCGACTTTAGGTCTGTTGAGCAGACACACCCAGAATTGCCACCTCACAATAGGCATGTGGGGCAACAGGCTGGAAATACCGCCCTTGTCCTTTATTCTCCTGAGGCCTGGAGCGCTTTCCTCTCCTGCATGCAAACTGAAGGAGTTGGGGAGACTTGTTTCCCTCAACAGATATTTAAGGTCTTACTCAATTCTAAGATTCCATGTCTTCTTTCAGCAAAACTGAGATTTAATCCTTGGGACTTTTAAAGTGTAGCTTCTCCAGTCTAGTTCATCAAAGGTCTTCCAAAGACAGGTGTTATTGAAGAATTTATACAAATCATCACAAATCATTTAATAGTTTAAGCTTTCCTAGCCAGCAGATTAAAGACCACAGGCAAAAATACAAATATTAACATTATATTAACTAAGTCCCCATGATTATGCAAAAATAATTATGAAATTACTTCTCAGTGTTCCATATAACATAGGGCCAAATAATTGAAATTTATTAATCATATCCACCTTCACCTTTACGTGACGATGTCACCTTCTTGAATCCTGCAATATCTGCTCATTGGTTTCTCCTATGATCTTCCCATCCAGGTGGTCTTCCTCACATTGTTATCCTCACTGATGCTGAACAGGATGCCGTGGCTTCACAAAGAGAAGGAACAACAGACAAAGAGGATCTTGGCACTTTGGGGTAATTTGGGTTGTTCTAACTACTAATATCTAATTTTGCAAAGAGCAGATTATATCAGAACACTGGGAGTCCAGCCACCTCACTGACTCACATTTATCCACGAAGGGATCTTGTCTCTAATCAGCTGCTTGCTCCTCCTCCTCTGCCCCCGGGGAACCAATCTGTCCCCAGAACTCATTATGCCTTCCTCCCTGGATTATCGCATCCTCTCAATGCTTCAACTCTCCCCTGTATTCTAGATCTCTTTCTCAGTCTCCTTCCTGCTTCTGAGCCCCAGATGCTATTTCCAACTCCTCCCCAGCTGTATCTGATACCTGCAGGTGTCTCAAATTAACCATGCTCCAAACAGAATTATTTGCCTGCCCTGCAAATCCACTTTTTCTCTCCAATTAAGAGCATCAGTGTCCTTTAAAAATGTCAGAGTAATGCTAAATTCCTCTCTCATTCCCCACATTCAGTCCCCAAGCCTGAGGGATTTTATCCTCTAGTAACTGACTAGACCTACTTTTATCACATGGGTGGACCTCACTAACACAATGGCGGGCAAAAAAGCAAGTTGCAAAAAAATTAAAACGATACTTCAATCATGCAAAACAATGCATGTCTTGCTTAGAGGATATTTCTCTCTCTATTTTTTTTTTAATGAAGAAATGCATGGGAATGATAAACTCAAATTCAGAAGAGGATTAGCTCTCCGTAGAAAAGAAGGGATACCATCAGAGAGGTACACGACAGACTTTATGTTGGCCATCGCTTATTTCTTAAACTGAGCGGTGGACACATTACTAAGGGAGAGGTACCCCATTCCTTAATAAGATTAAAAGCAATTAATAATCTCACTTCAGACTGCCTTCCTAGCCCCCATTTCACTTTTCCATGCTCTTGAATTGCTGTTCCCTCTGCCTAAAATGACTTGTTTTTATTATCCTTGTCCTTGTTTATCTGGAGAATTATATCTGACACATCCTTCAAAACAAATGTCAAATATCACTCCCTCTATGACACCTTCTCGACTTCCTCACGGAGATTTATTTTCTTCCTCTTCAGTGATCCACGCTGGCAAGTTTTATGTCATATGTCATTCCCTCTCTCTCCATCTTGATTTAAATATCTCTAGATACATCTCAGTGTGGTCTACAGACCAACAGCATTGGCATCTCCTGGAATTGTCAGAAATGTAGAATCTGCATTTTAATGAAATTCCCAAGTGATTCCTATGCACCTTAAAATTTGAGAAACGCTGGTCTAAAACAGTACCCCCAAACCGTAGTCCAGTTTGTTTCTAATCCAAGATAAATACAGAAATTGAGAGTAATTTAGAAACTTTTATCACAATTGAGCAGACTAATTTTAGGCATATTGAATCTAATTTTCAATATGGGGCTTGTATTTTGTATGCCTCTGGTCTATTTCATTTTTCTAGTAATTAATTTTTATTGTATTTTATAAAAGTATCATTCCCCAGTGGATTGGGATTAAAAAAAAAAAAGTCCTTCCTGAGAGTTTGAGAAGCGCTGTTTAGATAGCTTTATTCCTTGTTTCTTCAACATCTAACTGGAGGTGCTCATGGTAGAGTGTCAACAATTGTTGATGAATAACTGCTTAATAATATATAACGCGTTTTTGGTCTACATTTGAATTTTTGGCAGCAAAATGTTCTTCATCGTTACCTGGCTCAAGAGATAAGAACAACCCCATCTATGTAGCCCCAGCTATGAACAGTCCAGTTAAGCGCCTGGAAAGACCCTTGAAAGACAAGCAACTCCTCAAGCTGACAGGAGATATTGTGGGTATGGAGAGGAAATGGTGGCATGTTGATACCGCGGCTCGTTTCCCAGCGAGGAAAGGGGGAGTGAGAATAAGATGGAAAATACAGAAGGGTGGAAAAGTATATTAAAATATTCCCCTTGAAAACTTCTGGATTCCAGTAAACTTGGAGTCTTGAAATCTAATTGTGTGCTTGAATAAGTTGCTTTCCCAACCTACAAAATGTAATAATAAAACGTGATCTGCATACTTCACAGGGTGGAGGAAAAAATGAACGTTTTGAAAAATAGCGATCCTATTAGTGCAAGGTGCCTGGTTCAGCATAGCTAGTATCTGGATTGTTGGATTCCCTGGACCAAAGAAGACACATTCTGTTTTTATGGTGCCTTCCCTTCTTGTGAACACAGGTGGTCTATAGGCAGCTGGGGAGGGACGGGGTGGAAGGGGGGTGGTTTGGGGAGATATTTAGTTTTGAGAACTAAAGTAAAACGTTTTTTTGTTGGGGATTTTATGTATTTTAAGTAAAATTTCTGATTAGTGGCAGAATAATTCTGAGAAGGAATATGCGGATATAAATAGATAGATATAGATATCACTAAGAGCCAAATGCTTTGGTTTATCTGGTTACGATTATTAGGTTGAACCACATGAGCTGGCCAATTTTTGACTGTTTTTGACCTGTAAAAGTCTATAGGCTTAGGACAAATGAAGAAAAAGGTGTAGAAGGTTTCTAAGCTAACCGCTCAACTATGATTCTTTTCTCTCTGCTCTAGTACAAATCCTCTTCCTCATCCTGTTGACGACTGTGGCCTACTCTGCACAGAACCCCAGCAGATTTTACCTCCATCAAGCTATCCAGAAGAGCTTTTCTCACGGTTTCTCAGAGATCAAACTTCCTGAGCATTTCTACCCCTGGGCCAATCGCACCCTCCTCCCCAACCTGTACGGGGACTACAGTGGTGAGAACACAGTCCCGGGGCCCAGCCATGCAAATGTGGGGTGCAGTTAGTTTTCCAAGACCCCAGCACGACACATTAGCACACTGAGAAATGTTAGCTGGTTTTTCAATATGGCTGCACCTCGGTGGGCACCCCAAAGGTCCACTCCGTGGGCCTCATCTAAGCAGGTTCAGGTTTGTCTGCTCACCCAAGGGTGATCAGGCCCATGGGAGCTGATACCCACTGGTGAGTCTCACAAGAGTCTGATAAACATGAATGAGAACGTATTCACTTAAGCCATGAAAAGTAACCAGAGTGATCCCGGGGACTGGTTGCCGCCTTGTGAAGGAGGGAACCACATGTCGCTGCGAAGGTTGTTTAATGAGGACAGGACCAGGAAAACAGTGAAACCAGAAAGATCTACGTACCAGATGACATTTTGATATATTGCCTGATGTGCAATCTTTCCCAAGCCTGTGATGTGTCTGTCTGATTCTTCTTGTGTGGTTGTCCAGTTCAGTTCCACAAACATGTATTGAACACCTAATATGCTGGGAACTCCTAGGAGCTAATGAGAAAAAGATGGATATAATATGGTTTGTACCCTCACAGAACCTCACTGTCAGGAGTTAGTATGCTTTGCCCTAGACAGTGTTGGAGAAATGCTAAAAAACTTCTTTCCTAAGGAAGGCTTCTTGTTCAGTATTTTTCACCGGTTACCAACATTTGTCATATTTTAACTTCGTATCTTGTTAAGTAAGCTATATTCTGCAAATTGTCGCGTTCGTTTAACAGAAGATTGATGGCTTCTTGTTAGGAACTGGAACATCTAGGTCCCTGGAAAAAAAAATCTAAAAGACATGTTCATCTCAGCAAACACTTAAAGTCTTTTCTTAAAGGTCTGCTTGGTGCATCTGGGGGCATTGTTACCGTTGGCAACTCCTATTCCTTGCATGTTGATTCTTTCTGGTTCAGTTTTAGATGGTGACAGTTCTAGGTTCAGGGCACATTCTTTTTGCAGTCTGTAACTCTGTCTGTGCTGAATAAAATATTGACTAAATGAAAAGTGAATCGAACCCTGAGTGGCTAAGGATGGTGCCATCACAATAGGCATGGTTCCCCTCTTGGACTCCTTGGCTCTGCGGTATGGTGTCATGGTCCCAGAGTACAGACTCAGAAGCCAGACTGCCCAGGTGCACATTCTCACTCTCCGCTTACTAACAGTGTGTTCTTGGGTAAATTACTCAATTTTCTGTACTTCAGTTTCCCCGTCTATACAATGGGGATAGTATTAGGACCTACCGTATAAGATTGATGTGAATATTAAAAACTTAATAGGTCTAAGTGCTTAGAACAGTGTCTGGCACATAGTCTCACTGGGTAAGTGTTAGCTGCTGTTATGAACTGGGTACCTGGGGCTCTGGCCAATCTACTAGAACCATAAAGTGTACATGAGTTACCTGGACATGCTAAGGAAGAGCAACAGCAGTCTGTCGATATAGAGAAAGAGAGAATTAAGTAGACATGGGGTGAAAAGCAGTAAAAATTGTCACTGACATGGTTTCTCTCTTCAACTACTAAAAAATCTGTACTTTCAGAATTGACATAGCCCGGTCGTATGAGTCCACGTGTTTTCAGGAACATTGAAGCTCGAGCCATTCACAGCAGATAATCTGTATCCTGTAAATACATGACTTTCCTAATAGTCTAGTCCAGTGTTTGGTCACATTTAGGGAAGAATCATCTTTTAATTTCATTAAAATTTCTCTTGCAGCAATTTAAACTTGCTTTTTGTCTTTTGGCTTTCTTCTGAGGTGGAAACAGATGATCAAAATTCTACCATAATTTTATGATTTTCTTTTAAGATGCAAAACGGGGGCTGGCTCCGTGGCCGAGTGGTTAAGTTTGCGTGCTCCGCTGCGGCGGCCCAGGGTTCAGATCCTGGGCGCAGACATGGCACTGCTCGTCAGGCCACGTTGAGGCCGCGTCCCACATCCCACAACTAGAAGGACATGCAACTAAGATGTACAACTGTGTACGGGGGGGGGGGGGGGGTTAGGGAGATAAAGCAGAAAAAAAAAAAAAAAGATTGGCAACAGTTGTTAGCCCAGGTGCCAATCCTTAAAAAAAAAAAAGATGCAAAATGAGACCATCTTTGAAGGTTGTCACCTTTACCTTCCTCTTTTATCTTCCGCAGAACCCTAGGTTCTTTACAAACTACTGCAAACCTCTCCTTGCCACATTCTCTAACATAATCTTTTTCTTTTATTTAAAACATTTTTTAATAATTAAAACATGAATATGGAGAAAATTCAAGTGAACAACAGGGTATGTTGCGCAACTCCCCATTGTCCCTGAATCCTCTTTCTTTCTTTCCAAGAGGTAACTACGTTCCAATTTATTATATATTCTTCGAGGTAATCTATGCATTTGCAAATGTATTTGCTGATAAATGGTAGCCTACTATAAAAACTGTCATTCATTTTGCCTTTTTCCATTAATAATTTACCTGGAGATTGTTCCATCAGTTGTGTTTTGTTCCTTTACCATGTAGTATTCCATTGCCTGGATGTACCATAATTTATAACCCTGTTGATAGACATTTAGATTGTTTCCAATCTTTTACTGTTAACAACAATACTACCATTAATATCCTTTTACATATGTAATTTCACATGTACAAATATATCTGTAAAATAAATACCTTGAAAAGACTTGCTAAAAATGTATTTTTTTTTAAAGATTGGCACCTGAGCTAACAACTGTTGCCCATCTTTTTTTTTTTTATTATTGCTTTTTCTCCCCAAATCCCCCCAGTACATTAATTGTATATTTTAGTTGTGGGTCCTTCTAGTTGTGGCATGTGGGATGCCACCTCAGCATGACCTGACGAGCAGTGCCATGTCTGCGCCCAGGATCCGAACCGGCGAAACCCTGGGCCGCCGAAGCAGAGCGCGTGAACTTAACCACTCAGCCATGGGGCCAGCCCCATAAAAATGTATATTATTTTAATTTAGAAGGATATTGCCAAATTGTTCTCCTTAGTTGTTGTACTAGTTAACACTCCCATTAGCAATGTATGAGAGTGTCTGCTCATATCCCCAACAGCCCAGTGAAAATTGGTGTTTTCGAACAATACGTATAGCTCTGAAGTATACTAAAGGCTTTGCGAAGGAACTCGTGAGAACATGCAAGTCTAAACTAAAGTAGGTACCATTTTTTACCTCTCTTATGGGCAAAACTTGCCTCTGCTCTTGCTCTTCTTCATTCTATCCTCCCCATATTATTTTTTAAAAACATAAATCTGTGTTACTCCCTTGTTCAAAACCTCCCAATGGATTCCCATCATACTTAAAATCTCAAACCCTTTCCAAAGCCTGCAAGGAGGACCTGCCTGTCCGGCCCCTGGCTCCGTCTGTTACTTCACCCCCTGCTCCTCCAGCCCTCCTTCACTACAGCCACACAAGCGTCCGTGCTCTCCTTGAATACGCCAAGCATGCTCTCAGCTCGGGGCCTTGGAACTTGCTGTTGCCCTGACTGGGTTCTGCATTGGGTGCTCCAAAATTTGCTTGGGTCTCTCTCATAAGCCACCTCCTCAGAGAAACGTTCTTTAATCTTCCTACGTAAATGAATAGCTCTGCTCCCTCCCCACCAAACACTCTTTCCCTTCGTTCTACAGAATTTTTCTTCATAGCGCTACCATTCCCTGAATGCTGTTTGCTTATTGCCTCTCCCTCCTCAGATGCGGGCTCTCTGTGGACAGAGATTCTTTCATTCACTGTTGTGTTCCCAGCGCCTCAAACAGGACCTCTTGGATGTGAGCACTCAGGACATATTGATTGAAAGAAAGAATGTCGTTCCGTAATCTTTGCCCATTTTTCAGTGGTCTCCTTGGTTTTGTTTTCTTGTTTTGATATACAGGCACTTTTTATATATTAAGAACTTATATAGTTGTAGATATAGATTTAGATATTTATATAGACACTAAGTATAAACTAGTAAAGATTAATTTAGGGAACTGATATCTTTCTGATGTTGTCATCCTATCTGGGAGTAGGGCATGCTTTTCTGTTTATTCTCATCTTCATTTGTATCTCTCAGTAATATTCGAAATTGCTCTTCATATGATTCTTGCACATCTCTTGTTGGGTTTATTTTATCTTTTGTGTTGCTATTGTAAATGAGATCTTATTTCTCTAAACCTTTTAAGTAAATATTGTTTGGAGATATGAAGACTATTGATTTCTTTATATGTAGTACCCAGCTACCTTGCTGAGTTATCTTTTGTAAGCAATAGTTTTTCAGTTGATTTTCTTTTTCCCAAGCTTTGTTGAGGTGTAATTGACAAATAAAAATTGTATGTATTTAAGTTACAACATGACATTTTGATACATGAATACATTGTGAAATAATTACCACAATCAAGCTAATTAACATAGCCATCATCTCACATAGTTATGTTTCTTGTTTTGTTTTTGGTGTGGCAGGAACACTTAAGATCCATTCTCTTAGCAAATTTCAAATACACAATATGGTACTTAATGATCATAATGGTAACCTTAATGATCATGCTGTACATTAGCTCTCCAGAACTTGCTCATTTTATAACTGAAAGTTTGTACACTTTGACCAGCATCTCCCCATTTTCCCCACCCCCCGAGCCCCTAGTTACTACTGTTTCACTCTCTGATTCTATGAGTTCAACTTTTTTAGATTCCACATATAAGTGAGATCATACAGTATTTGCTTTTCTCTGCCTGGCTTATTTCACTTAGCATGATGTCCTTCAGGTTCATCCATGTTGTAGCAAATGGTAGCATTTCCTTCTCTTTTTATGGATGAATAAACTCCATTATATACATATACCACGTTATCTTTGTACATTCCTACATCAACAGATACAGATTGTTTCTGTAGCTTGGCTATCATGAATAAGGCTGCAATGAACATGGGAGTGCAGATGTCTCTTCAAGATACTGATGTCATTTCCTTTTGATATATACCCAGTAGTGGGACTGCTAGATCATATAGTAGTTCTATTTTTAATTTCTTGAGGAACTTCCATACTAGCTTCTGTAATGGCTGTACCAATTTACATTCCCACCAACAGTGTATGAAGATTCTCTTTTCTCCACACCTTCACCAATACTTGTTATCTTTTGTCTTCTTGATAGTAGCCATCCTAACAGGTATGAAGTGATATCTCATTGTGGTTTTGATTTGCATTTCCCTAATAATTAGTGATGTTGAGCACCTTTACATATATCTGTTGGCAATTTGTATGTCTTCTTTAGAAAAACATGTGTTCAGGTCCTTTGCCCATTTTTTTCCCTTGAAGATTGGCACCTGAGCTAACATCGGTTGCCAATCTTCTTTTTTTCTTCACCCCAAAGCCCCCCAGTACACGGTTGTATATTCTAGTTGTGGGTCCTTCTGGTTGTGCTATGCGGGACGCCGCCTCAGCATGGCTTGATGAGCGGTGCTAGGTCTGCACCCAGGATTCCAACTGCTGAAACCCAGGGCCACCGAAGCAGAGCACGTGAACTCAACCACTTGGCCACCGGGTCAGCCCCTCCATTTTTTAATTGGGTTATTTGTTTTTTTGGTATTGAGTTGTATGAGTTCTTTATATATTTTTGATATTAATCCCTTATGAGATATGTGGTTTGCAAATATTTTCTCCCATTTCATAGGTTGCCTTTTCATTCTGTTGATGGTTTCCTTTGCTGTGCAGAAGCTTTTTAGTTTGATGTAGTCTCACTTCTTTGTTTTTGCTTTTGTTGTCTGTGTTTGTGGTGTCATATCCAAAATATTGCCAACACCAATCTCAAGGAGTTTTTTTCCTATGTTTTCTTCTAGTAGTTTTACTGTTTCAGGTCTTACATTTAAGTTGTTAATCCATTTGGAATTGATTTTTGTATATGGCATAAAATAAGGGTCCAATTTCATTCTTTTGTGTGTGGAAATCCAGTTTTCACAGCACCATTTGTTGAAGAGACTAACCTTTCCCCATTGTGTATTCTTGACAGACGTTTCATAGATTGGTTGACTGTGTATGTGTTGGTTTAATTCTGGGCTCTCTATTCAGTTCCATTGGTCTCTGTGTCTGTTTTTATGCCAATACCGTACTGTTTTGATTACTATAGCTTTTTAATATAGTTTGAACCAGGAAGTGTGATGCCTCCAGCTTTGTTCTCTCTCAAGATTACTTTGGCTATTTGAGGTCTCTTGTGGTTCCATACAAATTTTAGAATTGTTTTTTGTATTACTGTGAAAAATGCCATTGGAATTTTGATAAAAATTGCATTGAATCTGTAGATCTCTGGGTAGTATGGACATTTTAACAATATTAATTCTTCCCATCCATGAACATGGGGTATCTTTCCATTTATTTTTGTCTTCTTCATTCTTTCATCAGTGTCTTATGGTTTTCATTCTACAGATCTTTCACCTCCTTGGTTAACTTTATTCCTGAGTATTTTATTCTTTTTGATACCTTTGTAAATGAGATTGTTTTCTTAATTTCTTTTTCAGATAGTTCATTGTTAGAATAACAAAATGCAACTAATTCTTGTATGTTGACTTTATATCCTGCAATTTTACTGAACTCACTCATTAGTTTTCACACTAATAGTTTTTGGTGGAGTCTTTAGGGTTTTCTATATGTAAGATCATGCCATCTGCAACAGAGACAATTTTACTTCCTCCTTTCCAATTTGGATGCCTTTTATTTCTTTTTCTTGCCTGATCGCTCTGGGTAGGGCTTCCAGTACTGTGTCGAACAGAAGCGGCAAGTGTGAGTGTCTTTGTCTTGTTCCCAATCTTAGAGGAAAAGCTTTCAGTTTTTCACCACTGAGTGTGTTATTAGCTGTGGGTTTGACATATATGACCTTTATTATATTGAGGTACATCCCTTCTATGCCTAATTTGTCAAATGCTTTTTCTGCATCTGTTGAGATCATCATATGATTTTAATCCTTTATTCCATTAATGTGATGTATGTTTATTAAATGTGTATCTTGAATCATCCTTGCATCCCAGGAGTAAATCCCATTTGGGATATGTTGTATGATCCTTTTAAAATGTGCTGTTGAATTTATTTTGCTGATATTTCGTTGAGGATTTTTGCATCTATGTTCATCAGGGATATTAGCTTATAATTTTCTTTTCTTGTAGTGTCCTTATCTGGCTTTGGTATGAGGGTATTGCTGGCCTCATAAAGTGAGTGTTCCTTCCTCTTCAATATTTTTGAAGAGTTTGAGAAGGGTTGGTGTTAATTCTTCCTTAGATGTTAGGTAGAATTCACCCATGAAGCTCTCTGGTCCTGGGCTTTTGTTTGTTGGGAGTTTTTTGATTACTCATTCAATCTCTTTACTCATTATTGGTCTGTTCAGATTTTCTATTTCTTCATGATTCAGTCTTGGTAGGTTGTATTTTTCTAGGAATTTACCCATTTCTTCTAGGTTATCCATATTATTGGTATGTAATTTTTCATAGTAGTCTCTTATGATTCTTTATATTTCTTTGATATCAGTTGTAATATCTCCTCTCGCATTTATGATTTTATTTGAGGCCTCTCTCTCTCTCTTTTTTAGTTAGCCTAGCTAAAAGTTTGTTAATTTTGTTTATCTTTCAAAAAAACCAGCTCTCATTTTTGTTGATCTTTTTCTATTTTCTTTCTTGTCTCTATTTCATTTATTTCTACTCTAATCTTTATTATTTCCTTCCTTCTGCTAACTTTGGGCTTCATTTGTTCCTCTTTTACTAGTTCCTTGAGGTGTAAAGTTAGGCTGTTTATTTGGTTTTTTTCCCTTAATGCAGGTGTTTATCACTATAAAGTTTCCTCTTAGAATTGCTTTTGCTCCATCCCATAAGTTTTGGTATGAACGTTTGTGCTTCCCTTTTTCTTTGTCTCAAGACACTTCTTGATTTCCCTTTTGATTTCTTTTATAACCCGTTGGTAGTTCGGGAGTGTGTTGTTTAATCTCCACATATTTGTAAATTTTCCAGTTTTATTCTTGTAATTGGTTTCTAGTTTAATGTCACTATGGTCAGAAAAAGTAGTTGATAATGATTTAAAATCTTCTTAAATTTGTTAACACTTGCTTTGTGGCCCAAAATATGATCTATCCTGGAGAATGTTCCAGGTACACTTGAGAAGAATGTGTTATGGTGTTGTTGAATGGAATGTTCATATGTGTATATCTGTTAGGTCCATTTGGTCTATCGCGTTATTCAAGTCGGCTGTTTCCTTGTTGATTTTCTGTCTGGATGATCTATGCCTTGTTGAAAGTGGATATTGAAGTCCCCTACTATTATCATCTTGCTGTCTGTTTGTTCCTTAAGTTCTATTAATGTTTGTTTTACATATTTAGGTCTCCAAAGTTAAGTACATATATATATATACAATTGTTATGTCCTCTTGATGACTTGACCCCTTCACACTATACAGTGACCTTCCTTGTCTCTTGTGACTGAGTTTAACTGAAAGTCTATTTTATGTCATATAAGTATAGCTACTCCTGCTCTCTTTTGATTATCATTTGTATGGAATATATTTTTCTATGCCTTCATTTTCAACCTATGTGTGTCCTTAAAGCTAAAGTGAGTCTCTCAAAGGCAGCATATTGTAAGATCTTGTATTTTTATTCATTCAGCCACTCTATGTCTTTTGATTGGAGAATTTAATTATTTACATGTAATTATTGATAGGTAAGAATTAACTATTGTCATTTTGTTAATTGTTTTCTGGACTGTTTTGTAGCTCCTTTGTTCCTTTCTTCCTCTCTTGCTGTCTTCTTTTGTGGTTTATTTTTTGTAGTGGTATGCTTTAATTCCTCTCCCTTTATCTTTTGTGTATCTACGATAGGTTTTGCTTTGTGGTTACCATAAGGCTTACATAAAACATCTTATAGTTATTACAGTCTATTTTAAGCTGACATCTTACCTTCAATCACATACAAAAACTCTATACTTTTACTTCTCCTCTCCTCACATTTTATGATATTCATGTCATACTTTACTCCTTTTTATATTGTGCATCCATTAACAAATTATTGTAGTGATAGATATTTTTAATACTATTGTCTTTTAACTTTAATACTGGAGATTAAAATGATTTACAAACCAATATTACAGTATTACAGTATTCTGAATTTGACTATATATTTTCCTTTGCCAGTGAATTTTGTACTTTCATATGTTTTCATATTGTTATGTAGAATTCTTTCCTTTCAACTTGAAGAACTCCCTTTAGCATTTCTGGAAAGGCAGATCTACTGGTGGTGAATTCCCTAAGCTTTTGTTTCTCTAGGAATGTCTTTACCTCTCCTTCATTTCTGAAGGACAGTTTTGATGGATATAGTATTCTTGGTTGGCAGCTTTTTTTTCTTTCAGCACTTTGAATATATCATCCTACTCCCTCCTGGACTGCAAGGTTTCTGCTGAGAAATCCACTGATAGCCTTATGGGAATTTCTTTGTATGAAGAGTTGTTTTTTCTCTTTCTGCTTTCAAAATTCTCTTTGCCTTTGACTTTTGTATAAAGTTAACCTTCTTTGGCTTGATCTTGTTTGGGGTACTTCAAGCTTCATGCACCTGGATGTCCATACCTCTCCCAAAATTTGGGAAATTTCAGCTATTATTTCTTTAAATAAGCTTTCTGCCCCTTTCTCTCTCTCTCTTTTCTCCTTTGGGACTCCCATGATATGTATATTTGTTCTTTCGACAGTGTCCATAATTCACATAGGCTTTCTTCACTCTTCATCATTCTTTTTTCTTTTGTTCCTCTAACTGGCTAATTTCAAATGACCTATCTTTGAGTTCACCAGTTCTTTCATCTACATGATTAAGCCTGCCTTTATAGTGCTCTGTTGAATCTTTCAGTTCTGTCATTGTATTCTTCAGCTCCAGGATTCCTGTTTGGCTCTTTTTTGTGGTTTCTATTTCTTTATTAAACTTCTTGTTTTGCTCATGCATTGTTTTCCTAATTTTGTTTAGTTGTCTATCTGTGTTCTCTTGCATTTCTTTGAGTTTCTTTAAGATGATTATTTTGAATTTTTTGTCAGGCAATTCATAGATCTCCGTTTCTTTGGGGTCAGTTACTGGAGCTTTATTAGTTTCCTTTGGTGGTGTCATGTTGGCCTGATTCTTTGTGATCCAATATATCCTTGTGTTGATATCTATATGTTTGAAGAAGAAAACACCTTTTGCAGTCTTTACATTCTGGTTTTAGCAGGTAAAGACCTTCTCCTGTTAGTTCTCCAGGCTGATGGGATTACCTCTGGTGTCTCAGTTGAGCTGGGTTGGAGACAGGTCATGTAGCTGTTGCTGGGTCCCACAGTAGGGTCCATGATTTGTGGGCCTATTACTAGGTGCTCAGGGAGGCATAAATCCTGCCTGGTCCCTGGGTGGACAAAACTGACCCCAGAACTTTGTTCAGTACAACAGACACTGGGTCAAGGGTCTGCTTCAGCCACAGATGGCAGGCCTGTTACCAGGTGCATGGAGGGGTGTGACTCCCATCAGGTCCCTAGGAAGGCTCTTGCCAGGTCACTGGGTAGGTCCCCAATCAGGCATGACTGGCCCTGCACCACAGCCGAGAGGGGCTGGCACCAAGTCCCAAGGCTGCTTCAGGGTCCACAACCAGGGCAGATGTCTACAGACCTAGTTCTGGAGCCATTGATAGGCATATCTCCCACTGGGTCCCCAGCAGATGAGACTGTTCCCTCACCGTGGCTGAGAGGGCCTGGTGCCAAGTTATATGGCAATTTCAGGATCTGCAGTCAGATGAGGTCAGTGAGCTCACCTCCAGGGTCACTGACAGACATGTTTCCAAGCAGGTCCCTGGACTGGCAGGACTGCTCTTGTACTGAAGCTAGGAGGGACTGAAGCCCCATAATAGGACTGTTTCAGGATCTACAATCAGACTGTGTTTGTTTGGCTTGCCTCCAGGGCCTTCTGGACCATGGCTGAGAGGGGCTAGAGCAAGATCACAGGCCGCTTCAGGGTCCACTGAGGTCTGCAGGCCTGTTATCTGAGACACAGACGAGAGTGACTCCTCCCAGGTCCTTTGGCATATGATGCCAATGGTAGGACCAAGGCCAAATGGGGCTGTAGCTGAGTGAGCAGGGTGACAGAGCTGTTTCTGGATCTGTAGCTGGCACAATAATTGGTGAGTCAGCCACCTGGGTATGGGCTTGCCTTCTCAAAACAGCCGTCATCAGTCTTGGACTCCACTGTGGCTTCACAAGCTCCTGTCTGGATCCCAAAGCTCCCACAAAGGCACTTTTGTCTGTGGATGGCTGCCAAATTATTGTTTTGAGGAGAGATATAAGCAGGGGACTTCCCATTCCACCATCTTGCTGACATCTTTCAGTTTATTCTCATGATTTATCTAGACCATTATCTACATATCATTTAAAAATTATGATAATTTCACTTCATTCTTTTTAAGTTTTATACCTCTTGTTTCTTTTTCTAATCTGGTTGCATTAGCTAGCAACTCCAAAAATGTTTTTTAAAAATAGTAGTAAAAAGTGTGCATTTTTTGTTACTAACTTGAGGCAATTTTTTAAATGGTTTCTTGTACTCTCTCATTAGGATTTATTACTGATGGGAACTCCTTTCTTTTGGGCAACGTTCTGCTTCGTCAGATTCGCATTCCTGGTGCCATACTCTTTCCACCTGGAGTATCTCCCCAAGAACAAGTGAGGCCGTCTCACCAAGATCAGGAGGATAAAGAGAACTATGGGGTTAACTGGGGCCCCCCTGAAACAAACATCACAAAATCAGACAGCATGTGGCATTATCAGAATCAGGAGACACTGGGTGGCTATCCCATCCAAGGGGAATTTGCCACTTACTCAGGAGGAGGATATGTTGTGAGACTTGGAAGAAACTCCAGTACTGCAAACAGGTGAGCAAGCCTGAGCCCTGAACAAGAGGACCAAGTTGTCTGCTTCTGTCCATTCTTAGGACACTTAGGAATTGAGGACCCATTTGAGTACAGTAGTGCCCCCTTATCTTCAGTTTTGCTTTCTGAGGTTTCAGTTACCCACAGTGAACCACAGTTAGAAAATAACGCTGCATTACCATGCCTATGCCATCCACCTCACTTCATCTCCTCATGAAGGCATTGTCTCATCTCTCAGCATCACGAGAAGGATGAGTACAGTACAGCAAGATATTTTTAGAGAGATACTACACTTACATAACTTTTAGTACAGTATATTGTTATAATTGTTATATTTTATTGTTATTGTTAATCTCTTACTGTGCCTGATTTCTAAATTAAACTTTATCATAAGTATGTATGTATAGGAAAAAACAGTATACAGGGTTTGGTGCTATCTGTGGTTTCAGGCATCCACTGGGGGTCTTGGAACATCCTCCGTGGATAAGGGGGGACTACTCTAGTTTCAACAGTTACTGTAATGCCACTGTATTGTCTGTGACATTTGCAGACATTTTTATTTTAAGACTTTTAAGGAAATGTATGTTTTAGTGTAAAAATTCCCTGTTCAACCTCAAACTACAGGTACGTTTTAGTTTGGCAATTTTCCAAATCTCATTTCTTTTCTCCTCAGGAAAAACACATATCAGTTTCAATTCTAGCTGTAGTTGAACTAAGGTGACTTTCATTTGGGCAAACAACTCCTCAAATATAAGGGGAAACACTGCCCTTCAGGCACCAGGATCAATCCAAAATTAAATTGGCAGAGACTTATAGGGTCGTTTTGTATATAAAGCCTGAGAGTCTTTGTGATTATGTATGAAAAAAATCTAAATTAAAATGACTATCTCTTCATTTAAATTTACAGCAAGAAATTAATTATTCAAAAACAATTAAGCCAACCAAAGGCCATTTCCATCCCTTACACCTCTCAAAAGTGAATAGCTGTTAGTAAAGAGTAACATTTAACACTTCAAATGGAAGTATTAGACATAGCACATAAAATTAATTTCTATCTCAGACCTTAAATGCCAAACCTTGCTGTGAACACTATTGTGAAAACTTTCATTTTTAAAGTCTTCTAAATTTATATTCATGTTAACACTAGTGAAAGTTCGGGCATTAGAAGTCATAAAATATTTTACAGGTAAACTAGATTGGGAAATGTAGCTTCTTTTTTTTTTTTTTTTTTTATTAATGTTATGATAGATTACAACCTTGTGAGATTTCAGTTGTACATTTTTGTTAGTCATGTTGTGGGTACACCACTTCCCCCTTTGTGCCCTCCCCCCACCCCCCCTTGGGAAATGTAGCTTCTTACCCAGTATGTCAGTGACATTGGAAATGCCAGGGCATTTTCCTCCTTTGCAGGTTTGAATGGAGAAAGTAGCTGGCCCTGTCCTTCTCTGTTTTCCCAGAGTCCTCCAGCATCTTGAACAGAGCCGCTGGCTAGACCGTTGCACCAGAAGCCTCTTTGTGGAATTTGTGGTCTTCAATGCTAATGTGAACCTGTTCTGTGTAGTGACCCTGATTTTGGAATCCAACAATATGGGTATGAGGCTCTCTTCTCTCCTCCCTCTGTGACCTGGGTATCTCAGGAGAAGTCCCAATTTCTTTATCTTATACCATTAAAAGGCATTATTTTAATTACAGTTATTACATATAAATATAATTTTAAAAGTGAAATAGTTTAAAGCAAACACTAGCATTCCTCTGTTTATCCCCACCTCATTCCAACTCCCCAAAAACAGCTACTTTCAGCTTTTTTAAACTATTTGACTTTTGGGATTTAAAAATTATTAACATGCTTATTAACTATTTCATGAATCTTCAGTTTTAGAAAGGTATTTCTTTCTTTTTATGACAATGAGGATTTAACCTTTTTATACCTACACATGTCCCTAATATACACACATATACACCTTTTCTTTTTTCCTTATTCTCCCAAAATAGTAATATAATTTGTAGTTAATTTGAGTATTTCCATTATTGTGATTATATAAGTATTTTTCAAAGATGAGCCATGTAATGTATTACAATTAAATTTCCTTTCTTTCTCAACTTTTTGTTTTCCAAAGAGTTTATAACTACTTTTTTTTTGTTTGCTTGGTTTTATATGCATCTGTCATTGATTCATCTCCAAATTCTTCCTAGAAGTAAAATATCTCACTTTGTTAAAAAGTATCAAGTAACCTATCATTTTATCTTTTTCTTAGAGACATCCTCTTTAGGGCCCTCCATCCTCTTTTTGTTTGTTCCCCAAAGCCCCAGTACATGGTTGTATATCCTAGTTGTAAGTCCTTCTAGTTCTTCCATGTGAGCCACCAGCACAGCATGGCAACTGACAGACAGGTGGTGTGGTTCCATGGCCAGGAAACGAACCTGGACCACCAAAGCAGTGAGAGAGCTGAGCTTTAACCACTAGCCCACTGGGGTTGGCTCCCTCCATCCTCTTTTGGTATAGTCTGGATTGGCTAGTCTCTCAGCCTGCCCTAGAGTTCTTATCCTGGACTCTCCCTTCACTGTCACCCTAGGGATTATTTTTACTTCTCTCCTCTGTTGGATCCCCTTTGTCCCAGATCCCATATCTTCTTCTCATGGTTTACTTTCTCATCTTGTTGGAGCACATCCTCTAGTAACTTCCTGGAAGGGTGCAAAGGAAGTAAATTTTTTGAAATCTTACATTTCCAAAAAAGTTTTTTTTTCTGCCATCACATTTGATTGCTAATTTGTCTGGATACAGTTGTTTTTCACAGAATTTTGAAAAGTATAGCTCCATTGCCTTTTAGTATCTCATATTGCTGTTAAGAAGGACGATAATGCCCCCATTCCCAAAAGTTTTTAGAATTATCTCTTTGTCCACAGGGTTATGAAAGGACCTCATGATGAGCCCTTTAATCTGGAAATGTGTCCTTAAGTTCTGAGACGTTTTCTTTCCTTTTTCTCTGTTCATTTCTTTATTTTCTCTGTTCTCTTTTTCTAATATTTCTGGCATTTTGACATTGGAACTCCCGGACTGATTTTCTTATGTTTTTGCTTTTATCTTCCATCTTTTTCTTCTAATTTCTGAGAGATTACTTCAATTTCGAAACCATTTGTTGAATTTTTCATTTTTATCATATTTTAATTTCCAAAAATTGTTTGTTCTCATAATATTCCTTTTTCATAGTCTCCTATTGTTCTTTAATGATGCAATAGCTTCTCAATTCTGAGGGTATTATAGGTTTGTTTTGTTTTTTTTCTGCTCCTCCACTTTCTCTAATTCCTCTGAGCTTCTTTTATTTATTTTTTAATTTTTTTATTTTTTAAAGATTTTTTTATTTTTTCCTTTTTCTCCCCAAAGCGCCCCGGTACATAGTTGTATATTCTTCGTTGTGGGTCCTTCTAGTTGTGGCATGTGGGATGCTGCCTCAGCGAGGTCTGATGAGCAGTGCCATGTCCGCGCCCAGGATTCGAACCAACGAAACACTGGGCCGCCTGCAGCGGAGCACGCAAACTTAACCACTCGGCCACGGGGCCAGCCCCAGAGCTTCTTTTATTTTTTGAGGTTTCATTTTGATCTCCATTTTTCGATTTTAGGGGTTCAAGTATCTGGCTCTTCTTTCATATTCAAGAGGGAGGCAGTAAAAAGCAAATAAATGCTAATTAGATGCTCTGTGCACATGAATAGAGCTTGTCAACTGGTATCTATGTCTTTTCTCTTGGGCAGTCAGTTTTCACAGAGAGGGACCCTCCAAACTCCTGCTTTGAGGATATAAATCTGTTAGACTTCCCAAAGCCAGTTGAGGGAAGGGATCTTGGAAGGGTCTCACTGTGCAGTATGTAAACTTTCTCTTACTCCCTCTTTTCAGTAGGCCACTACTCTCAAATGTACCTGGTGTCCCTGAGTTCAGATTCTCTCCAGTTCAACATCACCGGGAAATAAATCTTTAGTCTTGTGTTGGTGGCAAGCAGGATGGCTAGCAGTACCTAGCTGTGAAGGGAAGAGAGGAAATCTGGGATCTAATTGCTTATGTTCAGACTTGTAGTCAATTCTCCTGTTTTCAGTTCCACTTGACCTTCTATCTTCAGAGGTAACTAATGCCTCCAATTTCTCAGGCTTTCTAGGATTTTGTGGTAAGAATTGGCTTGCTTCCATGTTTCCTGCACTGCTTACTTCAGTTTCAGCTTTCTTGAATCTGCTAAACCAGTGTCATTCATCTATTTTCCAGCTTCTGGTAGTTTATTGCTCTGATCTGCCCTCCTCGTCTGTATCTTTGGGTTGTTTTTTTCCTCTTCACTGTCATCATGGCATTTTGTAAGAGATTGCAGGGGAACTCGTCCGTTCATTTCCCCTACCTTTAACAGGAAGTCTGTCCTAGTCCTAACTTCCTTTCTCCTTTCTTCTGTCTTCCACATTTTGCCCACAAGTGTCCTCCCATTTACCACCAGGTGTAACTTCTAATCAGGAATTTTTTCCTCCCAGATCCACACAGAGTAGACCACTTCTCCTATACTTATTCTAAATGAAGCCTTGAAGTCTTCCTGAGGGTCTTCATAGGGTTTTTATTGTTAGTAACTACCAAAAAAATAGATACAGGTAAAATAAACATGAGGAAATCCCCAGTCCTGAGAGCAAGCTATGTGAAGTCAGAACTCCTTTTTTTTTTTTAATCTTTTTTTTTTTTTTTTTTGAGGAAGATTAGCCCTGAGCTAACATCTGCTGCCAATCCTCCTCTTTTTGCTGAGGGAGAGTGGCCCTGAGCTAACATCTGTGCCCATCTTCCTCTACTTTATATGTGGGATGCCTGCCACAGCATGGCTTGCCAAGCGGTGCCGTGTCCACACCCGGGATCCAAACCGGCAAATCCCCGGCTGCGAAGCAGAACATGCGCACTTAACCACTGTGTCACTGGGCCAACCCCCTCCTTTTGTTCTTAAATGTACTTTCTGCTACAAGGGATGCATCTTAGCTCTAATATTTTTGGGCTTTATGAAAAGTTTATATTCACAAGACCTTTTATGATTGTATAAACTTCAACAATCTCACTTCCAGTCTGAAGGTTTTTAGTCTCTCCTCATATAAACATCTGAGTATTCTTGGAATACTATTAGTATTCATCGGATAATATTAGTGCTTTGCACATAGAAAGTATCTAAATTTGAAACAGTTTAAAGCATTTTTTCAGGGGCTGGCCCCGTGGCCGAGTTGTTAAGTTCACGCACTCCACTTCAGCAGCCCAGGGTTTTGCCGGTTCAGATCCTGGGTGCGGACATGGCACTGCTCCTAAGGCCACGTTGAGGTGGCGTCCCACATACCACAACTAGAAGGACCCACAACTAAAATATACACCTATGTACTTGGGGGATTTGGGGAGAAAAAGCAGAAAAAAAATAAAAGAAGATTGGCAAGAGTTGTTAGCTCAGGTGACAATCTTTAAAAAAAAAAGCATTTTTTCATTATCCTCATTTCTAAAAACATATTTTAAACAGCTTTAAACAAAAGTACCATGCTTACATTTAACTCCATCCTCCCCTCATTCAATTCCCTCTTTCAAACATCGTTGCACCAGTACAACTGGTCAATTTATCTCTGCAGCCATTCCAACTTGGTAAGGGTGACGCCTATAACAGCTGTTACGTCGTTGGCAGTGCCCTCGAGGAAGGATCAACAGTACAATCCTCTCCCTCCACAGACGTTCAGTGCAGTCAGCACATTTCTCCACCAGCTCTGCATACATGATCTCATTTAATATTCATGACAGCTCTAGGGAAATACATAGTGGAGTGTAGAGACTCAGGAACCTTTGAACTTGATAATCCAGGAAGAGTTGGGGTTATTTCAAAGACAAAATTTGAAGGGAAGAGGGCCAAAGTTTTAAAGACTCTTGATTCCAGGTGTTCTCTGTTATTCTCAGGTGCTTTCTTCACCTCTGTAAGACTGGACACTTTACGTTCCCTCCAGACATCAAAGAAGGACTTTGCCTGGTCTGTTGTCTCGCAAGTCATCTACTATCTACTTGTCTGTTACTACGCCTTCATGCAGGTGAATTGATAATGTTAGATGTAAGAAATTCCCTAGGTTGCCAAATATTATTTGGGGAGCTCCACAATGAGCTATTACTAGAATTATGGCTATGATTTTGGTCCTTTCCGGAAGCCTGAATTCAGTTAAAGGCTGACTGGCTTTCCACCAAGTAGCTCTTTCAATTTTCAAGAGTTAAAGAAGTCAGTCTGGATAAAGACTGTTATTTTCTGTACAGTTGTATTGCCCTTATAAGGTAATAATAGCAAGAGATTGGAAGTATGATAACCAGAGCAAGGGTTCAAAAATACAGATGATTGCACCCAAAAGAGAATATATCTTGAGCCAAACATAACGTTTTCTTCATTTTCAGGCTTGATAACTAATTTAGAAACTTTTTTATTATATATTTTTAAGTTTAAGCAACAAGAAAAAGGATGAATGTATGCAATGAAAGTTGTATTAGAGAAGGCCAGCTTTTCCGTAAGCAGCAGCACTGAGTGACTAGAGCAGAACCAAGGCCGTAACCCATTGTGTCCAAGTTAGATTCGACAAGTCCCCTGCGAGTGCTTTGCCGGGGTTCCTAACACTTCGTTAGGGAGACACCCAGCTAATCTTTAGGCAAGCAGTGGTGACTGTGGTGTCTGTGTTCAGGGTCGCCGGCTGAAACAGCACAGGTGGAGGTGCTTCACTAGGAAGAGAAACATTCTGGACATGAGCATAATCCTCATTAGTTTTGTCGTCTTGGGGCTTGACGTGAAGCTTATTGCTCTACATAAGAAAAACATGGCACAGTACCGCTATGACCGGGACAGGTAAGAGGGAGCCTGAGGAGCAGAGGCTATGTCCAACGTTTCCTGATCGCACACAAGTACAGGCACACCTCATTTGATTGCACTTCGCTTTACTGTACTTCACTGATACTGCATTTTTCATAAAATGAAAGTTTGTGGCAACCCTGTGTTAAGCAAGTCTATTAGCGCCATTTTTCCAACAGCATTTGCTGACTTCGTGTCTGTCATATTTTGGTAACTTTTGAAATATTTCAAACTTTTTCATTATTATTATATTTGTTATGGTGATCTATGATCAGTGTCTTCAATGTTACTATTGTAATTGTTTTGGGGTTCCACAAACTGCGTCTATACAAGATGGCGAACTTAACCAATAAATGTCGGATGTGTTCTGACTGCTCCACTGTCCAGCCCTATCCCATCTTTCCCTCTCCTGGGGGCCGGGAGGCGTCCCTATTCCCTAAGGAACAACAGTATTGAAATTAGGCCAATTAATAACCCCACAATGGCCTCTAAGTGTTCAAGTGAAAGGAAGAGTCACACATCTCTCACTTTAAATCAAATGCCTGAAATGATTAAGCTTAGTGAGGAAGGCCTGTTGAAAGCTGAGACAGGCTGAAAGCTAGGCCTCTTGTGCCAGTTAGCCAAGTTGTGAATGCGAAGGAAAAGTTCTTGAAGGAAATTAGAAGTGCTACTCCAGAGAACACACGAATGATAAGAAAGTGAAACAGCCCTGTTGCTGATCTGGAGAAAGTTTGAGCAGTCTGGATGGAAGATCAAGCCAGCCACAACATTCCCTTAAGCCAGAGTCTAATCCAGAGCGAGGCCCTAACTCTCTTCAGTTCTGTGAAGGCTGAGAGAGGTGAGGAGGCTGCAGAAGAAATGCCTGAAGCTGGCAGAGGATGGTTATGAGGTCTGAGGAAAGAAGCCATCTCCCGACACAGACGTGCAGGTGAAGGAGCGGGTGCTGGTGGAGAAGCTGCAGCGAGGTATCCAGAAGATCCAGCTAAGATAATTAATAGAGGAGGCCACACTAAACAACAGATTTTCAATGCAGATGAAACAGCCGTACACTGAAGAAGATGCCATCTAGGACTTTCACAGCTACAGAGAAGTCAGTGCCTGGCTTCAAAGGACAGGCTCACTCTCTTGTTAGGGGCTAAAGCAGCTGGTGACTTTAAGTTGAAGCCGAAGCTCATTTACCATTCCAAAAATTCTAGGGCCCTCAAGAATTATGCTAAATCTCCTCTACTGTGCTCTATACATGGAACAGCAAAGACCGAATGACAGCATGTCTATTTATAACATGATTTACTGAATATTCTAAGCCCACTGTTGAGACCTACTGCTCTGTAAAAAAGATTCCTTTCAAAATATTACTGCTCATTGACAATGCACCCAAGAGCTCTGATGGAGGTGTACAATGAGATTAATGCTGTTTTCAGCCTGCTAACGCAACATCCATTCCGCAGACCACAGATCAAGGCATACTTTTGACTGTCAAGTCTTATTACTTACGACATACGTTTTGTAAAGCTGTAGCTGCCATAGATAGTGATTCCTCTGATTGATCTGGGGAAAGTAAATCAAAAACCTCTGGAAAGGATTCACCATTCTAGATGCCATTCAGAACATTAGTGATTCATGGGCAGAGGTCAAAATTTCAACATTAACAGGCATATGGAGGAAGCTGATTCCAGCTGTCACGGATGACTTTAAGAGGTTCAAGACTTCACTGGAGGAAGTAACTGCAGACGTGGCGGAAAGAGCACGAGAACTAGAATTAGAACTGGAGCCTGAAGATGTGACTGAACTGCTGCCATCTCATGATAAAACCGTAACGGACGAGGAGCTGCTTCCTATGGATGAGCAAAAACAGTGGTTTCTTAAGATGGACTCTCCTCCTGGTGAAGATGTTGAAATGACAACAAAGGATTCAGAATGTTACACCAACTTAGTTGATGAAGCAGCAGCAGGGTTTGAGAGGAGTGACTCCAATTTTGAAGAAGTCCTACTGTGGGTAAAATGCTATCAAACAGCATCGCATACTACAGAGAAATCGTTCTTGAAAGGAAGACTCATTCGATGTGGCAAATTTCATTGTTGTCTATTTTAAGAAACTGCCACAGCCACCCCACCCTTCAGCACCCACCACCCTCATCAGCCAGCAGCCATCAACACTGAGGCAAAACTCTCCAAAAGCAAAAAGATTGCAACTCACTGAAAGCTCAGATAATGGTTAGCATTTTTTAGCAATAAGTGTTTTTTAATTAAGGTATATGCAGTTTTTTAGATATAATGCTATTGCACACTTTTAGTAGACTACAGTATACTGTAAACTTAACTTTTATACGCACTAGGAGACAAAAATTTGTGTGGCTTGCTTTATTGTGATATTCGCTTTATTGCGGTGGCCTGGAACAGAACCCAAGATATCTCTGAGGTGTGCCTGTGTTCTTTCACACTCCCCTCCTCCTCCACTGCTCTACCAGATCTATATTCGTATAATACCAGAGTTAAACACAGAATTCAGACCAATGTCCACAGCAGGGAAAACAATTAACTAGAAAACTTTTATACTGCTAACCACATTGAAAAGCTCTTCTGCCTTCATAGTACTTAGGTATGTGCTTGTCAAGGATAATGCATATAAATTTCACATAGCAAGAGCCTGAAACTGGTCATTATTTTGCACGCTGGCCAAGGAATAAAGCCAAAGACATGACAAATATTCATCCTTTAAATAAAACCACAACACAGGGGCCGGCCCCGTGGCCGAGTGGTTGAGTTTGCGCACTCCGCTTCGGAGGGCCAGGGTTTTGCCAGTTCGGATCCTGGGTGCAGACATGGCACTGCTCGCTGGGCGATGCTGAGGCAGCGTCCCACATGCCACAACTAGAAGGACCGACAACTAAAATATACAACTATGTACTGGGGGGATTTGGGGGAGAAAAAGCAGAAAAACAAAGAAAGAAGATTGGCAACATTTGATAGCTCAGGTGCCAATCTTGAAAAAAAAAAAAACCCACAACACATCCTGTAAATCCAAAGAAGCTTGCTTTCTGGGTAGGGATGTTCATCTATTAGCTCGTTCATACTGAGAGACATTCCCTCTCTTCTCTGGTCTTTCTTATGGGAAAGACCATCTGTTTCCCAGACCAAATACTGCCACGTGGTGCTTTTCTAACCTTTCAGTGGTCAACAGCCTGGGCCATTGATGTGTGTAAGACTGAGCTGATGTCCCAGCAAAGTCTCATAGGGGGTCGTTTAAGGAGGGATGATGGTGTTGGCAGCTGGGGTCCAGCCTGCTGTGTGGCATTGCCTAGGTCTAAAACAGTAAAAGAATTGTGATCGAGTGCCAACTTATCATCTCTACGGAGTTCTTTCCAAGTAACCTAGCTGCTGCAACATAAAATTATAAATGCATCTCTCACATAACAAAACCTAATTGATAAAAAATAAAAAACCCTAATACAAATTAGGGGATCAATTATCTCCTGCTGGAGAACAATATAGGATTAGAGTGTTACAGAAAACAGATTCATCTCCTTTTGAGAGGAGCCATTTAACTTAAACCACAACAGTGGAGGAGGGTGGTCTTGATTTCCAGAATGAATTTGGAGTAAAGAAATCAGCTAGTGGTTACATTTCAAGGTTTCTTCAGCACAGCTCCCAGCCAATACATAGCCTTTTGCCAATGCTCTCACATCCACAAGTACAGGAGGCCACACTGGAAAGCAGAGTTCTTACATCAGCAAGTGTTTGACCTAACAGGACTCACAGAGCTGCCACACTTCAGCAGCAGGAGCACTGGAGAAACTGACATGACAGGAATTGATGGTGGCAGAGACTTCCTGCCAAATAACTGTCAGCCTTCCTTGGTACAGGTTCATCAGCTTCAATAAGGCAGTAAAATTGAACTCCACTGTCATTCACCTCATGGGCTTCCTGGTGCTGTTGGCAACTGTTCAGCTATGGAACCTGCTGCATCATAACCCGAGACTGCAGGTCATCGGCAGAACGCTCAGCAAAGCCTGGGACGAAGTGGTGGGCTTCTTGCTGGTCATCCTGATCCTGCTGACAGGCTATGCCATTGCTGTAAGCCCCCATTCCCAGTGTCTGTCTTCTTCTAAGTGCTGTGGTCTTGGAATCACGTTGCTTCCCTTAGAAAAGATCACTCTATGGAAAGCCATCAGCTAAAGTTGTCAATGAGTTTTGGAGAAAGGTTTTGGTTTTAGTTGTAATTCCATACTTAACTAGCAATGACTTACACTCAGATGTTTGTCTCATCTCTAAAATTGGGATAAAACTTAGCTCACAGAAAAATGTGAAGGTCAAATAAATTTATATGAAAACACTAAGTACAAAGGAATTTTATGTATTCTTTAGTCATAATAATTTGAATGGCTACTAGGGAACGTCTTTAACTTTCATGCCCTTGGCTCCTGTTGGCCCCATCGTTATCCAGCCCCCCAGGAGAGAGAGAACTGCAGCTCGCTCCACTGCTCTCCACCCGCCCTGACTGGTCTTTCTCCTTCTTTTCAGTTTAACCTGCTGTTCGGATGGAGCATCTCTGACTACCGAACTTTTTTCAGCTCAGCAGTGACTACTGTTGGTCTCCTCATGGGGATCTCTCATCACAAGGAGGTGAAAACCCCCATCCTGGCTTCCCCGCAGAACTCTAGTTGGTTTACTAAGTCTAACAAGGGGCTACTGCTTATAAAAGCAGCCCCTGCTGTACCACTGCGCACTGGGAAGGGGAGTGATTTAGGTCCTTTGCCATTCTGTTTAATGGTACTACCTACACATACAGCTTTTGAGTGGCTGCTACTTTCAGAAATCTGTCCTTTTCTTAGCACACAGTCCCACCTTCCTCACCTCTTGCATCCTTAATCTTCTTGCCCAAGGATACTGGGCCTGAACTTGTATTCTCATACCCAGCCACATCAACATGATTTGTTGCTTCTTTCTCAATGTCCCTTTAAAGCGTACAATGGAAATGACCTAAAAAAAATTAGGGAGGTACAATTCCAGGAGGAACCGCAATATTTCTGTTCATAATTAATACTTATTTCAGAGAGCCTATTATTTTCCCCCAGCAACTACCAACACAAATCCCTTTTTATTCAACATAAAAAAGCAGGGAGGCCAACCCCATGGCCTAGTGGTTAAGCACACACTGCTTTGGCAGTCCAGGTTCACAGGTTCGGATCCCAGGGGCAGACCTACACCACTCACCAGCCATGCTGTGGTGGCACCCTACATGTAAGATAGAGGAAGATGGCACAGATGTTAGCTCAGGGCTAATCTTCCTCAAGCAAAAACAAAAAAAAGAGGAAGATTGGTGACAGGCGTTAGCTCAGGGCAAATCTTCCTTGGGGGCGAGGAGGAGGACTGGAAGAAACCCAGATAAGGATTTGGGTCCCAAACACTAGCATATATAGATTTGATCAGGGAAGAAAAACTGCAATTTAAGTTAGTGAAACTGGCAAGATTTTCATCAAGGCTTATCATTCTGATAATTCAAAGGTTACTAATTAAAATGGGTAAGTTAACATAGTTTCTAATGTGCAAAGTTACCACCTTCCTAAGAACCAAGGAAGAGTATAACTTCTATTCTGGGGGGACTATTTTGTTGTAGTTCTAGCCCCAATCACTAGGGAACAAAGCCCTCACCCCTGGATCACTTTGTGTACTACAGCTCTTAAGAAACTAACAATCAGAATGAGAAACTGTGGCTAACACCTACTTTTTGACCTTGGGGGGAAAAAACCCTTTTCTGCTCTAATTATAATTGTACAATATGAAGGATAAATGGTGTATACTTATTGGGAAAAGTTTTGCATCACAAACGCAAAGAGGTTACCCAAACTGTTTGGTTGACCTAAAGTTGTTATAATTGAACACGTTTAAGTAAGTGGATAGGTTGGTATTAGGAAATCTTTTGTCATATAGGAGATTGCCATCACAGTGGCATTTATTATAAGTATTCATCCTCTCTAAGTTGTTGGGTTTGTTTTTTTTTTAAACAGTGCCCTAGTGGCACCAATGAAGGAGCCAACACTAAGGGAAAATAAATATCATTTGTTAAAATGAATACCTAAAATAATATTGTTATGGAAACCACTCTAATATAAATTTGAGAAAGCTTTCTTTAATTGAAAGGTAAAGAATGGCAAAACTCAGTACTTACACTTTTAAAGATAACAATAAAAAAAATCTACTAAATTAAGTCTATTTTCTATAGCTAACCTGTTAAATTTTTTGGGATGCTCCTGTGTTTAGAGTAGAAGCTTCTTGGAATGGCAAGACAGTTTTCATTATCATTTCTAGTATGTATTATTTCAATACACTTTTGCTACTCCTTGAAGCTTCCATGTTTAGATATATTTTCCAGAATTGCCAAAACTCACATGGGCTTTGAATCATTTATAATTCCATTGCAACTCACCAGTTTTCTTCTTGTGAAAGCCCCAAAGGCACAATTATTTTTACACCCTTGGAGTCAGTCACTCTTGCTCTTCTGTCCACTCAAAAGTATTTTCCTTTTTAATATTTTTTTCCTCCCTAGTTTCCACCAGACGTTTCCTTATATGTATACCAATCATTAACATATAACTTACATTTTTAAAGTAGAAATTAAACTGTCAGTGTTTAAACTCAAAGTGTTTTATTGTCTATCCAGGTTATTGCTTTGGACCCAGTCCTGGGCTTCTTTCTGATCCTCACCAGTGTCATCTTGATGGTACTTGTGATCATTAACCTTTTTGTCTCTGCCATTCTAATGGCCTTTGGTAAAGAAAGAAAGTCCCTTAAGGTAGGTAATTCTATGGCTCAGTAATTGAAATATAAACTGTATCATTTTATATCACTGGAAAAGCTCAGCTGTAGCTGCTCTTAAGATGACAGACTGACATAATGCACAGTATCAGCATATTCCCTTTATTAGTCTCCATAGCTCTGCCAACCATTTTCCTAGGAAACCCAATTTACCAAGATTACATTATGTTCTATATCAACTGTCCTGTAAATAGCTGGCCCTCAACTGTTAAGCAGCAGAAACACTCTGATGTCTGACAGTAAATCATTAAACAGTATCTTTACTAATTATCTTTATTTTTTTTGTATCTTTGGTACTTTTTTCCTACAACATTAGCAGCAATTCCAATTTCCTCACTTTATTCCTTCTCCTTTTGTCTTTGAATAGACTCTGAAAGAAGCTACACTGATAGATACGCTGCTACAGAAGCTCTCAAGTTTGTTAGGAATCCAGCGAAAACAGAACATGAGCAAACAGCCATGACAACAATGGGCATTGACACTGAAGTTTTAAAAGATGAACTATCTTAATCCTGTTACCTCCTAGCTTGGCTTATTACTTGTTAGCATATTAATACTTACCTCAGCATGACACAGTTTAAGAAACCGTAGATGTTTATAATTTACTGTTGTTAGTGCCATCAAGTTGATTCCGACTCCTAGCGACCCTGTGTACAGCAGAGCAGAACCCTGCCTGGTCTTTTGCACCATCCTCTCATCTTCCTGCGCTGTATCAGACAATGTTCCACAGCTATTCACACGGTTTTCATGGCCAGTTTTTTTCAGAAGTGCGTGGCCAGATCCTTCTTCATAGTCTGTCTAGTCTGGAAGCTCCGCTGAAACCCATCCATCATGGATGACCCTGGTATTTGAAATACTGGGGGCATAGCTTTCAGCATCACAGCAACATGCAGCCGCCACAGTATGACAACCAACAGACAGGTAGTATAGTTCACTGACCGGGAAGTGAACCCGGGCCTCAGCAGTGAGAGTGCCGAATTTTAACCACTAGACCAGCAAAGCAGGGCTGGCTATGTTTAGAATACGCTTTGTTTTCTAGACCAGTGAGGAATCAAAATCCCCTTGGCTGCAAGTTCTTATGTTTATGGATCTTGGCACTGGCAGAAAAGGGTGCAAAAGTGATAAAGGCTAAACCAGCTCTGGTGCCAAGCAGCAAGTTAACACAACACTCACTATCCACGTTCCAGGATGGCTGTGGGAAATACGAATGAGTCAGAAGTGAGCTCACTGTAGCTTATTAAAAATAAAGATACAAGCATGAGATATGGCTGATGGGGAGCCCTGTCCCAAAGAAAGCAAGCCAACTCACAGATGCTATCTGAGCTTAAATACAAAGATTGAAACAGACTCCTTACTGCTGCAGGTGTCCACACTACCCAGGGAGCCAAAGGTAAGGTCTGGTTTGTGCCCAGCATGGGTCACTCATTTAAAATACTCTCTACTAAAACCCACATTTGCACCTCATCATTTGACCAAACCAATGGACAAAGCAGGGCACAGAATTTTTAACTTTATTATCACCTACTGAGCTATGATACAAACCAATCAAAAACATTAAAGAAAAGTTGCTTGAAATAGGTATGTACAGATGCACTACACAGAAGCCAAAGTCCTATGTTCCGACCTCAAAGCCATCCCTGTGGGCAAGGATGGCCTTAGCTGGGGGCAAAACAGCACATAAGTTACAACAGTTTAGAGTCTCATCCATCAAGGAAAGCAGCAAACTGCAGCCAATGGGCACCAAGAGTTTATCTGAGATCAGTTTTTAAAGGTTCTCTTAATCATAAAGTTTTCAAATGAAAAGAGGAAACCTTCTCCTGTAGGCTTTCCAGCTCACTACTCAAGAGACTTGAGTACTTCTATTAAGGCAACTGGAAGCCCACCTTAGCCTTGAATGGTGACTTCTGCCCAATATGTGGCCTGTCCTTCCTTTGCCAGTAATGCCATCGAACAGAACATGCTATGGGGAAAAACAGGAAGTTACATAGTGCTGCCCTCTGGTAAAAGGGAAACAGCACTCAGAATAAAGCAAAAGGCCACAGAGGGCTCCCTGAGAATCCAGTAGAACTAAGAGAGGCCTTCAACTTTCCAAATAAACTTTGTAACTGGATCCAGGTGGAACAGTGCCCTGCAGCAAGGAGTAGTGTATATGCCAATGAGAGGACCGACCCAGCTTCCAAGAACGATTACAACGGCTTCCTGAGTCATTTCTCTCTCTCCCATTCACATTAGAGTGAGAAAATAGACACCTTGGCCTTGATTCTCACTCACCACAAATGCCTCTGTACAGAGGGTTTATTTCTAAGTCTAGAACCTCAGCACAGGGCTGAGACACTTCATGAAGTACTCTCTACCACTGTCCAGTCATCTTTGGCAGCTCTCCCTACCTGCTTTCACCTTCTCACTCCCCTGTGGAAGGAGCGTGGGATGGGTGAGGAGAACCTGGGATCACACTGACAAGAAACGGACAAGCTCAGCTGCCAGGAGCCAGATGCTCCGGCCTCATAGTGTCTCCAGTCGTTAGTCTCCTAGGAGCAGTAGAGAACTGGAAAGCAGCAGAATTTGGTAGAACAGGAAGAGAGCCCAGAGGAAGAGTGTGCTCAGTCATGATTAATAGATGAAACAATTTCATGGAGATTCTTTGTTACAAGGAGAAACTGCTCAGTCTCAACTCCCAGAACTTGGATGTTGCCTGGTTTGAGAGGCCTATGTTTTCTTTTTCAACTCTTCAAATCTCCGGGAAAGATCATCAAAGTCAATATCCTCAGATGCTGAGGTGTTGGCACCAGCAGATGCAGTTGGTAGTGTGTCTGGCACAGATGGCAACTCTGGCAGTACGAAGTTGTCGTAGGTATCTACAGGTCTGAGAGGGGGCTTTGTAGAGGCTTCTGGCTTGGGTCCAGGACCTAATTAAATCAGGGCAAGGAGCACAGTGTTACAAACTCCATGGAAGAGGCTCAGATCCTCAAAGCCCCAATTTCTTTTGGCAGAAACAATAAAACAAAATACAGGGGGAAACACTGGTTTTTTTGGTTTTGTTTTGTTGAGGAAGATTAGCCCTGAACTAACATCTGCCGTGAATCCTCCTCTTTTTGTTGAGCAAGACTGGCCCTGAGCTAACATTTGTGCCCATCTTCCTCTATTTTATATGTGGGCCGCCTACCACAGCCTGGCTTGATGAGTAGTGTGTAGGGCCGCACCCAGAATCTGAACTGGCGAACCCCGGGCCACTGAAGAGGAGCACGTGAACCCATCCGCTACACCACTGGGCCAGCCCCAAAACACTGTTGTTTTTTTTTAAAAAAAGATTACTATTTAATTCTTAAGGGAATGAAAATTTTCAGGACAATTAACATATACATTTTCTAAT